TTTTTCAGTAAAAGAAGGCATTCTGAATTGATTGGCGTTAGTTTGAAATTAATTGGAATTAAATTGGTAGAGTTGTGACTGTTTAAAGTATATATAAATTGGGTGGCTGGGTTAAAAGTGAGGTGGCCGGTCTGTGGGGGTGGCCAGTCTTTGGGTGACGGACGTTAGAGGAAATCTGGACCATCAAATGCTTGTCGCTTTTGCTACGGAGAGTGGGGGTCACTGTAGCATCCCTGGGCCACTGTAAACCGCATGATCACGGCCCACGATGGATGATCGGCCGACGCTGAATCTACCTGAGGGACATCATATCATATCATATCATTCATTGGATGTGGCAACTTTCGGCCCTTTTTGTCGGTCTCAGTCATATCGTCACATCATCACTCACTCACTCTTTCATTCACAATTGCGTGCATTGGGGAACAGGGAGGAACAAGAGTTTTGGTGGGACAAAGTCCCATTCGTGGGATTGCTCCCTTATTCTCTTTTTTTGTGCTTTTCTAGGGGGTTGACAGTATATATCAAAAACAGTAAAGAGAAGAAAAGAAAAGAAACCGTGAAGCAAGCAAATCCGTACATAGACGAGAAAACCACAGAGACACCTCGTCTCTCGTATCTGACCGTGGTCCCGAAAGCAATCCAGTCTCATCCAACCCTGCCGTGTCGAAGATCTGTTCTGTCTAAGGGCATCCAAGCCGATATGATTGGTGTGATGTCTCTTGTAAATCCTGTCGTCTGTCTTTGTGCTGTGGCTCGGGGAAAGGCATGCCTAGCATGCTGGTGCGGTGATGTGTCTGGCGGGGAATTAAAAACCTATGGCTGGTTGCGAATAAAACTTTTCGAGAACCAAAAAAAAAGTCGTCAAAGAGCGATCAGGTCCAGCTTTAGAAATGGCGACTGAGCCTAGGCTCCTAGGCTCGCATGGATATATAGCTGTGTATAGCACTTGCAAGCTGGGAAATCGAAAGAAAGGATCAGAAATGTCGAATAAAGGCATCAAAAAAGAAAAAGTCAAGCTGGAGCATCAGGTCTGATGGTCTAAGAGAAGTTGAACACTGAGATGCCATCTACCATATACCTGGATGTAGAGGTTGTGATACGGCGTCTAGATATCTAAGAGTTATAGCGACGGTAGCGCTCTGCTTCCTGTCGCTGGCGGCTCTGGTGGTAGGACTCTCTTGGTCCCCGGGGAGTGAAGTTAGAGTGGGGCATACCGCTGTAATTCCCCTGGTAATGCATCTGCTGAGGGTGTGCGTATGAAGCATGGCGGCGACCTTGGTACTGAGGTCGACCATGGCTTTGGTATGGGTGGTTGCGAGCATCTTGAGACACATGCATGGGCTCGTGATACTCGCTTTGGTGGTGTCCCTGGAATGGCACCTGAGGCTGCCCCTGATACATGGAGGCAGGATGTGGAGGGGCGGGATACGGAACCTGGGATGGTCCTGGGCCTGCGTACCCATGGTGAGAGGGGCCTGGATACAGCTGAACAGGTTCATGGAACTGGGGAAGAGGATACTGGGGCATGTCCATGTATGTAAAGCCACCAGGAGCGGGAACGGGAGCCATCGCTTGAGGCGGCATAGGCATGTAACCCATGGGTGGCATCGGGGGAGGGTATTGGGGGACCATGTGCGTGTAGGGCATGGCAGGCTGGTACATGGGCTGCTGAGAAGCAACGACGAGCTGGCCCTCAGGAGCTCGCTCCGTGGCATCGCTCTTGCGAGACTTACCACTCTTGTCACGAGGTTGGTCGGTTTCGCGAGAGATAGGTCTGCCGCGCATGTTCTCCTCAGATGCATAGGTTCGCTTGAGCTTGGCCTGGTACAAGAGGTTGCGCTTCAAGTTCTCCTCGGACAGATGGCGACGTCGGATAAGGCATCTCTTGGCCTTCTTCTTCCGCGACCCCTGCTCGTCTGGCGAGCTTCCGCTCTCGCGCCAGGTGCTGTCGTCGCTCTCCGAGAGGTCAATGGGAGGCGGGTAGGTTGAGGTAATAAACATTGACACAGCACGGCGGTGTCCCTTGCCGTTGGCCTTGTCTTCAGCAGCAACCTCACATCGCATCGCAGCGAGTTCTGCAGCAGGTGAAAAGGCCGTAACACGCGAGTGTCCGTCTGCAGCAAGGCGGTCCTTGAAACCCTGAAGGTTCGGCGGACTGAACTCTGCGGGAGGTGCAGGTATCTGAAGGGGAATAGGAGATGAACCAGTGTGAGATGGTAGCGTGCTCGGCGAAGGGGCGAACCGAACTACGTTACTAGACTCAGCAATAGGAGGATACTTCTCAGGAGACTGAACAGGAGTGACCTCGTCCAGTTTAGTGTTTGGAACCGCCAGCGTTGGAACTGGCAGCGGTCTGGGCCGTACATTCTCTGGCTTCAGCAGATCCTCGGGGTGACAATTCTCGAGGAACTCTCGTTCCTCCCGGGACAGACCTGCAGTTGATACCACGCGGCGATGATTGACTGGGGCAGCGGCCGCGGAGGCGACGCGAGAGTCAAAGCGACGATGAGGACGCTTGACAGGGCGAAGAGGTGACGGATACATGCGAGCATCATCCACACTACCAGGCATGCGAGAAGAACCAGAGCCGGGAACGCGAGAGGGGCCAGAGTTGGGAAAGCGAGAACCAGAGTCGGGCAGACGAGTGCCAATGGCTTGGGGAACAGCGACAGCTTCGGGGGTAGGCTTGGTTCTCTTTCGTTCGACCCGAAGGATGCAGCCCTCAACTTCTTTGCCATTCTTGGGACAGGTGTTAGCAAACATTCGGTACACACTCAGAGCCCGACGGAAGACAAAGGAAGAACTTACGAATTCTTCCATGGCTCTGTCAGGGATATCAAACTCGTCGTACTCGACGAATGCCCAAGGGTGAGGGACTGGGACAGTGAGTTGAGACCAAGTTCATGGACGGGAGTTACTTACGACCACCGTCCTGGTCAGGGGAAATTCGTAGATCAACAGAACGAATATTCCCGCAGATGCCAGCCAATCGGTAGACCATAGCCTCGTCAGCATAATGAGGCAGTCCGCCGAAGAAGACTGAGCGACAGTCCTTTTCGTACATCTCCATGAAGGTTTGATCGTCAGCTGGGCGGTCAGAACGCTTCTGAACCATCTTGCGATCAAAAGCCATGATAATGAATGGCGTGTTAGGACCGACGTCCTTAAACTATATTAGCTCTACGATTAATGAAGTTGTCCAAGATTGAACTTACCCGAATGACATCGCGTTTGGGGTCAAATCTGGAGTACAGTACAAGAAGACTAGGAGGAACGGCGAGCTTGGTCTGAGCATCATAGTTGAGAACCTCGACCTTCTTAACTGGTCCATGGCGGGAAAAAATAGAACGAGCCTCGTCGGCGTGAACGGGGCGAGTGTCTTTGCGGAAGATAATGTAGGAGACTATTAGAAGTTAGCATCTGGACATAAAAGTTTGCCGGGAGGACGCACGGTTTCCGCCGCACTTCTCAACTCGGATAGGACGGCCATGGATCATATCTCCACGGGCCTGGTGCACCGCAACATCGGCGTGCTTGATTTGCTGATAATAAATTAGTTCGCCATGCGCCATGGAGGACTGATGGGCTATCATGGTCAACTCACAGTGTATTGAACAAAGGCCATAGGCATGTGTCTGGTGCGGTCACGCTTCACCTTGACGAAGACTGTGCCGAACTTGCCAAAGTGTTTGGTAAGAGAAACCCTCAAGGTGAGATCATCGACGTGTTGAGGGAGGCTGGACTCAAGGTCAGTACATGTATTACACGGCGAACAAACAAGCTACTCACTTGGCCACAAACAAACAGGCATCTCCAGGGTAAACAGCCTGGGCGTCGAACTCTCGAGGGATGTTGGCAAAGGCATCTATATTGGATGGCAGAGCGGCAACAGTTTGGACGACTTGGTTCATAGACATGAAGTCGCCGGTGAGCACTTGCTCGGGCTGGATCTCCTGGCTTGCCATAATCGGAGCGGTGGGCCCTGCGGCCACTGGGTAGTCGAAGTTGCCTTCTCCAGCTTGATGAGTGTTATTGTAGGGGTAAGAGCTGTATCCAGGCTTGGCGACATTGTCCTTTTGGACGAGAGATGGCATGCTGTGGACTTCTGTCAGCAAAGTTCACCTTGAACTCGTTCTCAAACCAGTAAATACCTTTTGGAGTTAGAGAGCGGTCGGCTAGGAGAGGCTGAACTTTGTTAGTACACCTGCTTGTTCCGGAAATGGCAAAAAGAATCAAAAGTGAAGCTTGTTCGGGGGAAGCCCCTGAGCTGCTTGCTCGCCAGAAGACACAAAAAGGGGCTATCCCCGGAAGTTACCACGAGAGTAGCTATTGACATTCCAAGAAGGCGCGCGGATCTTTTCTCGTCGAAACAACGAGAAGGAGATGAAAGAATTTCAAAGACGTAGGGCGTGAGAAACCAGTGTCTTCAACAGAGACCCAGCCACAGCAAACAAGACCTCGTGCTGAAAGAGAACAAGCAAAAGAAACAGGAGAAGGAGAAGGGAGAGATCTAGACTGTTCTTTCCAAGACAATAAAAAAGAGATGAGAATATCCCCAAAACGACAGAGCTACGAATTTTAGAAACGAGTGTCTTCGCCAGAAGTCAAACCACAGAGACATCCACCGACTTCGCATCGAAGGACAAACAAGAAAGAGAGGGAGAAGGAAGAAGAGAAACGCCGGTCTTTCCTCTTGAATAAGATACAAAAGAGATGAGAGGATTTCCAAAGAGATGGGCTGCGCGAGACGAGCGTCCCTTGACAGGTTGACGCCAGAGATCGAAACAGAGAAGCCCGACTTCGCGCTGGAGAAAGAACTGACGAAAGAGGAAATAGAAGGAATAAAGCATAAGAGGATATTGGGAAAATAAGACTCAAGAAGCCGTTGTGCTTTCGCTAGATTCAAACGAACCGGCGCTGGGCTCGCAGTCAAGGCAGAACAGGGAGAAGATTCAGAAGTACTAGAAGGAGATACTTACATCTGGGAGAGCCATCGCTCTCCGACTCCTCCTCATCGCCCGAGTAGTGTATGTTCAGGGCAGAGAAAGCGTTTCGAAGCGTGCGGTTCGTAGACGCGACCGCATGCGGCGTACGATACTCAGGTGTCGACATGATGATGACGGCACCAAGGGCGAACTGAGGTCTGTTGAGTAACAACACGACAATGTTAGCTTCAAGTGGAGAGAGGATGTTGGAAAGGTGAAGGAAGAAGTGTGGGGAGCGAAGAAGGAGGAGACGGTTTTGGTGTCTTGATAAGGGGGAGTGGGTGGGAACAGTGATTCATGAACCTCGTTGGCGAGTTGAGGTCTGGCAAGTAGCAAGACGATGACTTGAGTGACAGGGGAATGTTGGAAGGAAGAAGAAAGAAGTATGGGGAGAGTAGAAGCAGGTGTTGGTTTTGATGTCTTGAATAAGAGGAGGTGGGCGACAGTGAATCGTGAACCTTGCCAGCGAAGTGAGGCCTTACAAGTAGCAACACAATGATGTGAGCTTCAAGTTGATGTAGGGATGTTGGAAGGAAGAAGGAAAGTGTGTAGGGGGAGGAGAAGCAGGTGGTGGTTTCGGGGTATCGAACTAAGGGGCGGACAGTGATTCATGTACCTTGTCGACGAAGTGAGGCCTGTTGAGTAGTGGTGTTAGCTTCAAATTGAAAAAGAGATGTTGTAAGGAAGAAAACGGAAGTGTAGGAAGAGGAAATGGAGGTGATGGCTTTGATGTTTTGATGAGGGGGCACTAATTCACTAACCTTGTCGGCGCGTTTTTCTGCGTTCTTGCTTGACTTTGAGAGAGGGGAGCGATGTTATCACTAGATAGTCTTCAAGTCAGTATTAATTCTGATTTGAAGTCTGTTTTGTTTTGTGTGTTGTGTTGAGTTGAGGTGAAGCTCATGATCTTCTCGCGAAAGACACAGGGGGCCAAAGGAGCGACAACAGGTGAAGGGGCAACAACAAGTGCCAGAACGTGAGAAGGCGACTGTTATGATGAGGCAACCTTCAAGTCGGTAATTATCGTGATCTGAAGTCTGTTGATGTGTTGAGTTGAGTTGAGAAGGTGAAGGTTGTGATCCCTCGTGAGAAGATGTGGAGGCTGAAGCGAGCGGCCACAAGTGAACGGGCGACAACGAGCGGATGAACGCAAGAAGCCGATGGAAGTGATTAGATAGCCTTCCGCTCAGTATTTGTCGTGAACTGAAGCCTGTTGTTTGTTGTGTGTTGAGTTGAGAAGGGGAAGATCGTGAGCTCTTCGCGAGAGAACACAGAGGACCACGCGAACAGCAACAAATCAAGGGGCAAAAACGAGCGCCGGAACGCAAGCTGGTGATGAAGATGATAAGGTAGCCTTCAACTCAGTGTTATTGTGATCTGAAGTCCGTTGTGTGTTGTGTGGTGGGTTGAGAAGGGGAAGCTCGTGATCTTCTCACGAGAAGACACAGAGGGCTACGTGAACAGCAACGAGTGAAGGGGCGATAACAAGTGGCATAACACGAGAAAACGATGAAGTTGATGAGAAAGAGCTTCTCAACAAGAGGGTACTTGATATGGGTTGTGGTATATTGACGTTGCTGAAAGAAAAGGACTTACCGTGCTTGTTGTTGGTGATGCTGGAGGAGAAGAGGGGGAGAAGTTGTGAGCTTGGGAGGCGAGTGGAGATACAGCAGAGAGCCAGGTCACGGTGAGCACATCGGCGGTAGCGGTTACGACACGGTGAAACTTGGGATCCAGGGGTAGGGCAAGTTCAGTTGTACAGCCTGTATTTCGACAGCTACGACAGATCACTCTGGACGCACGAATAATGAAGATACGGGGATGCAAACTATCAGAATGTGACCTCTGGTGCTATGAATACATGTTCAAGCTTCATTGATGTGGTTTAATGTGTTTGTGAAGCAGTTATGGTGTTGCAGCGACATGGCATAGTGCCGAATACCGACGCCGGCGGGAGCGGAGACTTCTTGCATAGGGGCAACATCAACTGTTACACGAGAACTACATCCCCTGAAGGATGTCTACTAGGCAATAAACCACTGAGGTTTTCGTAGTCTGCATGCCGTTGGCCTATTAGAATTTATGAGTACTGCAATGCCATAAGTATACCCATATGCCTACTCCGCTGGAAGAGTACCTGAGAAGAAATTGTGTTTCTTACTAGCTTGCAATCTTATTATCTTCTCTAATGCATATTGATGAATCACAAAGCTGCTGGTAAACTACTAAATGTCAAAGAAAAATAGTAAGACAAAACAATAACACGGTGCAAACAGCAAACACTCTTCAACAATTCTTTGACCTGCTGGCATTTTGCTTCTGTATTCTCGTCGAACCTTTGTGACACTGTTTCTCTTGCCTATGTTAAATAATTTTGCTGATTTCGTGAGGTATCAATCTTGGACCCATACCAGCCATTTTCAGGTCTACAGCGCCTAGTGGTAATTCCACCATATTGCACCAACACAGCATTTTCTACCATTCCCATCAAGCTTCACGATACTTCCAAGCCTCTCAAGCATGTTCTATTATCTTGAAGCTTCTGTGTATCTTCATGTTGAAGTCACTCAAGTTGGCGGTGGACGACCCTCCCCACCTGGTATGACGTTACACTACATCACCACTGTAGGGATCCCTCTGCAGTATTCTCACGTACCTAGGAACTCTCTTACATTGTCTTGTCGACTTCTTGTAGGTATTATACTTGCTGATACTCTTAGAAAGAGATACCAAGGGCTGATGTCGACATCATGCTCCTGAGGCGCTACCGACCGCCGACCGGGAAGAAGAATTTGATAGCTTGCACCGCCAAGTCAAGATCAACACATCCATCTTCCTCGACCAGTTACGGACTCAAGATTCAGCCAACACTCAGCAAGACTCGAGTACACTCAAGCGCTCGTCGCTCCCTATGCGTTGGCCGACAATCCGATCGAAAGGCGGCGAAGAACACCACTTAAGTCCTCTGTAGCCATCACCAGCCCTTCCTTGATCTGCGGCAAGCTGGACTTCACTCGTGAACAGAATTAGGTATCTCAGAGGTATCGCGAAGCTCATTGAGTCTGTCTGGTGTCAACACAAGTGCAGAGAGTGGCCATTGAGTTCGAGGCGGCGATCGAGGCTTCGGTCCCTTCTTCATACTCTTGAGGGTATTTCACATCGTTGGGTTCTAGTGATTAGTATACTAACGAAGACTCCTGTCAGGGCAGACTCCAATGGCCCCCTGGCCATACAAGACGCTTCAGCGACGATGACAGACATCCTACAGCGCTCCCCGGTCCCCCGTCACCCCAGAAGCATTGGAAACGGCGCTTGGATTGTTGTTAGAGACGCGGACAGCAAGATCTCATGAGCACGACAGTCGTCACTCAGGGGCTCAGTTACGTTGATTTGAGGATGTAAGTTGGAAGACCCGAACTGGATCGCCACAAATACCTCTTATACGAACGCCGGAAACAGTCATTGACAATTACTCTTATGCCAGGTGATCAACCGGAAAGCCCAGAGGCAACCGAATCCACCTATCATGAAGCCGAGAAGAAAGGCTCGTAAGCTGAAGTCGCCCCTGATGCCTACCGATTCCACCGCCAAGGCTGCTGGTACACCTATCATCTCCCCTTCTGTCCCGCCAATGCTTCTTCACTAGTTCTTGAGCACTTGAGAACTATCAGTGGCTAGATCGCTGTCTTTATATCTTAGAGGCCTTTGTTGGCACGATCTAGTCAGATCGAACATGCTGCGGCTTGAGGGCTCGTGTCCCGCAAAGCCAAATCTCAAGCCCGGGGCCCGTTACGATGGGCAAAGCCAAATTGGTTCTGCACTTCGAACTCACTGAGCTGGCCGTTGTTCGCAGCTCGCTCAGCGGTGGCTGTAACCAAGACAGACTGAAATCATGGGGTCTTACAACAATATCAGATTGGACTGTCAGAAAGTGAGGAGCTTCTCTATACCCTTTCCTAGATGAAGAGTTGAAAGCAATGAGCCTTCCGGTCTTCTTTGGAGGGCATCCAGATCTACCGAAAGACCCTTCAGGGGCTCAGGAAAGAGACCCGAGGACCAGCTTACGTCTCAGAGTAAGCTGCGAGAATCTGAGGTTCCTGCACTCCAAGACACATTGGAATTAACGAGGGTAGGGCAGTGGTACTAAAGGTTGGCGTCATATTTCATATACGTTCGGCCATTGGGCAATGACTTGAATCCCTTCTTTGGCATGATGCTCTTCTCTCAAGGCCGCGGAACTGCACCCCTTCAAACTTTGGATCCCAATTCACTCGGAATAAATTACTGATAACCAGTTCTCTTAGGGATTTGTACACTTTGGCCGTTTCTTCTCAGACAAACAAGTCCCAAACCCAGTCTCGATCCCTCTACGTTCACGAGTAACACCAATACCGCCTAAACCGAGTGTCCACAGAACTATTCTGAGTGCCCTAGCAAGCTTCGCATCATGAGTCTCTCTGAAGCCTTTCAGGACCTTCCTGGCTTTGAGAAAGTCGATTCTTATGAAGAGTGCCTTAGAAAAGCTGTTTGTGGGAGACCCTTGCATTTCTACAAGCCATGCTCGATGCTCAGGGGCTAGCTTTTTCCCGTACTTGTTATCAGAAGCACCCAGTCAAAGAATTCGAAATACCCTGCTTAGCTAGGGCTCTTTGTTTTCCTTTTTCATTTAGTTAAGAGCGATTATGGTTTATGGTCCTTAGGGGCTCTGCCGTGAGACTTAGCTTGTACACTTGTGCCTCCTTTTACGCTGCTATTACCAGAATTCCTAAAGATCCATTGAGTCCTATGTCCCAAGAGGCTTCAAACTTCAGACACTGTTAGCGGCTTGCTCGAATAAGCTAACAAGTGTTATGTAGTCTAATCGTTATGGACGCTGACTAACTCTAAGAGTCCGTATCGAAAAACCAGAACATAGAACCGATCTGGAAACCAAATTCCATCATATGGTTTAGCAAGTCATACCTAGCATTAAATTATCACAAGGATTACTTGGATATCAAGATTAAACTAGGAAGCTTGCAAAGGAATACTGGTATAATACCAGTAAGGCCTAATGTTTATAGAACTGGTTAGCTATTGCTATCCTAAAAGGCATCTAACAATACTATAATTAAACTAAAGTTACTTTAAGCTTACTTAAATACTTATATGTCAAATAGTAATATATTTAGGGCTCTGATAGGAGAAACTTTCCTATAATAAGGTGTATGGTCTACCCCTAAGTTGGTAATATTTTCTAACATTTATCTTCCCTAGTTTCAAAACCTCAATAAACTTATGCGCCGAATTCATTCTTTTAACGATTAAAACTTATACGAATGTAGGATGGATTTACCAGATTCGAGTGGCATTTTCCCAAGCCCGCTTATCTCCTTAGGGGCGCTTGGGAAAGGGGTCGACATGGTGCTCCTTCAGTAAGGAGCACGCAGGATACTCATACTGAGAACCTCGAAGACAGCGTTTGTCTTAGTAAGGCTCTTGTGAGTTTAACAGGAATCCTGTGCTTCAGCTTCAGACTACCAACAAGCTCACAAACAGCACGGTATTCAAAGATCAGCGGCGTCTTTTTTTTTATCCTGTTCAGAACGTTCCGGTCACGTTTCATACATACAACTGGCTACTAACTAAGATACAGATATTCGATCCCTCTGCTGAGTGCGCTAGCCCAAGCAAGCAATATTGGAAGGAAACAAGTGGCCAAGATGTGAGCTCGGGTGGGTGAGGCACAGAGTCATGCAAAGAAAACTCTCTTGAGCCTTGCCAATCGAAACAAGCTGGAATATTCCTAAGATGAATTGATCTTTACGGTTATTTGGCTCATGCTGACTTCAGCGGTGTACAGTAGTAACTTCCCCTTCTTCCGATACCGACACCGATATAACGCGCGCGTGTTCCACGTTTAGCTCTTTGGGAAACTCTGCACGAGTATCATTTCGAAGGAATCCTTGTTGCAGTCTTGTCGAATATCCAGTCCCCAGAAACGAATATCCGTGGTGTCGTATACTTTGCCCCCCAGCGACTTGCCCTGGCAGCTCACCATCTTCCTAGACCGCCCGGGATACAACCCACGCTGTCCACGAACTCTCCCCCAATCTGTCAGTGGTCAGATTTTCATCGTAAGAACATATGGTCGTGTTGCCGCCCATGCCTAGGCTTCAGCGATGTTCTTGCCTCTGCACGCTGTGGTATATCGCTGGTGCTGCAAGTTCAAGCGCAGGGATGGTGCCAGAGACGATTTAGCTGCATTTCATAACGCAAATGCCGGAAGTTCCAGACGACTCAGCCTCAACCTGGAAGAAATGTTCAAATCAAGGACAATGAGGATACGATGCGTCGTTACTCTGCCGCCCTTATTCCAAATGGGTATAAGTGAGAATGTTCATAGCAGCATCAATAAACAACAATGGAACCAGCACCGCTATGATCTATTTAATTTACTTGTGGATAACATTCCCGCTTTGACATTGTATGATTCAGCTAATGAAAGTCTGGTGAGCTTGCTTGTAATTGACCTTGCATCTTGTTTCTCTAGGGTAAGTATTGGATCTTGATATGAGGCAATCACCAAATGGAAGTACCTGGATATTCCCCGTGCACCCAACCGACAGTGTGTGAAAAAGGCAGACTGCTTTGATGTATTACCTTTCTACTATTATCTGGTAGCTCAGAGATCTGCATTGGAAGAACCATTGATTCAAATGCTCGTCCTCATTTGTAATATGTTCAGGATGCAAACAAACTGGGAACACTTTGACCAGGGGACAAAAATCAAGACCAGTCAGGTCAGAGCTACTACAAGTTTCCCCTCAACCACCGTAGCTATGGTGGACTGTCTATACATTTCTGATCGAATCTCAAGACTTCTTTAACATCCGAGCCTGCCTTGGATTAAAGCTGGAGCGATAAGGAGAGATGAAAACTTAGGACCGTTATCCTAAGTGATAAAAAATAACTGGTCAAAAGCCCTCCCAAGTCTGCACTAAATTAACCTAAATCTTATCACTTTTAGAATAGAGGTCCTAAGCTTCTTGCTCCTTGAGGAGTGAGAGGCATTCTCCCGTGTAAGTACGGGACCGGCACGAACTCGGTGATTATCTATAAGGATATCGCGCTTGGTAATGGATATAAAACAGCGAGTGTCGATTCATCATCAGTTTCCACTTTATGGGTTTTGATGACAAAAACAGGGGTCAATGCCACCAGATACGAAGCAAGGGAGATGAGATGAGATGGGATGGACTGGATGGACCTGGAAACTGGGAAGAGGTCACAAGAACAGAAATAATGCATGTAAGGACCTCGTCGTCACTTCCAACTTTTGAGCTGTCTCTTGTGGCAATGGAAATGCACGAGGTCATGAATGAGCTGCATGCTCTTTATGGTGCGTGGGTCAAGGACCAGGGTAACAGTAATGATAGCATCGATATGATATTAGACGATTGAGCCGAGGCATGAGACAGGGTCTCTTGAGAACGTTTGAAGCTAAGAGATTGACAGCTGCCTAGAACTTTCTGGCGCTTAACCCGCGGCAATGGTAAAGATGAGACTGAGATCAAGGGGAGACTTCAGACTTCGCTGATGGAAACAGTGACACAATCGGATGGATAGAAGCCTTCGATTCCAGGGCGGCTTCTTCCATCTTCCCCACAGCGGACAGCGGGCACCCCTCCATCAAGCCCCTCCCTGGAGCCCAGATGCCAGAACACTCAGTCGGCATCCAATCAAAGTTGCCCGACGCTAATCGCGGATACTTACCCGGGTCTTGTCTTTCCAATTCTTTAGGTTTGTTGCTGCAGGGCGCGGATCATGGGAGTGCTTGCCCGGACTTCAGATACAGGGGCGCTTGGTTTTTGGGCCGCGCTTTCCATTCATTAATTCACATTCTGCGACAGCCAAGCAGGTTCGTGCGTACGACCTTACATGCAACTTCCCTACTCGGGCTGGAAATGAAAGGGAAGGCAAGAGGGAAAAATCAAATTACCTTGAGGCTTCTCGGTCATTAGGGAGGCTCAGCCTCATTCGCGATCCGTCCCGTATTTGTCTTGCTTCTTCTTCCCCCCTTGTCTCACTCAAAATTCATCTGTGACGCATTCACTTGTGAAACCTTTCATCCGTCACCGGCCTTTCAACTTTCCTTTACAAGCGCACTCGTACATCGTTACTCTGCGGCAACATCCAGTTCAACCTGTCACATAGATGCTTTGTCAATTCCGGCGGGACAAACACAAGAGAAATCGGCGAAATCACAGTAACCAAATGGACAAGCCTCCAAGCCCACCAGCCACACTTGCACCAGACCCAGACGTCAAATCCAGGGACCAACGAATGGATCACATCTTCAAGGCCGTAACGTGGTCTGAGAAAGAAGATGAACGGCAGCAGAACGAGAGACGCTTGTAAGTTTTTGCTCTGACTCCTTCTTGAACTCGTCTGACATCAAGCTCAGATCCCTCGAGGCCCAGGGCCAAGACAAGGTCACCCGCTGGATGAGAGACGGACTACAGTACGGGTAACCCCATCTCTCATGCGTCTCTGCTCGTCTTTTTCACTCTCTGATGATCCCCAGGGTTCTCTATTGCGATCTTCTGCCAGACATCTCCAGCGTAGTACGCCCAGTTGACAAGTCCGGCAGTTACATGGACATGCTGCCATGGTGGAACCCGGATTATGAGTCCAGTGCGACTCTAACAACTACCGAGAGGGTTTCCCCGATTCCCCAGGTCAAGACCCTATTGTCTCCTGATGAGCAACATACCGACGACATCAAACGCGAGAGGGCGTTCCATGATCTTCTGGCCAAAGCTGGGGGACGCCCTTGGTATTCCAGTGAGCTCATCGACCAAGTCGTCCAGAATCCAGAAAACCACGCCGAGCTTCTTGAGTACTGGAAACAAGACGCTACCGGATCGGGGAAGCAAGAATGGATGGTGTTTGAACGCCAGTTGGAAAGGTGGAACCAGTTTTGCCGTTATCAGCTGAGAGTTAGACGAAACCGGGATACATTTGACGAATACCTGGCGCGATGTACGAAGTGCCTATCTAAACAGTCGCTCACCACGCCACTTCATATGAAATCAGATCCGACAGACCAGGATCCATTATCACAATGGCTTGAGTACCTATGCTTTGAGGTGTCAGAGCGCAAAAAATACTCGTGGTATAAGCGCTATAACCAGCAGTATGAAAGCGCCTGGCAGACACTCGTTGACTCCAAGTTGTTGGAATTGCATGAAGACCGAGATCAGATTGAAGCAGCAGGATATACATCAGTACCAGATGGTGAAAGGACCAAACTAAGACAAGCCGTGGAGGTGGCCAGTTCAAACGTCTTATTAGCGGAACGGGATCTGTTGAACCCAAGTGTCAGGGGGCCAGTAGCACAACGGAAGCTCTTCGAGACTCAAGCCAAGCTAGACTCTGCAATCGAAGCTTTTGATCATTTGCAACGTCGGGGGGATGCGATCAAGGTGTTTCTCCAGACCACCTCTGCCTATCGCGAGGCAAGGCGTGGAGCCCTGCGACACCAAATGCTTTTACGATGGATGCGGCAACAGGTCCCGTTGATAGAGGAGGATCTTGGTTTACCGCCTTCGACAGGACATGTGGTTGTGGATGACGATGTGCTTTTGGAGACTGATAGCGACGAGAGCGACGACCAGAAACTGAGTATTGACTCTTCTCGCACCGAGTTGATGGACACACTTGCCGAGCTGCAACGAAATGAAAGCAAAAAGCGTCTTGCGAGTATTTCGGCAGAAGTTAGTCGGACCAACAGCAATGTTCCCCCGAAGCGCTTCAAACATGTGGGCAATGATGAAGACGAAGCGAGCTAACAGTAAGAGATGATGGGTCACATTTATGTTTCTATGGGAATATCTTTGACTTGCTGACGGCGTTATCTATTATGGTTTTGAGGAGGAGTTAGGAATCACTTGGATGTACGTGGCATGGTGGATCTGTAAGAGCAGGAAAACGGAGTCTGGTCAAGCTTATAAGAAGAAGCTACATTAACCTTGTAAGATATGTGAAGCTCATTGGCGATTTATCAAGACAATTTTAAATGTTTGCATGTATACTCCAGACTTTCTCATCTGACAGAAACTGCTTATGAATTTGATGGCCGTGAATGAAATTTAATACTCTCGATATCCATGCAGCCATGCTTTTGCCATGGTCAACCCTAACCCATGGGGTGTGATCCAGCTTCCACAGTTCCACTAGCCACGTCGGAAAGGGTCCTCCTGTGTTCCCACTTCCAATGGCAAGAAACCTTGGCGCATTTTACCCCCACGACCCCTGTCAGTTCAATCTGAATTGTGCAGGCAGGTTGCAGCTTGTCCTCCTCCTTTGACGCCATCACCAACAGCTGCCTTACCAAGGCTACCCCCCCTTGCGTCGACCTGATTTCTCTCCCCCCTCCTTTTTTTTCTTGGGTTTGGCCTCTGTGATTTTAGTTCCCACACAATTGATCGCGAATTGCTTCAGATGGCCTGAACGATCGATGTGAGATGGCCAATCCTCCCCCCGTTCGTCGGGGCTCTTCTACAGGCCATCTACCTTTACCTCCACAACCGCTTGCGCCCATGACCCCGACATCTAGCAAATCTCCGTCACCACCGCACACAACGAAGACAGCTCCTCCTGAGATCGATGGTCCCGTTCATCCGTCCCTTCTTCAACCACGTGTCGCCGTCGTTCTCAATGTTCCGAAGCCATGGCACCCGTGGCTTTTTGCCCTACGGCTCTTCTCCATCCTGCCGGCGTTGTGGTGGGGATTGCCTTCTGCGCTTCAACTACTGTTACGTGTCTTGCCAGGACCAGAGATTGTAGTTGTTGTGCCTTCAACGACGGGAGGGTCTGTGGCTATGAGTGTCGAGGCAGATCCGCGGTACGCCCTGACTGAGACTGGGCTCGCAACTATATGGGTGCGTTGGGAGATTCCCCGAGGAGACCCAAAGCCAAAAAGTGCTGTGCTGATATGATATGCTGGACGTTAGTGTTTTGCTTCGGGATATTTATCATTCTTCTTCACAGACTGTCTGATGTCCAGATGGTAGGTTATTCCGTCATCTCCGTTGTGACATTCTCGCTGTACAACATCATATTAACTAGTTCACAGGCTCATCAATTATACCCCACAAGCGACAATGGTTCGCCTGCTCACAACCAACTTTTGTAACGCCTATCTCACTGCGTTTGTGCTCTCTTTCACGGGTGGTTTCCAAGACCCTCGTCTCCTCCTCCCAGGTTGGGTTGGCATAGCCACTGTATGTCTTCCCCGCACACGCGACACACGGCACTCACCGCAACCAAGGTTTGCTACCTCAGCTAACAACTACGCCACAGACTCTTACCATGATGTATCACGTCACCCACCAAAAGATTAACATTCGCAAGGAGACGTCCACCTCCATCAACGTCTTTTCCATAGCTTGTTCCATCACTATGGTGACTCTGCTGGTACACCTTCATCAGTCCACACCTGACTACCCCCAGATGCCAATTGTAGCTTCTGGTCGGCGCGCCTTTGATGAGGCATCGCGCGTTATCACTCAGATCAGGGGAAGCATCGAGCAGCATGAAGACCTGTAGAACTTCTCGGCTGTCTTCGGGCGAATGAAATGCCTCTGTATTTGTGTATGCACAAAGAAGCAGGCGAACCGTTGTTGTTTTCCTTTACAAATGACTTTCAGCGACTTTTTGGTTTCTCTTTGAACTCTGATATCCCCGCCCACGCTAGGGCTGAACATGTCTGATTATTCTGCTGGGCTATAGCTGAAACCGAAACCTCATGTATACAATAGTCTGTGAATCCCAAGCAGTGTGCAGCTTTGGAGCCTGGATTTTGGTTGGCACGACTCCAGTTGCTGTGCCTTAGAAGTGGGACCTGACGTCAAACTACCACCACAACTAGGATTGAAACAAATTCACATCAATTTTTAGCAAAAAGATTCGGAATCGACTTTGTATTTGCCTGAGACTACTGCGGGGCTTGCCCATGTAGACATATCTGACTAACGAGCGACTGACAAGCCATGTTGGTGTAACAAATGCTTTGCCCGTAGCCTCGTCTTCGTGCACGTGAGCAAGATGGATGCCGTAAAGCTACCATCCACCTGCTGCAGAACGCGTAGCATAAGAATAAATACTCTTCCAAAAAAAAAAAGCCACCAGGAGTAAAACTCGCCCTGAGTGGATGCCCGTCGTCCTAGAGTAATCGGAGCCGAGCCTCGGTGTGTCTGTTGCGAGAGCAAGAGAACACGTCCGGAAAAGGCACAAGCCGGAGAGGCCATGCGTCCCTGTCCCTCTACGTCAAGACGCCCGGGAACGGCGACTGACAGGACGACGGGGCATGTAGAGCTTTAGAAACCGTGGACCTTAATGGTCTTGGCATCTAGCTCGAGGCCTTCCTTCTTGTCGATGAGAAATTCCTGAACATCTTTGCGCTGATCACCCTGGAGCTGGATCACCTCTCCCATCTCGGAGTCGTTAACGATAGTGCCATTGCAGGCTGGTTCGCATTAGCTTCGTAGTCGGCGGCGGCGGAGTGTGAAGCTTACCAAACTTCTTCTTGATGACCTTAAGAATCTTCTTCTGGTCAAATTTCTTGGGGAGACCCTGAACAGTGGTCAAAGTCTTACGTCCATTACGCTCTGGAGCCCATGTTAGCATTGTACGCGAAAACGATGCCACCTAGAGCCAGGTGTAGCATGGATTCATTCAGTCACACAGAAATCTCACGTGAGGTTACGGTGTGATGTGATCTTTGATGCGCCCGTGGCTAGTGTGGCTGGAGTAGAAGGTGACTTACGCTGAATGCGTATATGGATGTAATTCTGCGTCTGCTTGGTTTCTCCGGTGTCCTCGTCGGCTTCGGCGAAGGGGTCTAGTGTCGCGATGGTCAGCTATGGTGTTCCTCAAAATCGGATTTGTTGTGATGGGATACGGAGATGAGTGGAGATTCAACATGTGGCTTGGCGGCAACAAATGCAGGTACGAAAGAACGGGATGACAGGCCGATGTCCGATAGTCGAGACGACCCGCGCAGACGAATACCAGAACCGGGGGGAGAAGGCTTCTCGAGGGTAGCAAAGAGACTCACCGTAGGTCTTGAGATTTTCGATGGACATAAACTCGGAGGTACTGGGGTGACCTTGGGAAATGGGTTTTGTAAGGGGGAAGAGGATGTTTTCAGCGACCGCTGGCAAGATAGCGCCTCGCTGTGTAGATATCGAGTAGTGCGTGTAAGTGATGAGGATGTCTAGCGACGAGGTTTGCGAGGTTGCAAAGTCTTTGGAGTTTGCGGGTATTTGTGTTGGTGACGTTGTTAGGGAGAAGAAAGAGTCGGGAGAGTTTGGTAGAAGCGGGAGGGGCAAAGATGAGTAAGTGGGCTTTAGGCTTTGGTGGGAGGCAGGAGGCAGGACGGGCGTGCTAGCTGATTGGCTCGTGTATTGGCCTAACTTATCAGGCAGAAAGCCTTGCGAGATGAATTCGGTGAGCATCCACTATCATCTATTGAATGGGGCCCGTCGCTGGGTGGAAACACAATAGCTCGAAGTTGAAAATTATTAAAGGTAGATAGCCTGGTCTGCGAATAAAATAACTTCCTTAAATTTACATTATTTAGGTAGATTACACTTTTGTTTCTAGAGGCGTATTTTCAGAGGTTCGTATTAGTAGGCAGGTCATTCTGTAGAAGTTGAAAATTGATGAGATATTTTGATCATTGGTGCAAAGCAGCCATTCTCCTTGCAAGGCTCACTTGAGCAGTGATATTGGCCAAGATCGACGGAGTAGCCTACCGTACGTTCCAACCAATACACGGCAGTCCAGCCCAGCCACCGTTGGTCCTCTCTTTATTTCGGGAAGCCCGTTGAAAGCGGAAGATGCCTTGCCCCCGAACCCAGCAGGACTCCTTTCCATCACATTCAATCAAGTCGAGACCTGTCATTGAGTCAAAGCTCAACATGGCGTCCGCTTTTCGGCACATATCTTGAGCAGGTAGCATTTGTCGGACATTTTGTTGGCTGGATGCACTGCGCCTTCGCACACATTGTGACATGACATCTGTGATCCATCATCCTCTGCAGTCCCTGTTCAACTGAAAAGCACGGTGTTGTGTTGTATTGCGTTGCGTTGAGGCCAGTGGTGGTCTAACAGAAGTTGTTGGCTGTCACTATTTCTGCAAGTCACACGGCCTTCGCTTGTGACGCGCAGGACCGCATCCTGACATCCGAAAAGCCAGTGTTGCAATACCTTGGGTTGGATTGATGTGATGAGTGACTCTTGCCAATGCAACATGTGGTTGGAGGGAGGCAACTCAGATAAGAGTCAGCCTTTCAAGCCAGACACCGCCACTTACCCTGAACTTCCTGATTCGTTCAGTCATTTCCTCAGTGACTTCTGCGCAAACACAGTCATAAGTCCCGTTTATGATGCAAACAAATCGCAATAGTGCAGAGAAATGGACCAGATCAAGCAAGATTCTGGTTTTCAAGCCGGGAAGGATCCATCGGAAAGGCACCTGCCAAAATCAGGCCAGGGGTGGTGAATGTTACAGATCTTAGCAGCGATGTTAGCACGGAAGGTTCCTTCCGGGCCGTTCTGATAGACAACCTTATTAAGTATGTGGGAGTGAGAGAAGAGCAGAACGTAAGGTAGCTGCCAACTCGAGGGACATTCGTAAAGTAAGGTAACCACCAAGGCAGCCTACCTACGTCTACCTACATCAGATCACCATACTGTGCTGTACAGACCGACATGGAATGCATCAACCCTTCCACCTTGTTTCATTTCTATTACCCTTGACCGTGGCATTGCTTCTCCCACGCAAGTTTGGGTCGAGCCCTAGCAAGCATCCGCTTTCACAGAAATCGGTGCCACTTTTGCCTCGTTTCCCCCAAGACCAAAAGCACATGTTTCTTACAGTAGACCATTTCGTCATTATCAGTGGCTGTTTCGCCCAGCTCTTGGACCCTAGATCGAACCATCTCACTTCGCTTCCCGGAGCCGAGAATACTAGTCAGGGCTTCAGCTGCCTAGATCCTGGGGCACAGCTAGCCCTATTCGGAGGAAGTCTTGAATACTGCTCGCATCATTCGCGATCTCCACGACCACCCGTCACTATCACAGGGGCCATCAACCCCGGACCAAATCCGATTAAGTACGTTCTAACAGCGGTGATCACCGTAGGATCGAGGTAACGCTCCGAACGCACCTTATGGCTGTTGGCACCAGACAGTGTCTGACCACTTTTCAGCCTGCATCTTCGGACCCGTCGGCAACCCTTCCGTTTCTGGATCTTGTCTGAGCATGGAGTTTCAAAAGAAGGCACCTTTTGAGCCCGAGGAGTTTCCTCCGGGATCGCCACCCGTAATCCGCGAACGTTGCGGCGAAGTTACCTGGTTACCTTTGTGCCGCCACACATGCACGTTTGAGACTCAGCATTTCGACAAGATTATGCTCAACCTTGTTGAGAACCCAAACCTCAACTCCAAGTGGTTGTTTCGTGCAGATGTTCTCTTCGACGATGACTGTCAGAACCCTGCCCCTGAAGCTGGCGGTGCCATCCAAAGCCACCCTCGGGTTCTCGACTTCCAAGGATTCAGCCGGCAAAGAACCATTGTGCGCCGATTGATACCCCGAAACACACTTCGCGATGCTCCATTAGACCAGACATGCTCCTTCTATCAATCAATTAGTCATGAGGATCAAGAAGCTGACGGGGAAGCCACCCTGTCAAGATCACTGGTCGTGTATATACCACATACCTCCTCTGCTGCAGACCTACCCTTCTATCACCCAAAGGTCAAGGGTATCAGCCAGCTTCATGAATGGGATGTAGCCACCAACACAGGCACCATCTCCGTTCACTTTGCACTCTTTGAACCTGAGACAGGCGAGGAAGAGGTCGACCAAGTCAAATTGGGGAGGATCGCTTACCATCTTCTCCAGACCATCCACAAACATGGTCACAGCACCGCTAGAGGCTACGTCAAAAGAGTTCATCACGATGTCATTGTACCCCGAGAGAGGTTTCAGGATAGGTACTCTGAACTCAAAAACAAATACGCCAGAGCTCTTGTCAAGTCCTGGCTCGAGACTACAGATCCTGCAAAACATGTGTTCGAGGATCTGGGTATCGCAGCATTTCTGATTGAGCTATGGAAAGAGATGTACCACGATGGGGACTTTCCAGGGTTTGTGGACATCGGCTGCGGAAATGGGTTACTGGTTCATATCCTTAGGATGGAAGGATATGTTGGTTGGGGTTTCGATGCCCGCGAGCGTAAGTCGTGGTCTCAGTACAACTCACCGTTCACAGGATCACTCTCTGGGAACTCCCTTCAGAGATTGCTCTTACTTCCCAGTGTCATTCCCAAGGAGGCGGCGAATGATGATACTAGAGTAGTCAACTCTGAAGACATTCATGACGGCCTCTTCCCCAAAGGCACATTCATAATTTCTAACCACGCCGACGAGCTGACACCTTGGACACCCATTCTTGCCGCCATATCTCAATGCCCGTTCATCATGATACCATGTTGCAGCCACAATCTTACAGGAGACAGATGGCGAGCACCTCCGCCCCGAGACAAGACCAAATCAAAAAGTATGTTTGCATCTTTAGTCGACTGGGTTACGCAGATAGCGGAAGATTGCGGGTGGAACGTTGAGACGGAGATGTTAAGGATACCAAGTACTCGAAACACAGGCTTGGTCGGCCGAGAGAACACAAGGAAGGTTGAAGAGGTCGATATACACGGGATACTGCAGAAGTACGGAGGAGTACAAGGGTATTACGACAATGTTGTCAAGCTGCTCAAATCGTCCCCCAGAGGACACTGAGCACACCAACCTGAACACACACTTGCCCGCGTCACCTCAGTCAAAGCTGCCCGTGGTCTGTCAAACAGCAAATGACCTAGATATGCAAACGCATCCCCATGCCGTACATATTACGATTGGGGCTAGAAGGGCGCAGCAGATGATCGTCTAGCCGATCGACTAAGTAGCTCCCACCTTCGGAATATTCGTTCTTGATATGTCGGTACTCCAGACTGTCCGTGTCCACGGCCTTAATAGCTGCACGACCCTGGATATATCAGGGATTGGCGATACGAAAGCTGGTTGTCCAATGCTTCCCACACAGTATTACTCTCGTCATACAGCCGAGGCAAATTGTCCGCATTGGTCCAAGAATGTGACAGTTTCGTTTTCTCATGCATGAGCTCTGCAGCCGCTTCTTGATGTGGAATCCACGCAAGCCATGTTATGGAAGTATTACACACACAAGCCTGGGACAAATGTGCTGGACAAATAAAATCGAGCTATCATTTTGCGATCGCCATCCGGTTCCATGACCTTCATCCTCGCTTAGACGTTCGACTCTGCTGCCGTGCGGGATGTTTCGATGAGAGTTTGCGAAGGTCGTTAGTGTTTCGATCTTGCTTCCTGATAGCATGGATTGACTAGTGCGATTCCGCGAGAACGGGACAGCTTCACACGAAGGCCCGACTTTGTCTATCTTGAGCCTGAATGTATCCCCCTCTTTTTCATCTCGAATTTGGACACGGCGCCAGCTCGACCCATTTTCAACGGTTGGCTGCAGCTCCCTTCCCGCTGATCAGCGGTCATGCATCATGAACTGGGATGTTATAGCAAACATCATAACACCCTGGTCGCGTAGTCGGACGAATGACAGCAAACGGATTTTCCTTGCACTAACGTTGATGTTAGAAATGTTCTCCTGCAGGTAGCCGTTCGCCAAGCGACACTCCCTTATTTCCACCGAAGTTTTGAGACACCTTAGGTGACGGCACAAGGGTCCGGGCTGCCGGAGCGTGGAATGAGCGAATGATGAACTAATGCAATGCAATGCAATGCTTATCGAGGGACTTCTTCAGGCCGGATGCACTGGATAAGGGTGGTATACAGGCCGGGCTCACCCCAGGAAGCTTTGCCGCTCTGCTGCTGCTTATGCGTCGCAAACACCCATGTAGAAGCCAACAGCAGTGCAACTCGACGCTCACATATTTGATCGCCTACGCTTACGGCTCTAAACATATAAGTATAAAGCCGCCGGGTTTCTCCACCGTTATTCCCATCCTCGTCTCAGTATTCTTATCACGGAATTATAACAGTCAATCAAGTGTGCTCTTACTATCCGCTTGAATACCGAGCATTGCATTCTCCTCAACCATAAGCCCAATATAGTCCACACCCCTGACCCCAGCAGCCATGTCGCAGGTGCCTTACATCGAAGTCTACCGGTTCAACGACCACATCAAGTCCCTCCAGGAAAAGGCCATCGTGGAAGTGCTCACTTCTACACCTGGAGAGAAGCAATCGAGATTGGGCACGTATGGCTTGGAAAAGCCATGCGCAGACTTGAGTGATGAAGTGATTCGGGGCCTCGTAAGTCTCAGTATATATTAACAACCAAGTATATTCTGACTAGATGTAATAGAGTGGACCACTTGTGAGATGGGCTACCAGCCGTGGTGCTGTCATCCAAGATCTCCAGAGACCTTGTTTCCGATCCGAAGCCTTCCGTCTGCAGAAAGGCAGCGCCCTGTGGCCGGGATCTCATTCCACTGCGTTGCTCGTGCCCTTGAGCAACCGGAATGCGCAGATCGAACTGATTCCACGTGGAAGTAATGAGGCCATCACGCACAACTGGGATCCACGAACGGTCATTCACTTGAACGAAATGGGGCTCCAGTTTCAGGGAAATGGAAGTGTTCGGTTCATCTACATCTTGTTCCAGACAGCACCCTGCCCTAAACGTCAGTTTTGGTAAACTTTCTATCCCAAGAGCTCTCAACCAGTATGGACACATGGGTTGAGATAGCGGATTCTTTTTATCTATTCAATCTCCACGTGTACAGCACTTCCTAGTCATCAGCGATACTGGATACACACGCCAACTCAGTATCTAAACTCCCATCCCATTCAACAACATCATCCCGTTCTTCGAATTCCATCACCCTAGTCATATCAACACTGCCATATACATAGATGCTCGCGGTTTCTCGAGGGCACAGGATATGGTAGATGACTTCGTATCTATGAGCAGTAGTCAGGAATAAGGACAGAGTCAGCAAGGAAACGGACAGACCTTACCCCCACTTGGAGTGCCGCCCCCCCAGCACTTCATAAACCAGAGAGGGTATCTCGAGGTATTCAGAGTCGAGGGGTGTTGTCGGCCGATAGGCTGATGATATCTGCTCTTTAATGAGGCGGATGCAGGCAAGGTTGCAGCATTGGAACACTTGGAGACAATTGTGTGCTGGAGGAGACTTAGGGACAGAGTTCTGGTATGGGGAAAATCTGGAATCTTTCAAAACTTACCATGCAAAGGAATTTCGTTTGCACGACAGCCAACCACTTTACTACACTCTCTGAGTATTCCGATGCCTGTGATAACTCCCTCTCTCATCCTGTCTAACATGGGTAGCGTTACTTCGTCTTCTGAAATACCGCACTGTCTCACGCAGGCCCTCAGGCCATTGTACACTTCCTGTCGTGGGCAGCCATCGATGAGCGCCACATGGCATGCAGCCACGAAAACGAGTGAGAAGAGGGAACCAAGAGGGGGATTGTTGCAAGCTTGGGCAAGATGCCAGGTACACTCGTTGAAGAACCGTGGCCAATCGAGGTGAGCCCGAAAGCCCGGGAACAGGTAGGGCAACTTGAGACGATGGCACAATGATCTGACATCGGCGTTGCTACAGAGGTAGCGGGACCAGTCGGCGTCACTTTGAGGAACTTGAGCGAGGAAGTGAAGTGCATGCGGATGCAAGCGGCCACGCTCTGCACTGTGTTGGTTGTTATCGGATCCTGGATCGTCGTGTTTCACATCTTTCGAGTCGCCCAAATCGTCATCTGTGTCGGTATCCGAAGCAATTTCGTGAGAACAGGCCTGTGGATCAAGCTTGAGGTCGGAACCGTCACTGGGCTCATGAAGATTGTGGAGCTTAGGAGGAGACTCAGAGACCATGTTCAAGCCCACGTGAGGATACTCGAAGATCCAACGATACTGAAACTGGGACATGGCGGCGGGCTAATCCTTGGGCAAAGCTTGGTGTTGGTAACTGGAAGTAGCAGGATGGCAACTGGTAGGGACGATAGGCTATAGGGTTTGTGGATATGTGTAATGTTTTTTATGTTGATTGGCGAAGTTTGAAGACGGTGTAATAATAGAGGCTGGTGATGGCGGTAACGAAAAGCAGGTTTCCATCTGGGGAGACTTGGCTTGAATATGTTGCACAAGGAGGAGGATTTATTCTATTTTCTGGCTACAAACGATGATGCAAACATCAGGACTTCATGCAATGGATGCTAGGTCTTTCTGTTTTCTCCTTCTACTCCCTTGACTTGGAGAGTCTTTCTTCTGAGTTAGTTGCAGCATGAGCAAACGAAGAGTCTCACATCTATCTTGCATCCGTTGCCTCGAGTTTCAGTTTAAAACTCCACTATAAGGCGGAAACAACGGCTTTCCTCACGGGACGCCTTTTCATCTCCGCGGGAAACGGCATTAGTCTTGCTGTCGAAGGCCTTAAAGGTCTATGGATGGCGCCGCCACGTTTTCTCTTCGTCTCAGTGTTCTTTGCGCCTACTCAACGTCGTTAGGCTCGTAGTGATAGGCCCGGCCTCGTTGGGCAGAAGCAAACATGTCGTCAGTTGGCTTGTCAGGATGGTAGGGACGATCTCACAGTGGAGAGTTGTCGTCGCTTCAGGAGTCTTGTTGTCCCCTGCAAGTCTTGGGCGGTTGCTTTTTCTAGTGTCGACCAGGGTGGAAGCACAAACGGCTATCTGCCCCAATGCATGCAGTTCAGATAAGCTACTGCCGTCGTCGTTTGAACGTGCTATAGCCTACGACAACTGGGGGCGAATCGTGCTTGCAGCGACTGACATCAACCCCTCGCGGGAACTCGATTCCTCTATTCTCCAAGGCGCAGGACACTTCGCTATGGGTAGATGCAGGCGGCTCAGACTTCCGAGTCTGTCGGTCACCAGAAGGAGAGGGTGTTCATCCTTGCTCATAAATTAACGGGTGAGCTATGATATACTGTCTTGTATGTATGTACGCAGCCGTTTGTTGCAACTCACACCCCCAAAGGCTATTCAACGGGCGTCAAACGGCAATGAACTGATCCGGCAGAGTCCGCCCGCACTATGGGGGCCACCGTTTCTATATCAGCGCTTGTTTGGCAACTTGTGCGCCTCGATCGAGCTGCAGCCGGGTCGATGGGCTCTAAGAGAGACAGGGGACGTATAGACCCTGGACGTATCTGAGGTCGGAGAAAAAGATCGAGGTTCGAAGTGGACTTGTCTCATATCACATACTTTAAAATAAGAAGAGAATGGCCCGATGGGTCTGGTCTCGTTAGATCTCGGATACTCCCTTGGCGTTGATTCGATATCCCGCCGATCTGAAGAGCCTCGCTTACGGATCGTCTGCAGGCGGATCCAGGCTAGGAGAAGAGTGTGTTTGGACGAGATCGTGTCATGATCAAGTCATTCGATCTTGGAGTTTGACCCCTGGCCCTTGGATCCTGACCCGAGTCCCCTGCTTCGTCCCGTCAAGCTTAAGCTAAACTCGTTCAGTTTATCTCGTGATCCCAGATTGAGATTTGATTGCGAGATTGAAACGCTGGAGAGGCTACAAGAGTTGAGTCCAGGCTTGCCAAGACGTGTACTTGCAGGATATGGTCGCTCTGAACAAGGGTGACCCCTGACAGTAAGCACATATGGGTCTGGCTTTTATTTAATCAGTCAAGCTCGTTATTACCGTCGGTACTTCAATAGACAGAGATAACATGTCTCTACCTTGCAAAGGCTGAAAGGCCATGATACTGACATTTGAGCCTGTGCGACATAACCGCATATGCATCTCCCCCAGACCGGTGAGACGGGATACAGCATGAAAAGCGCTTATTTTGTATGCAAGCGGGCGGAGTAGGCAAACGAATGGGAGCTACATGACATGAAATGAATGACGATCATATAAAGAACACGGCATATTTTTGGGTGAGACAGATCTCATCGTTTGCTGCTGAAGCTGCAGCTGCAGCCCGAGAGAAGTCATCACATCACATAGCCTACGGCCTACCTAAGCACTCCACTTGCCGCCTCAAACTGTCTCAACTCTTGGAAAATGGGAATCGGCTTGAAAGCGATGACCTGATCATCTTCCAAAAAAGCCTTGAACAGACGCTCTATGCAAGCCTCGAAATCGTACAAACGGATATTGTACTATGCTGTTGGCCGTTCGTATTGTTGTCTCGCGCTAATGCACATACAAACACATGGATGCTCCATACTCACAGCGCTCTGCCAGGTTTTCACGGAGGAAACATGATTGCGGTACTGCAGCTTATTCTCTCGTGCTCAGTTGATCAATTCCCGCTGATTCCATGCCATGCCATGCTATGCTTCCTCTTGCGGGTTGCTACAGGATGAAAAAGAAAGAAAGAAAGAAAGAAAGAAAGAAAGAAAGCAACGCATCGCCGTGCCCTGGTATGTAAGACAAAGGAAATTGATAGAAGAACGGAAAAAGAAAAGAAGAGAAAATCTCGAGTTCGTGAGTCACGCTCGAGTTCGCAGTATATTCCGATCCCCCGGTTGGACCTTCGTCAATCTTTCGGTCCATTGTCCTTTTGGGATAGCAACTCGTGGTTCTTGTGTCCATGTGTGCTTTTGATCGTTGATCTTGCAAGGCGGGACAGCTGGTTCACTATTAGCATGCTTTCAAGATAGGAGCAATAGTATCTTACCTCGAAGATAGTCGATCAAAGCTCAAATGGCCTTTGAAGGTCGAGTTCTGTATCGTTAAAGTAACTTATGCTCAAGTCTGCTTCTTGTTCTTCTCCTTGTCACCGCCACCTGTATCCTTGTCCTCCTCAGCCTCACCCTCCTTCTTCTCAGCAGCCTCGACGCGGGCGACAGCCTTATCACGCTGGAAGTGCGATTGCTCTCTCTTATTCTTGGCCATCATACCGGCACGGGAGAGCGTCTCGATGGTGGTTTGGTCTGTGAGGCCGGCGGTCATGCGGCGCAGATCCTCGCGGGCCTCCTCACTGAGAGGTTTCTGCTCGGGTTTCTTGTTCTCGATATTCTTATTGTTGTCTGCCATGATGGATACTTGATGAGAGTGATGTATGTCTTTTGTAGTAGTCAAATGAAGCTTGAGATGTCGATGAATGATGAACAAGAAAAAGAAGAACAAGAACAAGATTGTCAGTCGTGACGGTCAGTCTCAAATAGAAGGAAAGTCGTCAACAAGGAGCGAACGGCGTTGACAATAGAGCCAACTGCTTCATTGAGGCTCCCTATCATTGATGCAGCGTTTACATTGCAGTTCAGTAGGTATAGAGAGAGAACAATAGCATCGAGTACAATAAGAGAACGGGGGGATCTTTCGATAGAGTGAGTGAACGAGTGTTTGCTTCAATAACCAAAGCAGGGACTGCTGCATTCAACCCCATCCCAACAAACCATGAGGCTATAGGCAGACTTCAACAACAATACTCGAAAACTTAACATGACTGCTATCAAGAGATATATTTGCAAATTCATGCTTGAAGGCCGTAGAATGTGCAACGTAACCACGGAGGGCCCGATCATATCAACAAGAGGTGCTTGAGTGTTCAATTTCTAGTTTATTATTGGGTTCGATGACAACGGCCAATTTCTCGTGTTTTAGACATGATTTATTTATTATTAGAGTTAGATGACAATTGTCAAATCTTAGTATTCTAGACACTGAAATGACCGTGCAACACGCCTTGTTTAATGCGATACTTGACCATTGGGTTTTGTGCACTGTAGCACTTTCAAGGGCAAAGTCACGAACCTTGATACATACAAAGGATAATAGTCCGATACGTTGCACGTCAAATCCACATGTGTTGTGCTCTCATGAGGTCATTCCAAGTGCTTGAGTCATAAGTGATGTATTAACTATCTATAATTGTTCTCAATCTGAGGTCCCAAAACCTGAAACTCCAGACATCATTGTTGACTGGTTCCTCTATAGACTTTGTGTTTTCATGTCGCATCTCAATATACTCCAATGGAAATAATTCGCAAGTCGCTTCCTGTGCCAGCAGGAGGACCGAATCATGCTTGATATGTACAAAATGCAAAAGTTGAGACCCAGCAGCCAAGCGTTTGCTGACTGGGTACAAGGGGAATATGGGTAAATGCAAAGCGCCATGTTCATAATGAAATCCAAATGTAAGTAAACGACGATTCCATCTTGCGAGGAATAATCCAGGATTCCCTCAAAAAAAATCCATGGCGACTATGGTTCGGGTTTTGACTTGGCCTCTTCTTCCCGGCCACCCGTCGAGTCTATCTTCTCGAGTGGCTTATCGTCCACCTTTTGAGCTTCATTAATGGGCTCTTCACAGATTGAGCTTTGATCTGCCCAGCTCACAGTCCTCTTTCTTCTCTTTGGCGTAGCAGCATTCTCCTCGATCTTGTCTTGTACGATCGCATCTTTGTCCTCTGGGCTCATGGTATTAACACTCGCCCGAGGAAACTCGGCGGATTCTCGAGTCGGCGTCATTGGTGGCCGACTACCAGAGTATCTCGATGCTTGCATACGCAAGGAGCTAGTTCGCATGCGACTCATTCGAGATGTGTCTCCTCTGTTCATGTCGGCATCCCACTCTGCGAAGTCTTTCGCACTCCACGATGCACGGTGGGTCCGGCCACTTCGAGGCAGACTGTTGACCGAGTGACGACTCGAACCGCCACTGTTTGCCCTGCGTCGGTTGAGTGGATGGGCTGGATGAGACGGGACCTGCGAGTTTGAGCCCTCTACCATTGGGAACACATTGTTCTGGGTATTGCGTCGAACGTTGCTGACACTGAAGATGGACTTGGATAACTCCGCAAGCTCATCCACTTCGTCTTCCTTGGGCTTTGATGTACCTGCTCTATCATCCATGTGTTCGAAATACCTTACTCGCAAATCATCGATTTTATCTGGGAAGTCCTCGCGGTTGCGGGACAGAGACATCCACGTCGATATCATTCCAAGGACGATCAGGACCAAGATGGCTGCGGCAAGGAAACACTGCACCACAAGGATGATCATGCCAATAGCTGTTGCTGCAACGCGGCTGAGGTCGAGGGTTCTCAAGAATGCGATGGAAAGGCCAGTAGTGATGATCTTCGAGATCGATAGTAACCAAATCGCTGCTGTCGTGTTGCGAGATCCTTCAAAGGGCTTGAGTTTGATGATGATGACCAGAGCGACGACTTCAAAGACAAAGAGACCATAGACCTGGGCCAAGGGGCTTGCTCTACCTCCACCAATGAAGCATGCTCGGATAAACTGATATGCCAAGTAGACCGTAAAGAACCACCAGCGAGAGAGTCGGTATCGTGCCGAAAGCCATCCGTAACGCTTGATGTAGGGCTCGTCTTGGTGAACCTTTGGCCTTTCGGGGTCCTTGTCGACAAATTTGATGCGGCGAATAGGCAGACTGGCAAAAAGGCGCGGTTTGTGAGCCTGCTCCTCCTCGCCGATGGAGCTTTCGAGTGTTGTTGCCACAAATGGAATTTTCTTGAGGATCAACCCTTGCTCAAAGCGAAGCGTATCAGACACAACCTCATACTTGCCTTCACGTAGCCTGGATGAGCAAGCATACGCTGTTAGACCAGCAAAGCCCAAGAACATGACGAAAATGACTGCAGCAATAGCAGTCGGGCCTGGCGGAGCGTCAATCGAGAACTGGAACATCGCCAGTGTCATCATGACAAAGAAAGCGATAAAGAGCGTTCGAAGTAGGCCCGCGGCCATGTATCCGACCCAATGTGAACGAAAGAAGTCGAAGCCATCGGACTTGATAAGCTTGAATTTGTGACACAAGTCAAGCACAACCTTGGACGTTGCCACAAATAGAGCCACGGCCGCTAGGACAACAAGGAACCAGATGAGCCCAATGATGAACGCGTCGTTTCGAGGGATGCCGACCACAGACAGTACACCAGGGAAACCAGAATAGTCGCCTGGAAGTGGCATTCCAGGATTTCGAGGCTCGCCAGCCCAGTCATAGTCATATGGGTTGCTAGAGTTGAAATCGTGGCGGCGGGTTAACGAGTGAACAACACTCTCCAGCTGAGGAACAGATCGACTTCGAAGGCTTCTGCCGAAGATCTGCTGCGCAAGACCACCACCGTTGTTGATGGGAACCGACCCTGCAGAGCCAACTTGGCTGGCATTCCCAGAGACACCAGCAAATGGGCTGATGGCATCAATCATGTCAAGGCTTGCAAACATGCCAGCGGTCCACGCAAAGTTACTCCACCAGGCAGGAAGCAGGGCAGGCCAGTTGACGGATAGTGCCCCGGAAAAGAAGATTGATTGAAAGGTCTCGAAAATGATCAAAATTGAAAAAGAATGGGCGTAGTGCATTCTTATATGCGGGATCTGAACGCCATAGATGGCTGTCGCATATGAGGCCAATACCGCAAACACGGTGAATGCTCCCAATATTGATCCCACAATCTCTGGCTGTGAAAAGGTCCTTCCGTTACTCATAGTAGCTTGGAAGCAACCAATTTCTGTCTGTGTTGAGTTGGCAAAGATCCGGATGCGCGAGTATCCTTCCAAGTCGGGAATGTTAAGAGCAATCGACGGAATTCCTGCAATGTCATTGGCAGATATTGAAGTCGTAATGTATGCCTCGATGGGTTGACCAGCCTTCAATGGGCAAAGGCTAGTGATGTTTTCCGCGCAAGGGTCGTATGTTTTGTTAAAACGCTCTTCTCCGTATACCTCAATAGAAAGATGCACTAGAATCTGGTTAGACTAATCAAGCAGGGCGTAATAAAGTTTCGCAACATACTCATGACGCTTTCCTGACGAATATTGGTGCTTCCATAGACGTGAAATGACACAGTGAGGTTATCAGAGTAATAAGCCGTGTCGAAACCCGTCACATTGAACAGACTTCCATCATTCAGACAGTCGTCAAAGTCGCCCGTATATAATGATGGTGTCCGACTAACATCGAGACGTTCGTGGAAAACTCCATTGTCGCCAGTTCCGTTGATGTAAGCCTTATCTTGAGCGCATACCGTTGGGATAACGCTCAGGGCGGAGAGAAGGCATGACAATGCTGTGAGAGGTCGTTGTGTCGCGAACATCTTGACGATGAGATGTGGTCAGGGGGTCGGAAGATGCGGAACGCGGGCAAGCCCGCCAGGGCGGTCTTTACGATATCGTCGTCAATCTCTTTGGGATCGAATATTATCTTAGTCCAGAGAAGGGAGTGTGTAACGTTGCCGATGAGTTTGGTGGTGGAAATTTGGTCGATTCGGGTATGTAGATCAGGAACTGCAGGTCTCAGATAGGAAGTTGACGTTTTTGAGCAATACTTCGACAATTTCGCATGCGGCTATAACGGCGTAAAGGGGTTTCGTCGCAGAAACGTAAACGAAGGGTTATCGATGATCGAGCATACGGGGGTTGTTCTGGGCAGAGGAGGGAGAAGGAGCCAAGTTACTCGCGGGAGATTAAAGCTTGGTGTTCTTTGTGCCAATGCAAAATCTCGTGTTTGTTTGACGTAGGTGCAACCCCAAGACTTTTGAGAGACACAACAGTGGCGCAGCGGCCGGGAGAAGCCACTAAAGATCGGCAACCTTGCGACGGACGGGAATTTAAGGTTGGCGTGATGGCAGCTGCAGGGGTTTTAATTAGAGGGAAAAGATTCGAGATTTAATTCGCAACAGGCGAAGAATGCGAGGTGTTGGGTTTGAGAGACAGAGATTATTCTGCTCGAGTCAAAAAAGAGAGATAACCACAAATTGAGACTAGAGCAAGCATTGAATCTTGGTAATGTACGGAAACAGGGAAGGTTGGGATTAGATCTTGGAGAAGTCTGATCCAACCACATTTTCTGGGCATGCACTAAATTTGGCGTGAGCAGTAGCGAGAATACTTTCAATTTACCGGACCGCGCTTATCGTTTTTCGGTATCTACTTCTATCACGACATGTTCTAGACCAACCAACCCCAGACAAAAGTCCTTCTCTTGATAGATTATCTCTACTCCGTACAAAAGGGTAGGTAGCGTGCAAGGTAATAAATTCACTCAAAACGCTGCAATCTACTCACACCGAAACTTCGTTCTGAGTACTCACTACACGACTCAGTCAGTATAGCAAGGTTTTGCTCGCTCTCACCGGCTTCTGGCGTCATTATCGGGGAGTTGGCTGCTATCGATTGGCCAGCAGCGCTTCTCCAAAACTAAAAATCAAGAGGCGGGGAATTGCCCTTTCCACGTGTCGGGCTTGCAACGATTGCGACTGTTTTCTGCAACTTGGCAGTTCTTGGACTGCTCTTTGATTGGAGAGAACAGTGAAAGCGATGCATCATGAAAACAGCGGCTACAGAGCGTTGCAAACGAAGCGTTCTGTAGTGTCCTCTCCAGAAGTTACCCTAGTCTAGATAATTGACTGGAATCATGTGCCAAGTTGAGACAATCTGGCAAGTTGTCTTTCATTCCAAGCAAGCGAGCTCTCCAAGTCGCGGATAACATTTCTACGATGCTGGATATTGGTATTGTCCATCAACAATGCTAGGACATTAGTTTTCATGGTGTACGATTAGCAGAAGAGCAGCTTCAGAACGGGCATGTCTGCGTTATATATAACCAGCTTTCGGACCGTCGGTCGCAGCTTTGACCTAAGCAATGACTCTTGGCTTCCTCATCCACCTTGAGGTGCCGTCAAGATGCGGGTGGGTGAATGGGGCTAGATCGTGGGATTGGGTCTTGGCGGACGATTGCGACTGAATGCCACAAAATGAGGCAAGCTTGTCAGCTGCCGCCTTTCTCCAGTATCCTCAGTGTGTACAATCTGATATACAGTATCAAAACAAGTATTCTAAGCTCATTTCAGGTCACCAAGGGTGTTGCCAAGAACAGACTATGTATGCTTATCTTGAGGGAGAACTCAATTGAAGAGAACTCATTCAACAAATGAGAGCAACCTCACATCCAAAAAGGACCATCCCACAGATTTTTACAGGGCTTCAAAGGGTACCTTGTGAAGCTGGGTATGTTGTCCAGTCATACCTCTACTAGCCTGTTATCGTAGACTCTTGGGTCATGACCACATCTCAGAGAAGACGAGTGAGCCTAATGGAAATTTTTAATGTTTGTCCTGCGTGAGAAAAGAATTCGATCTCCAAATTAAAGATATTTACTTCCGCGTGGCCTTGCCGATCAGCCAACCCTCCAAAAGTGTCGTATCAACGTCACATAATTGCGTGATTACTAAGATAGGATCTCTGATCCATCATGACTGAGGGGAAGTGAAAAAAGGCGTGCTTCGTCTTTTCCCCATTTGTCGGGCGATCGCCCGACAACCGCCCGGTGGGAAATTGAATAAATACGCCCCAGCAACCGTATAGATGCAAGGCTAAGGAGGATCACGATCGGAGAAGTAATTGTATTCTGGCGTTGATGAAAAGGTATCATGTTTAAGATACTTTGAACTCAAGTATCCTCATGACAAGACAAGTCAGCTTGAACAAGATATCCCATAGAGAACACATCTTATAAAGCCTCGACAAGCCACGGTTCTTCATGGAAGCAAGCTATTAGTGGATATAGATGCATACCGTATGTTACATGTGGATGAATGGGTGGTCAATTGGTCATGGCATGGAACATGTCCGTTGAATCTATTTCGTTTACCCTTGCGCTCAAGATGGATACTGAAGCTTAGACAGGGGGTTAAAGAGGGACCCTACTGCAGCTGTAGCAGCGCTTGAAGAATTTCCTTGCCGCTTCCAAGGTACCAGGAGCTGAATTGGTCGTGAGAGATTCGAATAGGAAACTGATAATCCATGTTGTGCATCTCGTTCCGCTTTGTAATCGCATTTTGATGTGTTGCGAGTTCCGAGCATAGACATTTCTTCAGCGTGTAAGCCGCAACATCAACACCTGTATCTCAACCCACTGCAGCTGTAACAACTGCAATAGCCTCCTCGGAAACCGTGGAGATTCCTCAAGTTTCTCATCATGATGCCCCCCATGCCCTCCAACGCCGCCGAGAGCGATGCTCCGACGGCCTAGTGCCGCCTTGTCCGGTCATGTCGTCTCTGATTGGTCTTCTGGGTCGTCGGCGGCATGTATAAGCCTCAAGCTCCGAGCACGTCATTGAGAGCTAAAACCACGACCCCATTGTTTTTTCCTCTTTTCGAGGGCGAGGATACGTTCAGAAGATGAGGATTGGGTGCATTGGCCGATTTCGTCCGTTTTGCCCATGGAAACGCAATTTTTTCTCCCCTTACTCGCTACATCATACACCCCCCCCCTCCGGTCCAATTGACCCCAGTAATGAAGGACGGGGAGAGGGGACTAATCATGACAGGGTGGATGTGGTAGTCGTACTCTCGTAGTGGATGGGCTTAAAGATCGAGGTACTTTTCTATATCCCGCTGGCTAGTCGATTTAAAATCAAAGCACATCCTTCTCTCCTACTATCCATTCTCATTCTTCTCGTCCTCTGTTTCTGGTCTGTTCGTCGTTGTCTTTCTCCGAGTAACACCTGTGCAATCGTTGACCCCCACGATTGCGTGCTCCAACTTCTGTTTTCTTTTACAAAACCCCGAGAAACGACTCGGTTTTTGACATTCTCCTTCATCCTCCTCCCTCCTCAACACCACAAAAACTTCACATCACAATGGCCAACACTCCTCACGGTGGTGTCCTTAAGGACCTCTTCGCTCGCGATCTGCCTCGCCAGGCCGAGCTCGAGGCTGAGTCTCAGAAGCTCCCTGCTCTTACTCTCAGCGAGCGACACCTTTGCGATCTTGAGCTGATCCTCAACGGTGGCTTCTCTCCTCTCGAAGGTATGCGCCTCTTGTTTTATTCGAGAAGGTCTTTTGCTTCCCCCGCCGTGATGATGGGGGGGGGTTGACTTCGGTGCCCCGCCCCCGCATCTTCCGGCTCCGGCGGGCGCTTTGCGACGGCGGCGATTCTATCATGAGTGAGAAAGAATAGCGATTGACTGGTTGTTTTATAGGTTTCTTGACTGAGAAGGACTACAATGGGTAAGTTGAATTGTACAATCACTCAATTGCTTTGTCGATGAGCTAACAGAGTCTTGTAGCGTCGTTGAGAACAACCGTCTCGCTGACGGCGCCCTCTTCTCCATGCCTATCAACCTCGATGTTGACCAGGCCCAGATCGACCAGCTCGGTATCAAGGCTGGTGCTCGCATCACTCTCCGCGATTTCCGTGACGACCGAAACCTTGCTATCCTGACTGTCGAGGATGTCTACCGACCTGACAAGTACGTGATCATGGCGACTCTCACTTCCATGGGGCATTGGTGCTAATATGGACACAACAGGGTCAACGAGGCCAAGAAGGTCTTCGGCAGCGACGATGACACTCACCCCGGTGTCAAGTACCTCTTTGACACCGCTAAGGAGTTCTACATTGGTGGTAAGCTTGAGGCTATTAACCGTCTCGAGCACTACGATTTCCTCGACCTCCGATGTAAGTCACTGTGGGCAACTGAGACGCAACATGAGACTAATAACCACCAGTCACTCCCTCTGAGCTCCGCGCTCACTTCAACAAGCTCGGCTGGCAAAAGGTCGTCGCTTTCCAGACCCGAAACCCCATGCACCGAGCTCACCGTGAGTTGACGGTCCGCGCCGCCCGCTCCCAGCAGGCCAACGTCCTGATCCAGCCCGTCGTCGGTCTCACCAAGCCCGGTGACATTGACCACTTCACCCGTGTCCGTGTCTACAAGGCTCTCCTGCCCCGATACCCCAACGGCATGGCTGCCCTCGCTCTTCTGCCCCTCGCCATGCGAATGGGTGGTCCCCGTGAGGCTCTCTGGCACGCCATTATCCGAAAGAACCACGGTGCTACCCATTTCATCGTTGGCCGTGACCACGCCGGTCCTGGTAAGAACAAGCAGGGCAAGGACCACTACGGTCCTTATGATGCTCAGGTCCTCGTCCAGGAGCACCAGGAGGAGCTTGGTATCAAGATGGTCGAGTTCCAGGCCATGATCTACCTCCCCGACTCCGACGAGTACCTCCCCATCAACGAGATCCCCGAGGGCACTCGCACCCTCAACATCTCCGGTACTGAGCTCCGACACCGTCTCCGAACCGGCAAGGAGATCCCCGAGTGGTTCTCCTACCCCGAGGTCGTTAAGGTTCTTCGCGAGGAGAACCCTCTCCCTGCCGAGAAGGGTTTCACTGTCTTCATGACTGGCTACCAGAACAGCGGAAAGGACCAGATCGCTCGTGCTCTTCAGGCTACACTCAACCAGGGTGGTGGTCGCCCCGTGTCCATGCTTCTCGGTGAGAACGTGCGACACGAGCTCTCTCCTGAGCTTGGCTTCACCCGCAAGGACCGTGACCTCAACATCCAGCGCATTGCCTTTGTTGCCTCTGAGCTGACCAAGGCTGGTGCCGCTGTCATCGCCGCTCCTATTGCTCCTTTCGAGGAGGCTCGTAAGGCTGCCCGCGACCTCGTTGAGAAGTCCGGACCCTTCTTCCTTGTCCACGTTGCTACTCCTCTCGAGTTCTGTGAGAAGACTGACCGCAAGGGTGTCTACGCTGCTGCTCGCCGTGGTGATATCAAGAACTTCACCGGTGTCGATGACCCCTATGAGGCCCCTGCCAAGCCCGACCTCGTTGTTGACCTCGAGAAGCAGAACGTCCGATCCATTGTGCACCAGATTGTCCTGCTCCTCGAGAGCAACGGTCTCCTTGACCGCCTGTAAATGATGATTTTGGAGGAATTATCTCGGGATACAGCCGAGGGAGATACCCGCAAGCTACAACTACCTACGGCTTCAATGCGCATGGGTGGCGTGGCTAAAAGCAGCGTCACGGTATGAACATTTATTATACCGCTCGCTCTACGAAAATTTGCAAATAATAGCGCAAGTGATAAACGGAATTGGCGTTAATTTGAATGAGACGGATGGTGAAAAGAAGCGCGAACGTGGTGAATTAATTACACAACGTTCCTGGATCAATTACGACGAAGATGTACCGGCATAGATTAGGATCGATACAATGAAGATCATGATGAAACTATTTTCAGAAGCGAGCATATGCAAGTGATACGTGGGCTGCGTACTCGGCGGCCTATCACGAATGATAGTGTGACGCTTGTCAGTTGTGTTAGGCTGTGAATGGATGTTGCAGGAACCCGTGACAGTTTGAGCGCTTAATCAATCGTTGGTTGAAGGATTGGGCAGCACCGCTAAGAATTGAGTGAGAATATGGGCCGTTAAGATGGAGATTGATGCGTGGCAGCTGTGGATGGAGATGAGATATTATTTCTGAGTCATGTGAATTTAGTCTAGCAAAGGCACCGTTTTGCATTATTCAAGGAATGATATTAACGCAAAGGCCTCTGTCACACATTCTCATGTTCTAAATATGGCTTCCATATGCTTCTACCAGGGGGTGACAGGCGGTTAAGATGTTGAAGGTGGTTGGTCGTCATTCACTCTGTGCCCAGCCTCCAACGTCGCATCTACAGCACTCCCCTGTAAATCTCTTTTAATGGGTGTGGCCGTGCTCGGCTTCGGTTTTGTTCAACAAAGTTGGGCTCCACAGCAGAATTTGGGGAACGGCCCTTGGGGGAGGTAAGAAAACTGAAGACCTCAATCCCAGGCGACAGAAATACTTAGGCAAGGTTGCCATGGATTTAATCACCCTTTTGACCGAATGTTTTTGACATGTCAGTTAAAGGTCAGAAGTTTTCTTGCTCCCCAAGGGCCGGGCCACGGGAGACGGGATAAACGGGAGCTTCCATGATCGGGCTGTGTAGAGTGAAGATTGCGTATGCGTTTGTGTGTTTGTGGTGGCTCTGTCAATGACGAGAAATTGAAATTGGTGGTGATTTGCTTGTGGTTTTTACTGGTTTTGGTGTCGAAGCCTCTACAGGTTGACATCATTTGTAAGATCCCTACTTTACAGTTTCAGTTGATCACCGCCGTTGAATTTACTCCCCAGCGAAAGTCCAAGCTTTCCGATCCCCTATTAACGAGTTTTTAAATCGCAGGCTGGGGAGCTAATAAGCGACTCTAAATCAGGAAGCATTGAGTTAAATCACCCGCATCTGATTACAGCCGTGCTTCTGACGGTGAGAAGCAGGGCGAAGGAAAGGAATGAACCAAAGTGAATGTCTTGAGGGTCTTTCTGTCCTGCCTTAGTGCCTGATTCTTTCTCCCGGAACCTGACCTGAGACCTGGGCTGCAGGGAATGAACCAACCAAGCCGAGCCTGACACTGCGCTTAGCTTGCTTCCATTCAATGCGCCTCACCTCACACACTTCTACAGCCAGTACAACCATCCCCTCTTCACGACTCTCCGTTGCTTTGCTGTAACCAAACTCGCCCAACATTACCACCATTCTCACTTTGACAGCCTGAATCTCACTTTGCCTGATCCTCGCTTTTTTCCTTGTCATACCGCGATATCATTATCGACTCCTCCTTGCGCCCACTATTCTTGACCGCTTTCTTGAACTGAACACCCTTGGAATTATCGACGACAACCACGAATAACCACGAAATCACTATCCGCCATACGATACTCTTACCACATCTCCATGGTCCACCATGTCCTCCAAGGACCACGACCTCGAGGTCCCAGCCGATGAGCGGCCGCGCGAAAAGCCAAGACGCTCCAAATCCGAACGAAAGGATCACAAAGATCGCGACCGAGATCATGATCGGGAAAAGCATAAGGACCCCGACCGCGAGCGTCGCCGACATCGCACCTCACGATCTTCTAGAAGCAAGCTCAGTGAGGTGAGCGACAACGTTTCTCACACATCTAGTCGCCGTCACCGTCACCGTAGGGAAAGGGACAGTGACGAGCACACCCACCGTCATCACCGCGCAGCTTCGACCAGTGACTTGGCTAGCTCAGACATGGCCAGGACGTCAACAGCTGCTACCTCTATACTTTCTGATCGCATCTCAATGCCTTACCCGTCTTTCAGCAAGGCACACAGTAAGGAGGCCATCGTTAGTCGCGACTCCCTGTCTCTCCCTCGCCAACGTAGTCCCAAACCGTCTACTCCTGAACCTACAGATGCTCCAATCACTGAAGATTCGAGATCCCGCAAGGGTTCTGACAGCGGCAAGCCAGATGTGCCGCTCAGTCCACCCCGAACTGATCTGGATGCGGACAAAACAGCAGTGAACGAGGAAACACCAGAGGATCCAGCCAAAGAAGAATATCCAAAAGAGGAAGCCCCCGAAAATGAAACGCCAAAGGTTGAGACACCTAGAGAGGAAACCCCAAGGATCCGAACGCCTACAGAAGAACTCCCAGCATCCGAGGCTGGTCTCGAACAGCCAAAGTCAAGAGTGTCAAGTCTATCTTGCTCGGTATCACGAAACGAGGAGCGCTCCCGTGTGAGTCGTCGGTCCGGAGTCTCAAGCCAAGCTACCTACGTCAAGTCTTCATCGCGCCGCTCTGGCGACAAGATTCGCCGTTCTGATTCTCGGGCATCTAGTTCTTCTCATCGCTCTATCCACCGAACATCATCTACTCGAAGTCACAGAAGGTATGATGTCGATGGAGCATCTTCTCCTTCAAGCGCTCAGGATTCATCTCCCAGGACACCAACCCAGGCCCCATTCCCTCATGGATACCCGGATGCCAAGCCTGAGACTCCCTCAGTCATCGACGTCCAAGACGTCGATTCAAATCTGCATTCGAAGACAGCAACACCTGCGTCTACTTTTGGTGCTGCTCCTCCGCCTCCACCACCTCCTCCCCCTCCTGCCCTCGATGTTCACGATATGCCGCGAGTCGACTATTTGCTCCAGAACGGTGGCCTGGCTTATACAGCCCCTAAGAACTTCCTTTCTGTTTTACCCCGTCAGAATGGGAACCGACCTTCAAACCCTCCTCTAGTCGGTACAGACACCCTGTTTGCTCCCTTCCATAATCTATTAGACCAGTACAACACAGTACTCAGCAAGCAGGGTTCTATTGCTGTCGCTACTGGGCACCGTTCTGTTGCTCGCAGGCTGTTGGACCGCCTCGAAAACGTCTTTTCTCGCGACCTGCCTCCTCATGGTTGCACTTGCATCATGTGCGATAACCCTCATGAAATTCACGATGGTCTCAACTGGGGTGATGTGTTAGAGTGGGTGAGCGGTCGAATTGACCTCCCGCAGTGGCCGCCCTTTGATCTTGCCGAAGTTGGCACCAAAGCTGCTGAAATCTCCGGCGACAGGCCTCCTCGACCTCAGTCGCCTGTCCAGCTGGACCCTGATATTGCGGAGGAGTTTAGGGAGCACTATCTCCGTCAGTCGAAGAAAGTTCGCTCTGCTGTCGACCGATGGCTATCCAACACTGGAGAAACACCAGTGCCACCTCCCCAAGATGTCGACGACGAGACATTGTCCTTTGCTATTCTCACAAACCTTGACCCCGAGGACCGCCCTTACTTTAACGCGATCATGACCGGCTCGAAGGAGCTGAAGTCGTCAGTTCGTGCTCCTACACCTGGACATCGACCACGAACAGATTTTCTCATTAAGACCGGCCTGGCCCTGCAGCGGCTATACAGATTGCAGCAAGTGCCACGAGACGCTGAATCGGCCACGTATCTGGTTAAGAACCCGCATACGCATGATCTCCTCGTTGCACTTTCCAACATCAACAATTCAGAGTGGGAGATTCTCATTTCTGGTCGCTTCGACGGCTTCCTCTGGTCAGGAGCTGACGATGATGTGTCACAAACTCCTCACAATGAATCGCGCGGCCCGACCCCCGCTAGTGCCTATTACAATACACGAACGATGAGCCCTGGACCTCGAGCTTCATCGTCGTTCAGTTCGAGAAACACGACTCCTTTTTCGGTCTACTCACGAGGTACAACACCAGCCTCATTCGTCAGTGTCAACACTACAGGAATGCCCGGAAGTCGACAGGCCGTCTCGAACGATGAGGAGATGGAAATGGCAGCCATTGCAGAAATTGAACGAGAGATCTATAAGGGAATGGAGACTCTGGAGGATGCCTTCGAGAAGTTGCACAAGAAGGCCGAAGTTGTCCGGAATGCACTACGCCAGCGAGGAGCTGCTTTGATGCAGAACTTGCAGAACCGCCGTCGTATTGACGTGCTTTCCGGCCCCAACTCTGGAAACTCCCAAGCTTCGGGCTATGAGCGCCCGGCTTGGGCTGGCGAAAGCGATCGTGATCCGGGAAGTGACGATGATTGGGCATTTGATGATGTCGACATCATGCCTGATGATTCGGCCAGTAACATCAGTAGTTCACGACACCGACGACCTAAGAGGCGTACGGAGCGACGAACACCAGCCCCGATCAACGAAGAGGATGAGGATTGAGCGTCAGACTACGATACCCAGAACTCCATGGCATGATGGGGGAGGATTATACGAATGACGACAGAAACGTTTGAAGGAAGCGCATCTTTTCCAGTATAGAGATCTCAAAAACCAGTCCAATGTCTATTGTCACGAGAATTTGTTTGATTCACCAACGATTTGTGAGAGCACCTCAAGATGTTTGAGATTGACTGTCAGATACCACACATGTATTCCCAACGTTGAAAAATGGGGACTACGCTATACCTCGAAGGTGGTTGAGGAGGTTTATTTTTGCTTTGCTTTTATTCATTCTTGCTCTGTTGTTTTTACTGCCTTGTTCTACGGTGGGAAAAGAAAGACCGCAAAGGTCTATCATGGAGAAAATGAAACGTCAATCACTGATGGTGACGAACTTGTCAAAGTTTGTTCAGAGCTGGGGTTTTCTGGCCCAGATCTGAGGTAGTTGTCGGATCCTTGTTCAATTGTTGGTGGATGTGTCAATAGAAAGGGAGAGGTCTTGAGCTTGAAGGATGCTTGGGTCCGGTCATTGATCAGGGACAGATGATAGAAGGATATACCTCTGGCAGATTTAATGAATGATGGGTGGAATAAATGACCTGCTCCTTTTCAAGATCATTCCTGAAGTGACTTGATAACGATGACTCCATGGAAGCCTCTATGCTAATGTGCGTGACGTTTACACGAGAAACAGTATTTCTTACTCGGACATGTCTTGTGACGCCTCATTGTACATTAATATATCATCACGGCTATACCGAGACAGCTGCTATTTATAGCTAATCGTAGCTCGAATCCATGAATATCATTCACGCTCATTCCTTTCCGTTCCGTACAAAGCTTGAAGCAATTCCTAACATTTCATACAAAGAATGATGAAAAGTCCAATCGATTCTCTCCCTTTTTCACCTCCTTTCCAGTTCCTGCTCCTCCCTTGCGTGTATTTTCTTAGTCTTCATTCCCCTTCCCAATGCTACAAGCCACGCGTCTTGGCAAAGGAGATCAGTGTCCATGTGCACTGAATCGAACATGAGGCTGAGATTGTCTCAGCCACGTAATTATACAAAAGATCTACCCCAGCAGAGTACGCCTGAAAATCTTGGTCCCTTGGTCGCTTGTTCCTATCAGAAAAAAGAGAGAGGCCGTTAAATATTACAACGAGTTAGGCGTCAAGTAGGCAAATGGTCTCAGATGACGATAGGTCCTCAAACCGTGGTCTATTAGCGAGAAAAGAAATTTTGGCATTCGAGAGGGCACCTCTAGCTGTAGAGAGACTCCAGGAGGTAAATGACGCCGAAGATAAGGAAAGCAGTGGCACCGCCCACAGTGACTAAAGAGCGTTAGCTCGTTTGGTTGAAGAAGAGAATTATAGACTGTTGACTTACCAACTTTCAGGCTGACTCGGCCGGCAATAGCCCGACCACCAATAACAGCAACACCAGTGCAGATGGCATGGCCGCACGTAGCACCCAAGGTCACCCACCAGTAATCCTGACCGGCTGCCATAGCAATAGTAGCAATTTGACTTCGATCACCCCACTCGCCGAGGAAGGTCATGATGAAGGTCTGAACCCAAGCAGGGCTAAGCAACAGAGAGCATAGGTTGGTAGCACCCTGAACAATGCTGGCAACAGCACCTGAGCCCGAGCGAGCATCTCGTACAGGTGACTGAGAAGGCGATCGAGGAGGAGACATTAGACGGTTGCTGGGCCGAGACCTGCGGCCATTGCCATTCATACCCATCTCAAGAGTGTAAGCAGACACAGAGTCGCCTCGCTTTCGGCCCATCTCCTTTTCCTTTTCAGCAAGCTCTTGTTCAACCTCGTGCATCTCAGCAGAGACACCCTCGTTAGGGTCCATCTGCATACCCTCTCGCATCAGCTTCGCACCAAAAACGAAGAAGAGGCCAGCAGCGAGGAAACTGGTGACACGCTTGGGGATGAGAGTAGGAACAGCATGGCCCAGAACAGCCGAAAGAACCGTCATGACAAGAAGGGCACCAAAAGCGGCTGTGAACACAACCATACGGTCGTGCTTCATAGCCATGAGAGCTGCAACCAAGAACGTCTTGTCACCAACTTCAGAGACCAAAATCATGGTGAAGGACAGCACAAAAGAGTGGAATGGCTGGATAATACTCTCGTCATCATGGTGTCCATCGTGTGTCTTCCCTCGGCTCAGATCGATGGGCTCGGTCTTGGTTGAGTCTTGAACAGGTTTGTTCTGTCCAACGGGTCGGTCGGGAAGATCGGCAGGTTTCTGTATTTAATTGTTAGCTGTATTTACGATACTACAGATGGCGGTCTTTGCTCACCTCCAGTCCCGCAGTGTAGTCATGCTTATCATCATTGCTGATAACAGGCTTTGCAGCTTTGGGCACAACGTCTTCTGCCTTCGCGCTGCCAGTGTCGTCGCCAAGCTCCTTGGCCTTGTCTCCACCAGAAGCACGAATCTTTTCCTCTTCACTGTGTGGCAGAGGAGGCGCCTCCTTAGGTGATGAGGGTTTCCTGAAGGTCTCCTCCCCAGCAAGATCCTCTTCAAGCTTTCGGGCTCTGTACCTCTCGGTCACACCGCCTTCGGTTCCAGTGGTGCCTTCTTGAGCATGGACTCGGTTAGTGTCGAACATGACACCATCATTGGTTTCGGGGATCTTTTCGCCATCTACGACAGTCGGGTCTTCGGGTCGGCCTTTGAGTCCAGGAAGGGAATCCGGGTTGCTGTCGATTTTGGGAGCAGCCTCGGTTCCAGTTTTGGGTTCAGTGCCAGCTCCAGCACCTGCTGGTGCACCCGTTCCAGCTCCAGCTCCAGCTCCGGCCCCCGAGCCAGATCCTGCTGCAGTATCGGAACCAGCATCAAGGGCCACTTCAGGGGTCTTCTTGTGATCATCTATTTCGATAAAGGGTCCGTGATGAGGCTTTCCGTCTCTGCCATCAACAGGGGCATATTTCGTTGGAATATCATGACGCTTGACACCAGCCTGGGGCAGGCCATCGGTCTGTTCTGTAATCGCGGCTCCTGGAGCAGGTAGGTCGGCAATATCATTAGAGGCGAGCGCATTTGCTACGGCAGGGAGGAGGAGAAGGACCAGAGGCGAGTGTGTGGTTCGGATCTTCATGATGGGCAGTTGGGATCGTTATTGTTGAGTTGAAGACAGAGATTCGATCGTCGGGTCGCAAAAGCTGTCAGCGGTCGAGGCCGCGATTCAAAAGGAGAAACAGAGCGTCGAAAAGGATGGTTGATCAGTAAAGTTTGGAGCCGACAACCTTGCGACAATCGAAGTCGCGTGTAACGTAGCGTAGGTAGAATAAACTTTGCGGAGATAGCCCTGATGCTGACTTCAGACAATTACAGACACCAAAGGAATAAGAAAGGGGTCTCCCACAAGGTGATCAACGTGCGGAGCAAAGATCGAGCTACACGTTGACTACTTGAGTTAAAGAGACAAAAAGGGAGCTGCAAGGTTGGAACAGGAATGAAGATGGATGTTTGGATATCGAATTGGGTGATTTGGATTGGTTTGGATTTACATAGGGGCAATCAAATGGAAGATCCGCTCCGTACTCGATACGATGGAGGACGGGAAACTCCTCTCCCTGCTCCGTCCCAACAGCTGCAGCCTTGAACGGGCCTAAAATAATGGCTACAGGGGTGTCACCCTGCTGGAGAAGGACCCTAGGACGTCCAAATTCTGTGGCGACGTGGCCCCAGCCGTGGGGCGCTAAGCCTTATGTTGCCTAGGGGCCAAGTATTTTTACCCAAGCTTCAGGGGCCGAAGTGGCATTTCCATGATGCTAAACAGGGGGTTACTCATTTACAAATCCAAAGAACAACACTATTCATTTATTTGCTGCAAGCAAAAAGCAATTTCCTGATATTAATATCATGAACAACGAGTCTCGTGCTCTCGGTAGGGACTCCTTAGACATTGCGTCCACTCATGAATCGTGGCACCAAAACTGGCACCAAAACTGGCACCAATTCATTCCATCAACTGAATCTTGGGCTGTCGTTGAAACCACAAACACGAGCTGCCAAGCAGCATCGGATGTCGGCAATAATATTCTGGACCTCACAGTTGTTTCTTGGACCATTGACGCAGGGGGAAAGTTCTCAGTTGAATGCGCGGAAGCCCATCGTTTCTCACATTCTTGGCTTACACCACGTTGATATCATGTTTTCCCAATAAGTCTCCATGTCGCTGCTGCATCTCTTAGAGCACCTTGGATCCGCCAATCATGGTTTTAAAGCGAGAAATACTTGCTTAATTGGGGAGTTCATCTTTTCGTGTCCATGATGCTATTGTCAAAGGACCGATTTATCAGCTCAAGCCTAGGTAGGACCAGTCTGGAGAGTCAAGTATCCTAGTCGCTTTGGTAGGGACGCTCTTTGTTGCGATGTCTCTGTGCGGTCGTCACCGATAAACGAGACATGTCAGTTGCGACTTATCAATGTGCACCTCGACTCACTCCCTGTTCAGCCTTTGAAACGCCCTGAACAATTGCGATCGTTTCTGGACTTTTGCAAGAAGCTGGACGTGGCCAGGATGGGCGAGTTGTGTCTTGGAACGCCCAGTGTTCTTCCAAGATAATGGATGAATGAGTCCTGAGCGAAGCTGCACAAAGGCAAATTGTTCCGGGCCAGTTAGGCGCAAGAGTCATATGTCAGATATTCCAGTGAGTTGGTAAGACCTTTTTCTTTCTCTTTTCCTTTTTTGTACCATTTAACATATTGGTCAACTTGCACACTTCTCCGTAGCACGATGATAATGTATGTACCTTAAGTAGGCGGCATCAGATTGTGTCGTGACACTTCCAAATAAAGATTGTTGCAGTTCTGACATTCCACAGTTCTTGTATAGGTACTATCTCAATAATACCATGTGTAACTTATGTATCTTTGCTGATGTGTCCAAATATGCAGTTGATATCAAAACACGACGTTCTTTTAAACTCCAATTTGACAGAATCCGAGTCCAGGGTAGCTTATCGCGGGGCTTATCTTATCTCCGGTTGATGTCGTCACAAGCTCCGGGAGCTCCCCATTCTAAGTTGACTTCACCCAACAGATGCAGTACCTGTCTTGAAGCATCACACTCATCGCATCATTGATAGTTTATTAACCCGCCGTGACCCCCGTGAAGAATTGTATTGCTTGAAGCTCGCATATACCCTGTAGGATAGTTACTTTATCTTTTTCCGACCACACCACTCCTATCTTCACCGTATCGCCCCTCCAAGCTCTCGTGCTTAGCAAGCATTCTTTATCAGCTTTCATCTCGACCTTCACACGATTAACCAGATCTCACCCACTTGAAACATGGCGCCTGGGGAGGGTGAGAGGAGTTCGCGACCGCTCTCAGCGGACCCAAGTGACGAAGAGAACCGTAATGAGAGCACACGTGAATCATCGGAGGGACCGGCTTGGTACTATCAAACGGAAGAAGATGAAGACGAGGATGAGGAAGACCCAGACTACGAGGATGAACCCGACGAAGAAGATGAAGACGATTTTCAAGGTAAGTTCAAACCGTTGCTTGAGTAGTACCAAGTTTCACTAATCGCATCATATAGGTGTTAATGATCGTGACATTGAAATATTGATGGAGAATGGAGGTGATGACGACGACGACGAGGAAGACGAGGACGATATTGAAGGGGTTACTGACACGCAACGACTCGTAAACATTGTACGGAGTAAGTCTCGGCTTTCCAGCGATTATGAAAGACATGACTGACACTGGGGATGAAACTAGCCGGTGCTAGAACAGGACTACTAACACGGAGACAACTCATTGCCTTGATGCAGAGTCCTGATCTTACCAGTGTTTTATTCCAAGACAATCCTGGGGAGGACGCCGAGTTCTTGCATAACTGGCCTTTCAATCGACGTCGAACACCCAAGGACCCGAATCGCTTTCCGAAAGTGCCAAGTGAGCAGGGCATGAAGCTTATGCGATCAGGAGCATTTGGTGCAAATAACTACAACCCCAGAGCAAAGAGGCCACTTGCTGTGAGGATGCTCGAGCGGGAGTTGGCTTTGGGGAATCGCGAAGATCAGATACGAAATAATGCTCTTATCAACCAGGCATGAACCCAGACCTTTCTATCAAGACGATTTGACTGACAGCGTCCAGAGTCTACTACCAAAATCAAGAGCCGAAAAAATTATTCATTTCGATGACCCCGTGTATTCTGGACAGTTTTCGGACGATGGAAACTTCTTTTTCGCCTGCTCTCAAGACTTCAAAGTACGGATGTACGACACTTCCAGCCCATACAATTGGAAGCATTACAAGACAGTCAGCTACCCATGGGGACAATGGACACTCACAGATGCATCATTAAGTCCTGACAACAAATGGCTCGCGTATACTTCAATCCAGACTATGGTCTCCATAGCTCCTACGGATCCAAACGATACTGGAGATCCCTATACACTGGATTTAGATGACGGCCCCCCGCATGGATGGCATGGGCGACGTGGCTTCGGTATCTGGTCTATCAGGTTCTCAGGTGATGGAAGAGAACTGGTGGCTGGAACGAGCGCGGCCTCAATCGTGGTATATGACATCGAGTCTCGAACAGTTCTTCACCACGTTCGCGGCCACTCGGATGATGTCAACGCCGTGTGCTTTGCTGACAAGATGTCACCGCACATCCTTTATTCGGGCTCCGACGATACAACGATCAAGGTCTGGGATCGGCGAAGCATGGGCGATCACCGAGAAGCTGGCGCCTTTGTCGGCCACATCGAAGGCTTGACATACATCGACAGCAAGGGAGATGGACGATATATTCTCAGTAACGGAAAAGACCAGTCAATGAAACTATGGGATATACGAATGGCCATGTCAACCGATCGATACAACGAACTTGATCCGACAGCACATGCAAACACCAGTGGCTTCGATTACCGGGGTGGCATATATGACGACGAGGACTGGGATGTGCACCCCCATGATAATTCGCTTGTGACCTTCCGAGGTCATAAAGTCCTTCGAACTCTTATTCGATGCCACTTTTCACCTCCGACGTCCACCAATTCACGATATGTATACTCGGGCAGCACCGATGGCAAGGTATACATTTGGAATATGGATGCGAGCTTGGCTGGAATCGTAGATGTTAAGAAAGCTACCATGCGCACTCGGCCAATGGACAATCGACACCGCTTCTATCATTTCGATGAACCAGGCAATTGGGGCACTTGTGTCCGCGATGCAAGCTGGCATCCCACTGCCCCTCTCCTTGTTGGTATGTTCCCCCATTTTCACTTGAAAACATTAGCTAACATCAGCAGCGTCTGCTTGGAATGGGTATAACATGGCAAGAGGAACATGCACGCTACATTCGTATAACGACAACGTGGATGATGAAGGAGAACCACCGATGGGCCAGAGTGTCAACCACTTGCTCAAGGAACAACCTGAGCTATATCAGAACTCAACATATGGAGTGCGTTAGATCAAGTTTGCAAGAAACAACATTGGATATATTTTGTACAATTGGTCACCTTAGCCAGCAGTCTTGTAAAGGATACCTCTCAACCCCATGCAAACCGCGCCTTAGACGTGAAAGCACATCCTTCTCATCCTCACGGCGCTCGATCGAATTCCAGCGTAAGAAGTGTGTCGCGTGCCCGCCATAATTTCATTTAACTCCGCCCCAGTGTACGTACTCGCAGCAAGAAAATTGTTGTGATCGCCCTCGCGTCCACCCCCGCCGTGCGGGTTTTTGGATTGTCAAGTCGCCACTATCCATAATCTCTTCATCGCCTGATCGTGTGATCGTTTATGCGCTACCGACGAGAGCGTGGTTGAGGGGAATGTGCACTGAGGACATGTTAGAGAACGTTACACCTGAAGGAAATTGGATATCATACCCAGCTTGACAACGTAGCCAACAGCGCCCATGATGAGGAAACCAACGCCAACAGCCTGGCAGAGTCGTAGGAACTCCTTCTGGTCAGCTGCAGAGTAGTATGTCAGTAGAGGTAAGAGATGTGTGAGTGCGCAATGAGTCGACATACGCTTGGTGCATCGTCGCACGAATTGAACTCCGTCCTTGACGAACTCGGAGGGAACCTCGAGGATCTCTTGAACCTGGTCGGACATATTGTGTGTGTATGTGGAAAAGAAAGGGGAGTTATTAAAATTAGATGCCGCGAAAGAAGAGATGTAGCTTCGTTGAGTAGAAGAAAAGGCAGAGTCGTCGAATTGAGTCGGAGTCGCGAGGGGTTGAAGAAAGGAGAGTTGAAGTTTAAAGGGGACTTCTTTTTGGTGGTGATCCTAGCTAATCTAATGGACAGCACAGCTCTGCTCTCTGGCCTCTCCTCTATTGCGACGACGTGTTAACAATTACCTTACCTAATTTCCAATTGGGGGCAAGGCCAGATTGACTTTGACTCGGGCCGAGAGATGACCCGGGGTCTGGACCTGACTTGCCTGACAGTTACATTTCAGTGGAGCCAGATGGCCTGTGGGGAAGGAAGGTGCTGTGTGCCTGTGCTTGTGCCTGCTCTCTTTCCCAGCTTATTTCCCCGGGCCCCAAACGCGCAGGCGCTAGCAGGTAGACGCCAGCTTCCGCGAGTCGCAGTGCTTTTGCTTGCGAAGCTCTTCCCCAGAAAAGAAAGCGTGAAGCTCTCTTCTTCCTTCCGTCATCCGCTAACCTCTTTTCCTTCATCTTTCCATCCTCCTCCACTCTCACAACGACTCTAGGTCGAAGTTCCAAAGTGTTTCTCACGCTTTGATTACCACAAATTGTCCGTTCGACCTGCCTTGTTTGCGATCAAGCTTGGAGCGCGCCAGAGCCTGATTCCAATCATCGGCCAAAATCGACGCTTGAGCACGAGCGTTGGGATCACTAACACACGTAGATCCCTGTAACTAGGCGATTCTTCGCGAAACGAACCCGGTCGCGATCTGTTTCGATATCGAGGTTTAGGAAAGAAGGAGATTGATCGGGCTGACGGCATCCTCTATTCCATTGCTCCCCATCTGTATCTGAGCGCTCGCTCGGAATATCGGGAGCTAGACAGCGAGGATTGCAAGCACAGAGCTTCGTCCTGAGTATCGCATCTTTGAGTCAAGAACCATCTTATCAGGGGGTTATACCTATAATAAGGCCCCAATCTTGTTACGAGGAGTGTACGTATTGCAAGCTCCCAGTCCAATTCATTTCTCTCGGGTGTACAAGGCCTCTGAGTCTTGCGGGCGGCGTTTGTTAGCGATGGAACGTTCAATGGCTGATGACTTATGTGTAAAGACCAGAGGCCAACTCTTGTATCTCGCAGGCAGCCTAATTATCACATTTGACAATATCCTCATTACTGCCCAAATCTCTGCACGGCATTAATCTGTGCCAAGTGCTTAAAGTCAGTAAAAATGGCTGAAGAAGATTTCGAAATCGATATCTACGGCGATGAGAGCAACGACCATCAGCAAGATGACCACCGAGGCGATGACAATAACCAGGACCATCACCAAGGCGATGATCGAAGGGATAGCCATGGTGACCAGAACATGGAGGAGTACCACGCCGACAACCACCACCATGCAGGAGACAGCCACAGTTCAAGTCATCTTCAAGCGCATGGTTCTCAACAGGGGACAAAGAGGAAACAGGAAGATGATGGTCGACCAGTTGACCAATCTGCCACAACCTCGCTCATGATCTCGGAACTTAACTGGTGGAACACAGATGATGATATTCGAGGTTGGGCGCGAGAAGCCGACTGCGAAGATGAGATTAAGGATATCACCTTCAGCGAACACAAGGTCAATGGCAAAAGCAAGGGGTACGATTTTCTTAGCTCCAAGTGTCGGGACCCGGATGACTGACAGATTCGTAGCCAAGCTTACATCGAGTTCTACTCGCCCCAAGCATCTACAGCCACTAAGCGTCGTATCGAACAGATCATAGCTGAAAGCCAAGGGGCCCAGAAGAAGCTCACCTTGACCTACTGGACCACTACCAACAATCCCTTCAAAACCCTCCCCAAAGATGCCCCTGCCAGAGGCAAGGATCAAAACCGTGCACCATCCGGCTCATACAACAATGACCGAGGCGGCGGTCATATGGGCGGTAACTTTGGTGGTGGTTTCCGAGGAGGAAGGGGTGGAGGCTACAACCGTGGTGGTATGAACCAAGGTGGTTACAACCGGAACTTCAACAACAACAATAATATGGGCGGCTACAATAACATGGGAGGTGGTTACAATGGACCCATGGGTGGCGGCGGCGGCGGTAACTTTGGCTTCAACAACCGCGGAGGTATGATGGGAGGGGGCATGCGTGGTGGCCCTGGTGGTATGCGAGGTGGTCGAGGAGGCATGATGGGTATGAACCCCATGGGTGGGAACATGGGCGGGATGCCTATGGGGATGCCTGGAAATATGGGCATGGGCATGATGGGACCTAACGGTATGCCTGGTGAGTGATCCTTATTAGTAGACAAACAAGGCTCTTTGAGTGCAAAGCTAACATGTACAGGGTTCCAAGGAATGCCTCCCAACTTCAACCCCGGCTTCGGCTTCAACCAGAACCAGGGCGGCGGCGATTGGGGCAACCCTCATGGAGCAAAGAGACCACGACCAGAGTAGTACCCCGTCGTTGGGCCTAATATTCCGCGCCAAATGATCCCAATGGCGCCTCTGAGTACAAACACAAGCACAAGCATGGACAAAGGGAAATCGGGACAACAATGAGAGTCTGATATGCGTGCATTTAATTCCGATCTCTAGGCCAAAGACGAGTACGTTTTGGGAAGTTTGCGAAACCGCATGAATATGTTATCGAGTGAAAAAGGTTGAGGGATAATGGAAAGCAGTAACTGGGCACGTGTAACATAGATTATGGATGTTAAGGTTAGGGCATTGGCGTCAACAAAGCGTTTTGTTTAAGTTTTCGTGAGTCACTGAAGAGAAAGTTACCTACGTGAATTGTGATATTGCCTAGAGTGGGCTTGAGTATATAAAGAACATGAAGTCTTCTCCCAGACCGATCTACTTTCCTCATCACACGCAATTATCAATCAATGGACTATCCCGCACCCAGAATTTACCCGCCCATCGCGATGGACACTGAACAGCCCGTTATCTGCATCAGATATCGCGCCGCCTGGCCTTCTCTGCCCCGACTGCCCCTAGACGTTTCACGAATGCAACTACCATCCAGTATCCACGATCGACAAGGCGAGATCTTCGATCGAGTTGAGAGAATCCTCCAAAAGAACAACATCTCAGGGCCAGAGACTGAAATCGAGCTGGTCGTACGCCGAATGAACCCAACTGTCTTGATCAAGTCACCATGGAAGAAAGACAGCAAGACAAAGTGGGCGCAAACGGCCGAACAAATCGTGGATGCCATGAAGAAACACTTCCAAAGCGCAATCCACAGAGGCCTTCACGTTGAGATGATAGCACCGCAAAACTACGAGACGGTGTACATCGGCGTGGTCGAGGAAGATGTACCATGGGACGACATTCGAGCTGTTGCGAAGCGCCATCTCGACTCCTCCGATGCAACACGCAACTATCTAAGCACCCTGACCCTCACCAGAAGGGGATTCTCCAAGCCCGAAGAGAACCCGATCACCGTGTACATTGGATGCTTGGAAGATTCTGACGAGACCAAGTGGGATGGTATCATCGATGGAATCGAGTCTGAGTTTCGTGAGAGAGGATGGATGGACATTGTTGTTCATATTGAGCACAACTGGCCATTCACTAGGATGACCGTTGACTAAAAGATATGGCTTTGGATCATGGATACAAAATACTCCTGGAGACAACAATGGAACATGTGCAGCCGGCGGGTGTTTGACGGTGGAATCCCACTTGAGTTTCAGCGTCAAGAGAAGGCACAGAGATAACACAGCACCAGGTCTAATCTAGCGTTTATTTGATTACTCGAGGACCACAGCCCTGGGGTGGAAATGAAGTACGATAGCGCTCATTACCGTTAAGAACAAAGTATAGCACTGGTCTACCCCAAGAACCCAGACTCATTCGTCACATTGCTCTCCTTTGTAGCCTCTTCTTCCTGACGTTCGCGAAACGTCTTCCGCGGCCACACTGAAATGTGCTCATTGCTAAAAGTCGGATCTTCTTCTCTGTTTCTAGAGCGTGCAAAGTCCAAGACAGCGCGGCGAAAGGTCATCATTTCGATCTTGTTGGGTATGTTGATGAAGATATCCTTCTTCCATTGGTGGACAAAGATGAGGTAACGGATTGGAAAGGGGGAATCTGCCTCGAGATCGGCTTGGTATTGCTCGAATACGACGTCTCTCCAGGTTTTATTGAGATTTCTGGTTGTCATTCTGAGATGAAATAATGGAAAGTGAATATTGTTGTGTTAGAAAAGGTGAAGTTGTTGATGCGGATTGAGGTGGTTGCTTAGGTTGTTAGTCATGCATCGTACGTCACTTGATCGACAACCGCAGAGATCAGCTATAAGATCACAGTCAGGAACCATAAATCGAGACTTGGGTAAGTATAGAATATAGAAAAAAGGGCATGGGATGAGCATCTGTGAATGACTCAGGTCGTCTGAGGCTCTGTATTATCTTTCTGAATGTTCTTGGATGCAGCCTCCAGCCTTTGATACCTGAGTGTTCAGATCTAAGGCATCCGTACCTTCTCGTGTCGTCTGCGAGCCCCACGTGATGCCGCTTTTCATGAGGTGGGAATGAAGGACATCGGCCTCTAAGGAAACAGGGAAGGCACTGTCAGGCAGTGCTCGCCTCTGTTGACGGTGTCAAGAATAACAGCTGCCAGCTGTCGGGTGATCTCGTGCACTCGGAGGTGCAGAGTATGATTTCAAAAGATGCCAGTAGATAAAAAAGGGGAAGCTCTTGGTTATATGTGCCAGAAAGATCCAAGCTTTATTCCGGCAGTGCGCTTTGCTGCGTCACAGATTGTGATTCACTGTCGATTTCAAACAGTCATCCAAGGTACTAGGTAATAAGTAGAGGATTGCCAAATTTGGCACATTTAAGCTCCAATACTGGCTCTGCGATCCAATGCTCTAAGGATGCTACAGAAGATCATAAAGCCTTGAGAAGTTGAACACAGATATTGAATTTGAAGAGAATATGGAATATGAATTGTGGTTGGTCTCTGTTCAAACTCGTAGAGACGAAGCCACATTAATGGAACTCACGTTTCAGTTTGTGAAGCGGCTGACTACCAACTTACTTGTCTCACGAGATACATTAATTGAAATGAGACAGACTTCATAAAAGAACATAAGCTTGCTGAGAAAGCTCCAGTGAATATTCAGAGAAAGTAACTCTAGTTAGTTTCTAGGGAGTCACTGGCCTGGGGAGCTCCATCTGACTCTCAGCTTTGCTATTTTAATCGTAGGAATTGACCCAGAGACTTTAGGAAACCACGATATAAGCCCATTAATTCAGTGAAGTATCATTGGATAATCGTGATTCGAATATGTAGTTGCCGTAAACCTCATTATCTTCACATTGCAGCTTAGGTTTGCCATTTCCCGGTTCCTGTCAAAGAAAGGCGAACAATCAGTCTTTCTCAATTTGTTCAGAGAATTACAACCTACAGTTCATTCTTCTAGAAGTTTGTGTCTGCAATTGTCATGCATGTTCTCTCCTCTCTGACACGGAGACCTGCATTGGAACAGCATTGATATGCCTGGTCCCCCTTGAAGGTCCCTATATTGCATAAAGCTGTTTCAATGCAGCGATACGTAAAAGCTGGTGGAATCTGCAATTATCGGCAACTTGCAGATCCCTTTATTAGGCTGGTGGTTGTTGGTTCAAAACGCCATTCAACTTATCCGCCCTTTGCCAAGGCTAACTGCAAACTCTCCGAGGCAAACATTTGTTCAGGGTCTGTGCTGGGCAATGAGACTCGAGTCCGTCCATGTTCGAGCTAAAGATGTTGAACAAAGAAAGCGTTCAAAATATCACATGTGTCGACCAATGAAAGTTATCGGTTGTTTGTTCCAGGTCAGCACATGGTGTGAAGAGATTCAATGGCCTTTGATCTATAAATACCTAACTCCACGGCTCAAGATACAAGACTCAAGACTCAGCAACCACCAGCTTCAACTCAATGGGCTCTAGTGATCCCATACTTACATTGTCAATCAACAACACTGCAAATCTCAACTCCCCTGACTTCGCCAATATGTCGACCCCAGAGGATTACTACTCGGATGAGTGGACAGACACTGATTCAGAAATCAACTCAGACGACCTCACGGACATCTGCTCAGGTGACGGCTCAGATGCTGGTCCAGACGCCGGCTCAGAGCTTGATCGTGACGTTTTTGGCCCTCTCGTTGACATTAGCGAGGAGTCCATCATCGCTCTGGCCACCAGAATCGCCAGAGATGTGCTTCATGTTCTCCCAGGCAAGGCAGAGCTTCTTAAAACAGTTTCCGGGTCTTACAACATCGTCCACATTGTGCAGCTGGAAACCGTCAAGCTCGTTATTCGAATCCCCGCTACAGGCTGGGGGGGTGGAATGACAAAGGTAGCAGAAGATGCCCTTTCATCGCAAGTCGCAACAATGCGTTTCATCAAAGAACAGACTGGAGCGCCTGTGCCCGAAGTGTACAGCTGGGACCCAACCAACAACAACGAAATTAGTGCACCTTTCATCTGCATGAGCTTTGTTACCGGAGAGACCGTGTCTAGTGTCTGGTTCAAAGACTCAGTGGATGACAAGGCGCGAGAACAGTTTCGTCTCAACATTCTGACCAGCATCGCAGCCATCATGGCCAAATTCTCTTCCATGACTTTCGACAAAATGGGCTCCCTGATGCAAGCAGAAGACGGCTCTTTCTTTCTCGGCCCAATGTTTGAGTGGGTTGAAAATGACGATGACAGTGTGCATGCCAAAGCTACGCGCACCTATTTCTCAATGGATGAGCTTCTCGCGTGCAGCATAGAGTCTGGACCTACGGGCAATGTGTGGGATCGCGCAGAGGACAAGTTTCTCAAAGTTTTCTTGGAAAACTCGCCACTTCTTCATTATCATTCTCGATTTGTTCTCTGCCCGCCTGATTTTGACTCCCAGAACGTTCTTGTGGACGAAAAAGGGAACGTAACAGGGTTGATTGACTGGGACCATTGTCAGACAATGCCGCCTCACCTCGGGTACGCCGCTTATCCAGGATGGCTCACTAGGGACTGGGACCCTTTGATGTATGGCTGGCCCCATTACCAAAAGACTGAGGATTCGCCAGAAACCCTGCAACGATATCGGGAACACTACAGCAAAGAGATGTGTAAAGCTTTGTCGGGGCAAGGAGACTGTGGTGTCACACAAGACAGCCATATTGCTGAAGCCATCGCCATTGCAGCATTGAACTCTATGAACAGGCTGGAAATTTGTTGCAAGTTTGTCCAAGTCGCTCTAGGTCTTGACAAAGACGACGCTATCAGTGTTATTTTGGATATTGGAGAGGATGAGTATGACAAAGGAAAGTGGAATGTGTTGAAAGACAAGCTGAAAGCTTTGGTCTGCCCCCCAGCCACACCCTCGCGAGAAGCTTGAATGAAGTTCAGATAGGAGACAAAGACGTCTAGAGAATTGATTTATGTCCGTTTCTGTATAAGTACTGCCTTAAGATGACCCGAGAAGATAGTTCTAGTCACAAACCATATCGCGATCATTTGAATCATCATATCTGCGAAGACAGATACTCGACTACGGTTATATAACTGACCATTGAACCTCCATTATGGGATGCAAAAAGAGAGAAGGAAAGCATCATTGGTAAGTAAAGCCCCGGATGGATGACTACAGAAGTTAACAAGACAGCCCCGTGTGCAATGAAAGTGCCAAAACCCGATGTGTGAAGAAACAACATCTCGCCATCTGCGGTGGATGTAAGAAGGCCTTTTCAGTGAAGCACAATCGTCGGTGCCCCTTTTGCCTGGGAAAGGATACCAAAGAGGAAAAGAGACACGCGAAGGAGGATACCATCCAGGAGGAGGAGGAGGAGGAAGAGTGATGTACAGTATATGATATATGAACGAAGAGGAGGAAGAGAAGGGAAGCACGGGGGAGGGAAGAGAGCGATGTGCAGTTCAGGATATTTGGGTATAGAGTGGCTTAGTGTGGACTACCAGTAGTTTCTGCACTGAGCAGGTTTGCTGGAGCGAGTATCTTTCTTGCCTTTTGTTTTGATATTACAATTGACTTTTGTACGGGTATTAAACTTGTAATCGTTTTGCTGTAACATAGCTTTATGTTAAGGAGTTACTGGAAATAGCTGGAATTCATCAAGGCTTTCAGACGTCGTAGATACAAGTTCCATTGTTGTCAATGGGCTGGGTTAGTTGCACCCTGTAACACGTCAATTAAGATCAAGGCACCAATTAACTCTGTTTGAATGAATAATTGGTACTAATGAGCTGAACCTTGGTTTATTGGTTCTGTGTCTGGCTTGAAACCCCGAGGGATAGTGTCTCCTCCACGAAGTCTTTGGACTTAATTGTCGCTCTAATTTAAGCCCCGCGTAGTATTTCTGACATAACTTTTAAATAGCAGATACGAATCCTTTCGATTGAACGAAGCGAGGTTTCAGGATAGGGGAAGTGATAAGAGAACAGAAAGAAACTGGAGACACCCCCTTGATTGAACAGTTACTGAAGGTGATTTCGATCAACCGGAGCTTCTTTTTCAGATATGAAAGTGAGGGTTAAGCGATTAGAAACAGATGGGACCATCTTTTAGAGTTAGTACTTTGTGAGGATGGATATGGTCAGACACTGAAAAGTTGTCTCTACCTCTTTGGAGGAGAAACATTGTTCTCCAGCAAGGCAAAGGAAGTTGTCAATGGTGGTACTCTTTCTCAGGGGTACCGTTAGCCTTGGCACTTGAAGAACTCAGATATAGCTTAGAAGCCATGAGGAACATACAATCTATACAAAGTCACAAGTTGATAGCTGTAGCACACACCTTTGCGCAAGAGAGGTGATGAGCAGGCTACTTGACAGGTCGTATGATATGCCTTAGTCCCTTAGAAAACTCATAAGCTTTTCAGCCGAACTCTCATTAATTGACAGATGAAAAATAAATAGCCCAAACGGGGAACAAACACTGCTATTGATTGACACACGCTGGTCTAATATTACAAGTGGCCTGTTTGTGTCTTACTGTCCCTGATCTTAACCTTGCACTCCCGAGATACAGTTCTATTACATGTGGGAATAATTCTGAGTTTCCTGTAACGAGAGTTAAATTGGGTCGGTATTCCGTGCAAAGTTTTGTGTTCAACTGGTGTAGAGATCTTGACTTCGTAGCTTGGAGCGTTGCTGTACAGACCTCAGTGAACTTGGCCTCAGGCTGTGGAGGTATTATAATGATGTTCTTTGATTGCGTGTAAGATAAGAGATAAAGCTCAAGACTAATAATGAACTAGATATCCTTTCTTTAGTACCTTCCTTTGGAATTAGATGTCTCCTGTGCAAAAGTGTCTGGCTCTTTTGCCGTGCTCCACAGAATAAGCGTTCGTATGAGACCCAGTAACACAATGAAGTTAGAAAACGATTAGGTTAATTAGCTCACGATAAGCGAAAAGTATTTATAAATACACATAACTTTAACGGTTTAGATAGCATCTGATGGCCTATGACTTAGCCTGGATTTTTGAGTATCTCTAGATGGCAACAAATGCGTTCTAAAGAGCGCCAGCCATATCTACCTCATACTGACGTGGGGTGAGACTTTATTAGCTAATATACTGGTTGTCTTCCAGCCATTTGTGAGTTCCCTCGAGTATGTATGTCGTTCCCGAAGTTTGACTGCAGAATACCTAACTTCACTTACGACACAGCATAGGAGAATATTTACAGTTGGTAGATAAGCTCTTGGCTCTCAGATTTGACCCAACACATGCGCATCCAACTTTCGAACCATGCTTCAGGTAATCGCCAAGAGTTATGAAGCTCACAAAAGCTTCTTTCTCGGGGGTTATAAAAGGCTTTGGCAAGCCGGTCTTTTCGTTGTTGTTAATTCTGCTCCCTCGATCTTCCATGACTCGAAACCCCGCTACAATAAAAACGCTCATCACATGTAAGTCTCGCTTGGGAAGAGGAGGAGAATACCGAAGACTAATGCAGCTTCTAGCACAAAGATGCTTCCATTTTTGTGTAATGAGATTTGGGACCTTGTATTCTCCAACTTTGAGGATACCATAGATGTAGATGATGGATCAGATCATGGCCTGTATCCATTCCCCAAAGACACTCATATTCCAACTCTTAAATCACTGTGTCTTGTCAGCCATCGGTTCTACAAATTGGCCAGGCGAAATCTGTATCATACCATCTCGAGTGGAACATTATACGGCCAACAGAATAATACAAAGATGTGTTTACTCGCCCGTACGCTCCTCTTAAACTCAGAGCTCAGGTCAGAAATCCGTGCAATCGATCTGAGTTCCTCAGGAAACTGGAAAACTCCCTTGGTCAACAGTGAGTTTTGGCCATCAAGCATTGAACGCGTTGAACCTACTCAACTCCGAGACTTGCTGAAGGAAGACATAGAAAGATACTCTGCCACTGAAGCTGGGACATGTTTGCTTCTGACCCTCATGCCAAACCTTCGGATGGTCGCATTGACAGACCCCCGGACAAATTCCAAGGCACTGACCTGGATCCTAGGGGGGAAGATGAGGACTCCCCAACCTGGCACTGAAGATCGACCAGAATTAGTTGCGAACTACCTCGGTCAGCTAGAAGAAGTTCACTGGTCGCCAATACAGACCAGGCTAGAAGATTCGGACAACTGTAGCACGGAATCTTTACTACTCCTTCCCAACATCAAGCGACTCTTCCTATCACCTTTCGAACCCACCTTCACTATTAGTCATCCCGTGGTTCCAGACTTTCAGAGCGGGCTACAGAGTTTGACAATCGACGGCTGTGTGATCAGACCCGCCTTCCTACAGTACAATCTTTCTCGATGCAAGGCCCTACAGTACTTGGACCTGGATCTTACAGATTGCTACGACATAAAGGCAGTGGATTTGAAGGTGAACCTGCACAACTTTGGAAGCGTTCTCAGAGAGTTTGGACAAGATCTTGTCAGCCTAAGGTTGAGATTTTACGATTGCGAAGAGTACGCCCAAGGCAAGATTGGCTCTCTGAAAGGACTTAAGCGCCTCCGACACCTTTCGGCTCCAGTATTTGTGCTTGTCGGTGTATGCAAGGACGCAATCCCACTACCGGAAGTCTTGCCTGGATCAATTGAAACGTTTGAAATGCATTTTGTGGATGAGTATGGGCTGGCAAATAGCGACACTCTGGGAACAATGTCTGCTGTGAACGACGACCGAGTGGTTCGCTTACTTAACAACAATCAATTGCCTAAGCTACAGGAAGTTGTATATGGTTGTTATATGGACGGCCAGAACGACAGGCTCACTAACTTCACTCAAGTTGAGGGCTGGAGCGTCAAGAACGAGGCACAGCTACGGCGCTCGTTTGCCAGAGAGCCATTTTCTCGGAGGATTGAATTAGTACGCGGAGAATAGAATGTATATTGGTTCACCCTACCTACCTAATGAGATAATGAAACTATGGCTTAGAAAGAGATGATCAGTTTGAGGAAAATCAAACAGACTGTTGTGTGACAGATACATTACATCACCTACATACGAGTACCCGGTGTGAATATACTGAGTTATTTCAGCTGAGAAAAGAGACAACTTGAGACGGAGAAGAAACGGTTTTAATTGGCAAACCTGCAAGGTATCATTCCAGACTACGACAATAGTCTTGATTCAAGCCACAGCCTGCTCGTGCATATCATGTTACTCTTGAGGATACCCTACCTATCGTGGGTTACACAACATAAGTACCTCACAAAAGTACCTTTTGTACTTAAGTACGAGCTGGCAGCCTGATCCCCTCCGATGCCATTGGCATCTCATCTTCTCTGCCCTTATTCCATTCTACCCCAATCACCACCTCAGTCACCATCACCATGCTGCTGTGCGTGCCCAACGAGATTTTAGCTCACATATTTTCCATCATTGAGTGCGAGGATGTGGAAGGCGGATGGGATACCAAATCCTCATACTCGGCACTCTTGTCTCTGAGCCGCGTTTGCAAACGATTCCGGGTGATTGCGGAGTTCTATCTCTACCGAAACATCTTTCTCCTTGAAGACGACGCTGATGAGAAATGGCTGCAGTTTGCAAGAGGCCTGCAACGGGATCCTAAGCGAGGTCTCACCACCAGGAAGTTCTGCTCCCAGAGATATGATCCCATAGCGCCTCCAAACTTCCTCCGCTTCCTGACCAAGTATTTCCTGAGATTTTCCTTGTCACCTGATCGTGATAGAATCCCCCCAGGTCTCAGGTCTGTCATACAGCACGAGTTGGAATCCAGAATATACAAACGGCAATACAGAAGTTTGCGAGTGCTTCTCTTGCTTCTCATGCCAGATCTGAGACACCTCGAGCTGACCATTACCGACCTAAAATCCACGCCGTTTCTTTTGAATGGTACATTCGAAAGTGACGAAGACTACGGTTGTTATGGTTTTGAGACCAACGAAGAAAGTCCGAGCTATAAAGGTATCCCCAACATCTTCTTTTTCCGGCATCTCGAGTCGGTAACTCTCAGATCCTATGACGACAACCTGGGCTCGCCAATACGGGGGAGAACATTCAGTGGCATTCTAAACCATCCATGTGTCAAGGCCCTGAGACTTGACGGCTTTGCAGTGTGGCACTGTACCTGTATGAGATTGAATTGGGGCAAGGCGCCCAGCAACCTGACAAGGCTTGACCTTGACAACTGCATATTACAGCCCATGTCCCTCAAACGCATTTTGGAGAAGTGCAGAAGCCTTACCCATCTCAATATGGCCCTCACAGGCTCTGGAGACGTGAAAGATCCCACACACAATTCTGAGGACTTTGGCATCGTTCTCAGAGAGCATGGGCGGAATTTGGTCGAGCTTTCAATCACGAAACCAATGTGGGATCCTCACATCGCCGATCCGTTTAACTTCATCGGACCTCTCAAGGAACTGACAGTTCTGAAACATCTATCCATTGGCAGGCTCAACTTTGTTGGGCCCATAGATGATGATACAAAGAAGGACATAACGATACACGACGCCCTTCCTCAGTCCTTGGAGACTCTCACCATTGAAGCAGAGGTGGCGGGTTGTTCGTGTGACTTGTACAGAGTCAGACAGACGGAGGAGCTAGTTTGCAACACGCTCACGTATGAACAACTCCCGCCGGGCTTAAAACAAATCCACATGAAGATGCCACCGGGGCCGGAGGCGCGAGGTTATGAAGTGAATGAAGCTGCTGAACTTGGGGGCTGGCGAATCGGGAAAAAGGGTCTATGGGTGCGGAGAAGAGGAGAGGAGGAGTACGGAGTGATTCAATTCATCACCAGTGCGACTCGGGCTGGATAAGGTAGTTCTAGTACAAAAACCCTCGTATATCTCATTTCAATTACACAATCAATATGAAACCTTCAATGATCCGATTATCTTCTCGTCGTTTTTACCTTTGCTTTAAGGGTTGTGATCGAGCCTGGTTACAGTGCAGAGCAAAGATATCACCCAACACCAGACATTATAAGCCTAACTAGGCGTTCATTCATTATTTCCGTCGACTTACCGAGATATTAACAGGAACTACACAAACTCGGTTATTTCCGTCGAACTAAATCAAATTGAATATACAGTTCCACCCAAGAAACTTCAGCGCTGATTCGTTCTGGTCTCTCGGTAATTCTTGAAGCTGAGTCATGGCCTAACCCGTTAGATCATCACCAGAGCTTAAACATCGAACCACGGCCATCATCCTCAGATAACGAGCCCAAATGGAGAGCGCACTTCCTAAACTAAGGTCAATTGGATCTGCCCGGAATGTTAGCACATTGATACGGGCAACATCTTGTGCATCCTGCTCTTCTTCGTCACCGAGGAGCTTCACAAGCTTGAACCGCCCCCCGCCAAATTACCCAGGCCATGTTCCTCTAACGAGAGTTGAACGGGCTGGGCTGGCCATTGGGGCCAGCGTCATGTCTTTTTTTGATCCCTATCGGCATGGTATGTGATTTTCCCCCCTTATAGAACCCTTCCATGTCCCTGACTGACCTCTCGTAGACCTCATCGCCGCTACTGGCGAAGCCACTGCCACACCCTACTTTATCTATCGCCTTCGCGACGCCATGCTCGCCGATCCAACCGGCCGTCGTATCCTCCGAGCTCGACCTCGAATTTCCTCCAAAACCCTCTCCCTCGAAGCTCTGCGCGCACTACCCGAAAACTCCGTCGGTCGCGCCTACGTAGGGTGGCTCGATCGCGAAGGCGTCTCCCCCGATACCCGAGCTACAGTGCGGTACATCGACGACGAAGAGTGCGCATATGTCATGCAGCGATACCGCGAGTGTCATGACTTCTATCACGCTCTGACTGGTCTGCCCATTGTGCGCGAAGGTGAGGTTGCTCTCAAGGCTTTTGAGTTTGCGAATACTTTACTTCCCATGACGGGATTGAGTATTTTTGCGGCTGCTACCATGAAGAGGAGCGAGAGACAGCGATTCGCCTCGATATATCTTCCCTGGGCTCTGAAGAACGGGGCACGGAGCAAAGAGGTCATCAATGTATTCTGGGAAGAGAGACTTGAGGATGACGTTAGTGACTTGAGAAAAGAGCTGGGTATTGAGCAGCCGCCCGATATGAGAGACATTCGAAAGAGGGAGAGGGAAGAGAAGAAGAGACTCAAAGAGCTGAGAGAGCAAGGGCTATAGTTCTCTGCTGGTTTTCTTCCATCCGACTTCTCGTGTAATACTTGTACTCTACTGTATCAAAGGTCAAATTCAGGATTGCCAATTAGCGTTGTTATTGAGGCCAAAATTACTGTTCCAGGATTCCCGACCTGTGAAGTCAATTGAATCATGCACATCATCATATCGTACGAGTAGAAAACCCAGATGCTACCCTCAACGTCTGAGGAAGACCTCCCAGATTCTGCACCGAGCCATCACATTCATTTTGATTCCTTTCACTCGAGACAGAAAAGCAGGTCCCGCCCACGAATTTGCCTTATTTCCTCGCTCTGATCTTCAATTCCATGGTATCACAAGCACCTCTTACAGATCCAAATCGTCATCATCGTCCCACGCCTTGCGTCTGCTCACAACAATCTTCTCCTCCTCCTTGCTCTCCGACATAGCGTTCAGAAGCTCCTTGAGTTGTGCTTCAGTGACCTTCTGTCGAAGTTGACCGGTTTGTGCAAGCGTGATAAGTCGGTTCTCGATATCGGCGGCACGCTCCTCTTTCACAAGTCGGATACGACCTAGGCGGTCGGCGGCTTCGGGATGGAGGATCTGGTTGAGGATGTGTTGGCGAGCATCATTTTGCTGTTGCCTATTCAAGGTCAGTAAGACAATGTCGTACGGTATGGATCGAGACAACTGACTGGCGCTGCTGTTGTTGTTCCTGACCAGAAGAACCGCCTCCACTGCCACCAGCTTCAGCCTTCAGTTGCTCCAGACGAGCTTTTCGTAACTGCGAAGAACATCAGTGATGGACTCCCGATAAAATCCACAAGAGTGAGCTACCTGTTCTAACTCTGCGTCATCCATGATCTTGATACGTGACGTTCTTTAACGATTTGGTAAGTCGCGAGATCAGCCTGACGCCGCGGGGTTGCTTTGCACATCGTAGGAGGGGCATTTGGGTTACGTAAGCAAAATCAAGCAACACAGTAAACATCATGATACTGTTGATTTGGTGTCACATATTCTGTTAACTGAGAGAGTTGTTGAGTGTCTTTAGTTCGAATAGCTCAAGTGCTAATGTGAAAATCTCCAACCATATATAGAATGCCCCAAGCGCCAAATATGCAATTCGTTAATACCCTATTCTACAAAAGAAAGCCATTTTTCAGCATGCGCTGCTGAGTCTTCTTCCTAACATCGTTTGGCGATGCCTCCTGGACTGGAATGATAGACCGCAACTTTTGCTGTTGTTCAATACGTCGGGCCTTAATCATTTGAACCATCAGTTGATTTGTTGGTGTGTCTATGCCGAGAATCCTAGCCCGCTTCAAGAAGTATCCGTTCTGATAGTTTATATCTGTTTGTAGACCCTTGTTGATGCGTGTCAGCAGATCACTAGAGGCGTTGCTCTTGCCAGTAATACGGCGGTAGCAGAACTTCTTGAGGCCTTCTCCGCGGAGGAACTTTATGAGGTCGGGCGAGTCTTGGACCTCGGGCATGTTCTCCGTCACTAGAGCCATTTCCCCCAGAAGCTGATTCATCATCTTCTGAGCATTTCGATTTTCCAACAGACCTTGGTATGGGAGGTCAAGGAGCACGCAGACGGGCTCAACAGCAGCCGTGAACATAATGGAAGGTAGTTTGAATCTTAGCCAGTGCTCATAAGTACTGAAGGTTGTGTTGAGCTCTTTGACCCTTCTCAAAGAATGCATCATACTAGGCTGCTGCTCAGCGGGGATGTAAAGCTCCTTCTCCGCATTCAGTACCGGATCGGCCTTGGTGAAGACTGTTCGCCCACTCTTGAACTGCTTAACAGAATCCCTGTTCCGGTTGAAACCGAGCGCGTGGGACATATGACCCAAGTAAAAGTTGGGCTCAGGCTGGGTTCCGTCAAAAATTTCCTCGCGGACCCGCTCGAGAACTCCCATGCCGTCGTTGAGAAGACAAATCGATGTTTTATCGTCGATCCGATCTTTGACTGAGACGATCGCCTTGACAGCTTCAAAGCCACGGCCGGTAACTATCAACTCATCGATGTGCGAGCGGTCAGGTTGAGGTACAACATCGTCCTCGGGCATGGCTGCATTCTTCTCGACATATGCATTCTTCCTCGTTCGTTCAGGTTGAACCTTTTCGACATTTCGATATCTTGACTTGGGCATCTCGCGAAATGGCACCGTCTCAACGGAATCATAAACACTACATAGAGCGTGGGCGATGAATCTCGATCTTACATCTTCGCCCAGGATATGAATTTTATGTACGGGTCCAGATTTCGCTGCTTCAGCTGGAATGACAACCGAGGGGACGTAGAATTGCGACGAAGGGCTTGTCGATGTAGGTGTGACCGATCCGGCTTGGGTACTAGAGCTTTGCCATGGCCGTGATGGCGCACTGCCGAGTTCTGGGGGTACGGCCTCTGGTTTCTTCTGTTCTGTCGGAGGCACTGCCGAAGCAAAGAGTCGTGTAAAGCCGAGATTAGGGCTATTTCGGAGCCATCGGGTCGATTTCCTCGCTATTTGAGCGGTCGCCCGCGGCTGCATTATAATTGCCAGCTTGACGTTAGTGATCGAGTCGTCGTGGAGAGAAAAGGTGGCTCAGAAGCCGAAAGATCGAGAGTTTAATATGTGCACGCGCGCATCCAGACTCGAGCGAGAGGCGATGGAGGCTAGCCTGTGGGACTCGGTTTTTGGTAAGTCTGATTAACGATACGTCGGTTTCTTATCTCGTGAGTTCGTGAAGGCGTTGAGTTGCGTTGGAGCTGGTGATGTCGATACTAAATTGGTGATGCGTTGAAGAATGACAGAGGCGAGTCCGTTTTTTCCCTTTAGCTCACTTAGACCATGGCCAATTAGAGTAACAAGAGCCCAAGTTTTCGATCTTCAATAGTGGGGTTTAAAAGCATCAATAATTGGCCAATGAGTGCTCGGCTCCGATATCGTTTGGTCTGATGCTGAAATTAGTGATGCTGAAGACTACACAGCATGAAAGAGAAATGCAAGTAACAGAATTCGTGTATGGAGTTCGCTGAAAGAAATCCACAATTCATGGAGAGCTTACACTTTCAGCATTCTTTTGTTTTCAGCCTGGGGATGTTCTTGGCCTGCGGTACCCTTTAGTTGCATCACTTCGCTTCATGAATGCAAAAGCCACTAAGCCTTATTGGGTCTCATGGTTGACAAGTTTCTGCGCCTGTGCGAAGTCTTTCATGCGACGACGTGAACATCGCAACATTGCGCCTCTCAACATTCCTTATCACAAAATCCAACATGACAGACGTCAAGGACATCACACCGGATCTTGATCGGCTGGATAATCAGCTCGATGACCTCGAAGAAAAGCTACAGCCTTTGTTGGGCAACCTCGAAGGCATGGCCTCCCAGTTGCCCCTATTAGACAAGGCAAAACTGTTCTCACTCACAGCTTACGCGATCGAATCTCTAATGTTTTGTGAGAATTCTTGAACCCGACGCGACGCCACATGGTCAATACTGACATTCGTGATAGCATCACTGAAATTAAATGAAGGCAATGAAGCTCAAACTCAAGCCGTTCTTACTGAACTCAAGCGAATTCAGCAATATTTTGGAAAGATCAAAAACATCGAGTCTCCTCCGGAGCCTGAAACGCGTACTTTGACCATTAACCAAGAGGCTACCGCGCGTATCCTCAAGGCGGACCTGGTATGTAGCCGCGAAGTCACGACAGATCCAAGACTGACATTTTACAGGGCGACAACAAAACAATCAGCAATAAGCTTGCCGAAAAGATTGCAGAGGAACGAGCCAAGGCACTGCTCAAGTCTGTCGAGAACCGAAAACGACCAGCAGAGGAGTCGCCTGTCCCATCTCAGCCCAGCTCTTCTGCCGAAGGAAAAGATAAGAGCAAAAAGAAGCAGAAGAAGAACAAAAAGAACAAGTCAAAGAACTGAATTGAAACCTAGCAGTATGCCGATGGGCCAAAGGGTTGGAAAACGCACAGAAGTTTCGCGCCGACTATTGATGGTCGAATTCAGAGCGTGCAGATTCAGGAGGAGGCTTACAATGATACCCAGATTGTGTCAGGCAAATAGATGGCTGGGGACCTACATGGCCCCCTTGAAAAGTTGAATTCACTGGGCATGGCGTTTGGGAATTTGGGATTGACTTTTTGATTTGGGGAGATAGTGATGAGGCAACTACACCTAGACATCAGACTCTTCTGAAACGCAGCTTGCTTCCGAAATTTGCCTTCTTGCGGGATACAATGAACTTTGCATCCAGAGGGGGCACGAATATGTGTTTCAATTGGCATATGCTTGTAAAGTTAAGATAAGGCATCAAAATTACAAGAGCTCCTGACTGGATGGCATCTCCCTTGTCGTCCGGCATCGCATTAGATTTATGGTAAAGTTGAGCTCTTATCGCTTTAATACGTGGAAAGATAAGACAGAGGTGACTAACAATTTTTCACCCCACCATTATGGGACGTGAGTCAAGGGGAACAATCGCGGGGCACCACAACCCCTCCAAGTTCCAACCCAAGGCCGCGATTTCTGTTTTCCGCATCGATTGAAGCAGAAAACAAAGCAAAGCACAAAATGGCGGTTATCTACGTCGACGAAGAAGCCGGAAGCGATCTCCCCGAGATTCAGGGCACTGAGGCCGCCCCCTTCAAGACTCTTCTTGAAGCCTACCACCGCCACGGAGCCGAGTCCGAGTACCAGGTCAAGAAGAAGGACGATGAGGAGGGGTACAAGCCTGCTGCCAAGTCAGCCCTGAAGAAGGCTGTCGCCTATGCTGCTCAGCAGAAGAAGAAGGCCGAGGCTGCTGCTAAGCGAGCTGAGAAGGATGCTCAAGACGAGGCCGCTCGTTTGGCTGTTCTCGAGGAGGCTAAGAAGCTGAAGATCACTAACGACCCTTCACTTCCTGAGCCTGTTGCGATCAACCTCCAAGAGACCGACCCTTCAAAGATTGGTACACTCCGAAAGAGCAAGGATGAGCCTACTGAGGGAGTCAAGCGCGTCTCCGTTAAGGGCCGTGTCAATCGTGTTGCTAAGCAAGGTGGTCTTATTTTTGTAACCCTGCGCCGCGGTCTCAACTACATGCAATGTCTGCTTTCTGGAGATCTCTCCAAGACCTATGATGCTCTTACCCTTTCGAGAGAGACCTCTCTCGAGATCATTGGTGAGCTTTGGGAGGTTCCCGCCGGTGCTCACGCCCCTCTCGACCGAGAACTTCGCGCCGACTACTTCAGAGTCATTGCCAAGGCCCCTGGTGGTGATGAGGCCTTCACCAACTTGGTTCCCGTTGACGGTGACACCAACACCCTCATGAACCTCCGCCACCTTACCCTCCGCCACGAGAAGCCCGCCGCCGTCATGTTCGTTCGCGACATTGTTGAGGATGCTTTCCACACCGTTTACAATGAGTTGGATGTCAAGAAGGTCAGCCCTCCTGCTCTTGTGCAGACTCAGGTCGAGGGTGGTTCTACTCTTTTCAAGTTCGACTACTATGGCGAGACCTCATACTTGACTCAGTCCAGTCAGCTTTACCTCGAGACTGTCCTACCTGTCCTTGGTGACTGCTACTGCATTGAGAAGTCTTTCCGTGCTGAGAAGTCTCTTACCCGTCGCCATGTAAGTACCCCTATATGGAAGCTAGCCAGATATTATATCCGAGTGACCGCATCTAACTTTAATGCAGCTTTCTGAGTACTCCCACGTCGAGGCTGAACTGGATTTCATTACCTTCGACAACCTCCTGGACCATCTTGAGCACGTCATCTGCCGTGTCATCGACCTGACCCTCGAGAACCCAATTGCCGCTGAGGCTATCAAGAAGTACAACCCTGACTTCGAGAAGCCTTCTCGACCTTTCTTGCGCATGCGATACTCTGACGCCATTGATTGGCTGCGAGAGCGTGGTATCAAGAACGAGGATGGCAACGACCACACCTTTGGCGACGATATGTAAGTGTTTCGCAAATTCTGAATGCACACAGACTGACTGGAGACCAGTGCCGAGGCTGCTGAGCGCAAGATGACCGACGAGATCAACCGCCCCATCTTCCTCACTCACTTCCCTGTCGAGATCAAGTCCTTCTACATGTCAAGGGCTAAGGACGACCCCCGCGTGACCGAGTCCGTCGATGTTCTGATGCCTGGAGTTGGCGAGATTGTCGGTGGCAGCATGAGAATTTGGGACTATGAGGAGCTCATGGCCGGTTACAAGCGAGAGGGCATTGACCCTACAGGATACTTCTGGTACACTGACCAGCGCAAGTACGGATCTACTCCTCACGGAGGATACGGTTTGGGAGCTGAGCGGTACGTTATCTGGTACTTCTATGATTCGATATATACTGACAACTGTTTAGATTCCTGGCGTGGCTTCTCAAGCTCTGGACTGTGCGAGAAGCTTGCTTGTATCCCCGATACATGGGCAGATGCACACCGTAAACGATGCGCTTATGAGATGTATAACGAAAATGGAGTACAGGGCTTTGATATAGTAGAACAGACCGCTCTAGAGTTAACGTCTAGAATGAATTTGCGAGACTGCTTTACTCACCGTTTGTTGCATTTACATTGACACAAGACTTATATCCGATAGTGAAATGCCCGATATCTCCGTTGTTGAAAGAGGTCGTAATCTATCGGAGCCTTCACTAACCTCATGACTCAATTAATGGAGGTGTCCACTAAAAAGTTGCCCAGCGGCTGTCAACGGAAGGTCCTGGAGTGCTCTGGACCCCTGGCGCTTGGGGGAATGCCTCTACCGAGGCCCTACTGGCCAATCTTCCCCATCCCTCGTTGAAATTTGCCCCTCATGATTGGCTGCTTTCATATGTGCCTCCGAAATCCGTGCCTCCGGTATTCTTCTTTCCGATCTTTCTCCTCATAACTTAACATCTTGGAACTTTGTTCTTCAATACCAGCATCACATCACCAAATCTTCCGCCAAAACCTCACAACACAACAACCACAATGCCTCGTCAACGATCCGTCGGCCGCGCTCCTTCGCGCCCTACCGCTGCTGCTCCCAAGCCTGCTCCTCAGCAGACTCGCCCTGCCGCCACCCACGCTGCTCCTCCCGCCGCCGCTCACCCTCCTGCCCAGGCCATGCCTCCTCAGGCTGCCGGTTCTCAGGGCCCTGGACTGTTCGGTCAGATGGCCAGCACTGCTGCGTAAGCATCCCCTTGCAAATCTACAACAATTGGTGTCTTCGGAGTTCCAAGTTCCGGGTGGAGCAATATACTCCAAAGCACCTGTAGAGCTCATACTTCGAACACGTGTAGCTAACTTGTTCTCAGCGGTGTCGCTATCGGTTCCTCAGTTGGCCACGCCATCGGCGGTCTCTTCTCCGGCGGTTCCTCCGAGGCTGCTGCCCCCGTCCAGGCTCAGGCCGCTCCCCAAGAGCAGTCCTGGAACCAGAACAACTGCGCTGGTGTCGCCCAGAACTTCACAAAGTGCATGGATGAGAACAACGGAAACATGCAGATCTGCAACTGGTACCTTGAGCAACTCAAGGCTTGCCAGGCCGCCGCTGGTCAGTAAGCATGGACGAGTTAGAAGTTAAAAGAGAACAAAAGGGACTTGATATCACTATGGGAAAGGAAACAACACCGGGGATATATATCTCCTGACAGCGTGCATGCATATAGGAATCTGGCGGGGAAATACTACTGTTACATCTCAGCACTGTCAATTGTACAATACAACAAAAAAAGACATTACTCCCACTCAAATTGGGAAACCCCTTCATTCATCTTTCTCCTCCTCTTCTGGCCGTGGCTCAAAGTTCAGCTTTGTCGTGTTAGCAAGTTCCATACAGAGTGGGATACCGAATCTTACCGAATTTCCATTGTACAACTGTTGATCTCTTTGCTGATCTCTGCGATTCTGGAATGACTGAACACGCTCTTGAGAACTGCCCGGCGCATCGCTCGTAGGCCCTCGGTGCCCAGTGCGCTCATCACCACCTCCAAAAAGACTGAAAATCCATGTGAAAATGCTGAGAATAAATCCAATGACTCTCGAAACAATGCCCTGTGAATCATCGTAGGCGGTCGTAAACTTCTTGACGGGAATAAGCACCAATGTCGAAGACGGAAAAAGGCCGAGATCTCCTAACGGCTTGTCCTCCTCAGTCTCATCAATATTCTTATTGGGTAGAGGTGTGAGGACCTGCTTGAAAGTGTATGGCTGCGAGCCATCGCCTCTATTTTCATCCACCCAGTGTCGGACCTCCTTTAGGTGCGCAGTCGTCTTGAAGCGATTCCTCAGTGTTGATCCATCGAACAAGCGGACTTGAAGAGCCGTTATCGCGCCAGACTTGGAGGTGCTTGACAGCTTTGTCTCTGGTGCGCTCACTAATGATGCTGCAACGTCGCCACCCTTGAGGTTATCAAGTTTCTGCTTCTCACGCTGCTCGGCACGTAGGCGTCGCTCTGCCTTGTCGTCTTCGATGCGCTTGAGAATCCGCGCTTTCTCCTCTTGGTCTTTCTGTTTCTTCTTCCTTACTGCCTCAGCTTGCTTGTGAGCTCGGGCGTTGACCGTATCCATACCAGCTTCGGCCTCAGCTTTGGCTTTCTCTTTCGTCCTTGCGCGTTCCTCCTTCACCTTGCGCTCATTCTCCTCCCTTTGGGCTTGCAGCCTGGCGGCCCTCTCAGCCAGTATCCGACGAACGTTTTCTGACGTTGAAGGAGCCGCTGTTGGTAGAGTGCTCTGCTGTTCTGAAGCTGCGGGTGTCTCTGTCTGGGGCTGTGGTGGGCTGGCCTGCTCTGGTGCCGGGGTTGGTTGGGTTGTAGCCGGAGCCGGAGCTGCAGGTGCAGCGGTGGAGTTAAAAGCAGTCTGAACTCTCCGCAAGAAATCCTCTTTGCTGGTCCCTGGTGTGATGTACTCCTTCAGCTCTCCATTCTTAATGATAACAACAGTGGGAGTCCGTGGTAGAGGGAAGATCTGAGCTAGATATCCGGCTTCCTCGGACCCAGCTTTGAGACGGAGCGCAATAGAATGCTCCTTGAGTAAGTCGCTCAACTACACCGTAATTAGCCCCATCACATATGATCTGCAGATTTTCGTAATCCCTACTGTATCATCGACCAGAAACTCATTTTCCCATTGTGTGCTCTCGTCGCTTTCATCTTAAATGCATGTGAGTTATTGCGTGGGTCAGGGTGATGACAAAACATACCTGTCACGAAACATAGAACAAGTTTCTGCTGACTGACGGCTGTCGAGATGCCTTCCTGAAGGGTTCCCTCATAAAACATGGTGAACTATGTTGATTTTAAGAAATCTTGGCTTCAATTATGGAAAAGTTGAAAATAGTGGGTGAGTGAGCGATTGTGAGCAAGATAAAGTTGCGACGTGTTGTCAAGGTTAGAGTTGTCTTGTCTTGATTTCTACTCCCTTGAGACTTCGTGAATATTTGTCATGTAAATAAACAACAAATACGTCTTAATTAGTTGTGTAGCAAGTAAATTGGACGGTTAAATAAGTAAAGCAAAAGGTTACTGGCAAGAACCAACTCCAATCATGTCTGGTTAAACAAGGCTTGAATGGATTTAAACCAAGCCATCATGAGTGAAGGCAGCTATGAGAGCTAGCTATGACGCTTATGGCATCACGTGGCCGTAGTTTCAGCGCCGACCTTCGGGTTTCGGGGGCTTACTCAGCGGTATTAAGCTCGCCATCCAGTAGAAACTTTACAAAGGATCTAACATGGGAGAGTGAATGAATGAGTCAAAGGGAATGGACATATAATTTCTACAGATTTGGCTTGACTTATCTTTCCACTTTCTAACTTCTCCTAGTGAGAGTACATTTGGCGCAAAATGCTCATTGATCCTGCTTTTCTGCCATGGGCAGAAAGTAAAGGAGTCAAACTAAAGGGTGTTGAACCTCGAATTCTTCCAGGTCGAGGTATTGGTATTGTCGCAACTCGCGATATCAAGGTGAGTAATAAGTCTTCTTTCAGAATTATTCTAATATTTCCAAGCCAAATGAAACTATTTTGAGTGTGCCAATGAAGGCACTTCGCACTATTGACACGGTGCCAAAGAACATCACCGAAGCCCTTCAAGGAGTCTCAGTTCATGGCATCCTGGCTGCTGAAATTGCTCTTGACAAAAGTGATGACTTTTCTGTATGGAAAACTGTCCTGCCAACCCGGGAAGATCTAGAGGCCGGTGTGCCCATGATGTGGCCTAGTGAACTTCAAGCCCTTCTACCCAAGAGGGCCAAGGATATCCTGGATAATCAGAATACTACATTCAGGCGCGAGTGCGAAATTGTCCTGAAAGCATTCCCAAAATTGACCAGAGATGAGTACTTATACTCCTGGGTTCTCATCAACACCAGAACCTTCTACAACAGCATGCCCAAGATGAAAAGCTACGCTCATGCTGACCGACTAGTCTGCATGCCCACAGCCGACCTCTTCAATCACGCTGACCAAGGATGCAAGCTCGCCTATTCAGCCCTGGGATACAGCGTTCAAGCGGACAGAGTCTATCACCAAGGTGAAGAAGTCTACGTATCGTACGGGCCACATTCAAATGACTTTCTCCTTTCCGAATACGGTTTCATTCTGGATACAAACCGATGGGACGAGGTTTACCTCGATGAAGTGATTCTTCCAAAGCTGAACAAGACACAGCGTGCCGACCTTGAGAGTATCAATTTTCTTGGAAGATACACTCTCGATTACCAGACATTAGGCTGTCATCGAACCCAAGTCGCATTGCGAATGCTATGCTGTACACAAAGGCAATGGCAGCGGTTCTTTGATGCTCAAGACGAGGGGCGTTCGTCACAGGCTGAGGTTGATGAATTATTGTTGACAGCACTGAAAGATTTCTTGAGCATCATCGGAAAGACTCTGGACGATATAGATGAGGTAGAAGGTGGTTCGAGTAGCCAGCGGGAACTCTTGCGGCGCAGATGGCAGCAGATTGAAGCCATGGTGACCAAGACAATAGATACACTTTCATGAATCTTTCCGTACCTATCCGAATAGCGACGTTGGATAATGCATAATCGTGGTTCCATTCTGTAGCTCAACTAATGCGCATGGTGATAACATTTCTGTGTAAATGGAAAGGAACAGTTGGGCCACTTTCATACCCTTTAACCTAAAAAGCTTCACTGGCAATCCCCCTCTCATGGGTCCAGGAACTCTGTTGTTTCCTGGTATTTTCTGAAGGTTTGCAAAGTGTCTGCCTTCAGTTGAGCGTATCGTCATCGTCGTTGTCTCCTCCAAGTGGACGCGGACAACCATCCTTGACTTCAACCACTTGCACCCCAATCTTATCTCGAAATTACGCAGGCCAGCGTTTAGTATATGGTTCCTCTAGTCCTAGGCTCTCTGTTCCCAGTTTCGAAAGTCCCGCGAGGGCCTGAGCAAAAGCTATATCCGTTCCCACATATTCTTCCCAGAGGTTGTTATGTATACCTCGCCACCTGACAACTACGCTCTTCAGATTCGGTGTTGTTTCGGGCAGCATGTGGAAAAGGTGCATCCACGAAGACTTGTCACAATTAGGAGGCATGTAGATGTCCAGATGTTGAATCAGCCTTACGTTTGTCTGCCCGATTTGATCCATGAATCGAGACACACAACTCACCCCGTTGATGCGGAAGATGTTCTGCGAGTAAAGAATTGGAACCGCTTCATTGCAAATTTGATTGCATGTTTGTAGTATTGCTGGTTCCATTGTTTGCTGCCGTCGATCTTGAAGTACATTGAGCATGATTAACTTCTCATAACTGTCTCCAGCTGCCCAGTATGGGTGATCACCTCGGTTAAATCGACGGACGAGAAGCAAGCCATATATTTTAAGTCGGATTTCAACTGGCAAGTCGAGTAATCCGCATCTTTGCCTCATTTTGGGTGCTTTATTGGGTCTGGTACGTTTCTGAAAGCATCGGGTTTCCACTCTCGAGGTGGGTTTAGCATCGAGATGTTGATGAATGCCTCGGCAATGGCTTTTCCACTTACAGATCCAGTCATTTGGGCACTTCTCTTGGGCTCGAAGTTGTATACTGTTTCGCAAACTATATCGCTGCATATTGCTATATTGGATCTGAAGCCTCTCAGCTCAGCGCAGTGGTCGAGAAGTCAGAGACGAGCGAGTGAGTTCAGTTGTGATTCATTGACAGGGGGTCAATTAATCCACTCGAAATATACCTACCGAGATAGGTAGGTAAGTAGCAAAGATAAGCCAAGATCAAGCTACTGCCGGTTATGCAGTTTGCAGATCACAGATCGCAACCTAAGCTATTAACGTTAACCATCACTTATGCATACCCGCACTTGGTTCCTGGAGCGGTAATAACACCATCCGGCCCAGACGATCCGGCCCCGTTTGCAAGGTTGTCGGCCGTCAGAAATCTATGCCACAAATGGCGATGTTTGGGGGTCGTTTTCACATGTCTCAACAGACAGAACCCATCATGTAGAACAAACGTAAAGACCAAAGGAAGAAAAACGCAGTCTCCCTCTTGTTGTACCAAAATAGATCCCTGTCCGGTACTTGCTAGTATTTGTGATTGGTCCATGGCCGCGGTTACATTTTGGCTAAGTAGACTTAGTATAAGCGCTATATGATAAATAGATGTCGTACGATAAGTTCGGCCATCTCCTACAGGCAACAGGCGCAGGTCGTTTGGGCTCCAATGGTATGGGAAGAAACTCTCCAGGCCTCAATACTAGATATGCTCAGAAGTTAGTTTGCTTCCTTTTCCTTGATACCAACGTCAAGTTCATACAGATTTGTCACTGGCTCTTCTCTAGAGTCAAGGCAATTAACCAGATGCTAGCAAAGACTCAAGGCAACACTTGTTCCTCTCAACAAGCATCCTCCCAGCTGTCTTCACTTACTTAGGCTGGCGTTATTGGGCACTTCAGACGCCGTGTAAATGATCTCTATCCGCCAGATTTGTCTTGTTTGGCGATATCACTTGTAAATCATCATAACGCAATCCTGTTTGAAGAGCATGAGGCTGCAGCAAGCACCTGGTGACAAGTCTGAGACCACACTCTTGTTTGGCTGTATATGCAAACCGTGAGGGAGCAAGTAACGTTACATGATAGCCTACACTATATATATTCGTAGCTCTCCTTGTTCAACGTAAAGTCTCCATACTTGAGACTTATACTCAACGGGAGTCACTAACTTGTTTGAGCTTGACAACATTCACACTGTGCCTTAGGCAGTTCTGAAAGAAGCCGCCTTTAGTGAGAGTGGAAACATCCATTGGCCACCTTTACGGGAATATCGAATAGTCTAAGCCAGAAAGAGCCTCAGTTGCAGAGCAATATCATATCATTATTGTTCGTACAAGAAGAGTCGAGAATTGGTGATAGTGACCAGGGTAATCCTGGCTGATTCACATCCCCGCAAACCTTAAGCCACCGACATCACTTGATTGCATCTCCTCTCTTGATATCATCTCAACTCTATCAAACAAGAGGCCAAGGACTCCAAGGCTGAAGACTGAGACTGGCAACCAACGACTCATTTCGCTATGGCCGCCTGCACCACCTGCAACAAGGAAGAACCTGCAGTTCAGCTCAAGCGGTGTGCCAAGTGTTCCACCACGCCATACTGCTCTCGGGAATGTCAAAAGGCCGACTGGAAAGCCCACAAGAAGATATGTGGAAAGCAGGCAGATTCATTTGCTAATGCCAACGTCCATGATCCAGACGAAATGAGCCAGTCCCCAAAGAAGGGACTGGAGAAGTCTGTTCCCAACCCCTTTACTCGTCTCGATAACGGCACTTACCTGCACAACCGTCCTGAGAAAGACGTCTATCGACTTCTGATTGACACCTATCGTCTCCGTATGGACGACATGTACAACCTTGAAGGTCAAGCTGATGGAGACAGTCTCTACGGCGGCGCTTCAGACGGGCTTCGGGGTTTTCAACGTTTCTTACGACAAGCATCAGTTCGAAGAGGAGTACTTCCTTCATGGTGGACGCCAGAGAAGCAGCAGGAGTGTGAGGTATTAGGGATGGACCCGAGTCAGTGGCAGAACTTGACGAGGACGACGAGGAAGCAGGAGATTATCGACTATTATGGGGATCCTCGTTTTCCTATGCAGTTGCGTATGCTTGGAGAGGCTGTGTATCTGAGCGCCCCTGGAGGAGGTGATGGTTCACAGATGAGAAAGATGATGGCTGCGATGGAGGGAGGTTGAATGGAAAGGAAGAGCATGATGGATGCTTCGTCGTTCCGTCGCTGAGGGTGTTAGAGCACATCTGGATCCAATGCTCTGCAAAAGTTGTATATGTTATACGTCTCACTATGTCACAAAGTTGACCAATATTTAGTTCTGCGCCAATATTGACGGGTTGGTGCCCAGCACACATCCTAAAAACCTTCATGAGTCAAACAGTCAAACTCAAAAGATGTTCTCCATCCATACTCCCTGGAAGATCCCAACTCGGTCCAGTCCGCTGCCAGTTCCAGCTCCGGGACACGCTCATACGGCAGTCCAAAAACAACATGGTTCGAATCCATCTTGACAACTATCTTGCTTGGGCGTGTCCCGTCGCGGCTGCGTTTGGCCAGGTCCTTTGCGCTGATGACTTTACAAGTCTCGAGTCTCCCAAAGTAGGGGATAGCTACTTCATGCGTTCCACACCAGATATAATCCCCTTCGCTTGCGCAAAACAGAATCTTGAGAGCGAGGCAAGCCTGTTTGGCAAATGCGTCGTCATATGCCTTGGATGTCTTTTGTAGTCTGTCTCCCAGGTCATCTATCATTTTCCAGAGAGGTTTGCTCTCTTCATAGGGTACGGGGTTCTTCTTGTTTTTTATCACTGCTACCATTACAAGCGCAGCCTTGAAAGCAAGGAAATCCACAAAATCAGCCCTCATCACCGCATTCGGCTCGACTTCCGGGGCTCTCATGGCTTCGTGAGCCTTTATGATTTCTTGTGTTGCTTCCAGGATGGCCTTCCTTGAAGGTTCAAAGTCGTCAACTTGCTGAGGATCAACGTTTGACAGTTGGCATTCGGGCCAGTTTAGCATAAGTTCAAATGAATGGTAGAGAATCTTGATGTAGGCGCGGGTAAAGGCCTGCGGGAGATAAGAGACATATCTCGGGTGTCCTTTTGTCCAATGCTCCGGAATCATTGCTTTCAATTCCCTCATTTCTTGGAGCGTGCGTGTGATGGTTGCGCTAGGGGTGTCTTCTTTCATTAGGTTTCGGCTTGTAAGAAGGCCTGATACTGTGGCTATCTGTCGAAAAGCTTCCTTTTCTGCAACGGGGTACTCTTCCTCTGTTATCTTGGGCCCCAATTGCACTGGTACTGCATGGGACATTCCAAGGAAGAGTGAAAGCTGTCGGTCTCGGATCCATAACTCTTCCCAAATACCTCGATCCAGGCTAGACCGGCCCTGGTGTACGCCCAGAAGCATGGCGTTCTCGATACCAGTCCTGATACATTTCCATGCCTTCGTCGGGCGACCTATGGAGAGGAATAGTTCGCCTTGGAGGATCAGGGCCTGGACAAAGTCGATATTGCAGACCGGTGTTGAGCTGACTTGATACAGGGCTTCAACTTTGGCGATACAGTTGTCAATAAGGAATCTTGGCTCAAATGGTGGTGGTGCTCGATTGTCGCTATATTTGAACCTCTGGGGTAATTCTTTGATAGAGAGACAGAGCCAGACTATGCATTTCGCGACAACCCCAGGGTTTGGTGGTTTTTGGTAGCTTGACGACATTGACTTGTCAACGAACTTGAACGCTGACTCGACGTCTTTCGGAAACCCAGCATCAAACAGTGTCACTGTTTTGACAGGGAGGAAGTCGTTGTCTTGTTGTTGGTATGATACCGTCGCTAGAGGCCAGCTCATCCAATTCTGGGTGAACTTGCTACTATGTTCCAGAATCCTGGACAGAACCGGCTTGTCAGGTAAAAGCCCCTTAAGCGATGCCATCAAACGCGATTGTGGTGTCTGTGATGTAAAGATGGTTAGACTACTTAAGCCGTTACGACCTTCAGAGCCTTCAAAGTGATACCAACCTCAAATGGCTCGCTCGCACCCCGGTAGCTTGCATCACTTCTATAGTGTGCTTGGTGGCTGGTTTGCGAGTCAAGTTTACGAGCCAAGGTTTCGATTGCAGTCTGCATACGAATCATTCGTGTCTCAACTTGGCCGGCAAACTGCGAGAACCCTTGAATGATTTCATCTCTTTCTTCTGGAGATGATCCTGCATTCTGCGGCTGGCAGGTGAGAGAGTGTCTGTTGCATTGTTGACACTCAGCCTGATCGTCGTCGTAAACGCATTTCACTTTTCGACGACGACATTCAGTACAGCTCGTCGTTCCGAGCCCCGCTCGTTTGGGTTGATTCTCCATGATGGTTTACCATGTAAACTTTGCTAGGGAGAATAATAGAGGTGAAAGTGAAGAAGTGAAAGTGAGGCGGGCGCTTCAGCCTACTTGTACACAGGTGATTCGTGGCGTTTCTTGCTTATCTCAACAACATGTATGTCTCAGTTTTATGGCGAAACCTGTTTGTAATGCAACGCATCTGTTGAGTGAGAGAAGAGGGAATATTCGTGTTGGTTTATCGGAATCGGGCCAAAAGGTCCTAAACATCACGGGTGGCCGCAGGTGGTTGCAGATGAGTACGAATATTGCTACAGACCCATCTCCGACCGCCGAAAATGAATTCTTAATTTATTTTGGCACGTTTGTATGAAGCTGCAAGTATTGCATCTGTTTTTGCTTTTTCGGAATTCAAGGGGTACTTGATGTTTGAGGCAAGCTCATGGTGCAGCCTTATTTGTTCCAATATCGAGGTCAATGATTCCAGAGACGCTAGGTTACACAACACAGTACGACATAAAACATGATTCCCTTCTTGACTAAGCTGTATATACACTGTATAGGACCATTTGTTCAACTCATCCTGTGCACATGCAGTGTTACACGACATCTTGCTGAAATACCAGCCACTTTGCAGTCCAGGGTATGCCATGAAGCAATTCCAAAGGCGCTAGGTTACACAATACAGTATAGCATCACACATGGAACTACTCTTGACTAAGCGGTGTTTACACTGTATCGTGGCCCACTTATTCTTCTGGTCAACCAATTATGTGTAAGAGCTATCGTATCAGTGTTGTTCAACTTCTCACTGAAATACCATTCAACTCATGGTCAAAGTATCATAAAGCGTGTGAAATTGTGCCTGGAAACACGTCACGCGATTGTCAATCATCAGAATAAACACCAAGATCAAGGCAAACAGGCCAGCTTGGCAGGAAAGGCAGCAGGATGGGTGTGTTCTTGCAATTGACACATTAAATCTAATTCGGATTCCATATAGCTAATTAGACTTATTATCTGTTTATAGCTTTCAACTTGCACCCTGTTGACCATACCTCTATGTGACTGACTGACCCGCGCAAGCTCACAGAACGATTCCAACGACGCTAGGTTACACAACACAGTATAGGAGCACACATGGGGCCCCTCTTGACTCAGCAGTATTGCACTGTATAATGGACTGTATTAACCAATTGTACTCGTTGATGTAAAAGCCGTCAGACTCGGTGTTAGTTATTCAATATCTGACTGAAATACGATCGTGAAATCCAACCTGGGTCATTGAATAATACATTTAAAGTGATAGGAAGTACTAATTTATAGAAGCCATCAATCGCAAGTACAAAAGCGTTGCCTACTTTGAGATATTGGTGAGGTGCATCAGGTCCTAGGGATTTAACGTCCAGGGTGGGTCTGTTCCCGACTGAACCCACCACAATCGACATCATTACCAAAGCTAGCGATCACCACTTAACCTGACGCCTTCAATGCGCCATCAGACATAATGAACGCGCCTAATACAGTCTTGCGCAGCCTGCGCTTGTCAAAACAGATCCCCCGGTGTACAAGATTCACAAATGCACCGCCAAGGAGACAATTCACATCCTCTATCTTCCGTCGCAAGCAACAGCCATCAGCCGACGATCCAGAATTCGTCTCCATTCTCGACGGACCTCCAAAGCTTGTCCGTGTTGGAAAACGCCATGGCCCAGGTCTAATCATCCTCGGTATGCTTTTGAACTCATAAATTGAACAGAGCATGGTCTGATTGATTTAGCTATCATCCCCATTACAGCCTTCATTCTCGGGACATGGCAAGTCCAGCGTCTGGGCTGGAAATCCGAACTTATCGCTAAATTCGAAGACCGACTGATCCGCGACCCTCTACCCCTCCCACCAACCATTGATCCCGATGCTATTCATGACTTTGACTATCGCCGTGTGGTAGCGAAAGGGCATTTCCGACATGATCAAGAAATGCTCATTGGACCGCGTATGCGAGATGGCACAGATGGATACATGGTAGTCACACCATTGGAGCGAGAGAACGGCACGACAATTCTCGTGAACCGAGGCTGGATCGACAAGAAGCACAGAGATAAGAGAACACGACCTGATGGACTACCGACGGGTGAGGTCACAGTGGAAGGACTTCTAAGAGAGCCGTGGAAGAAGAACATGTTTACGCCAGAGAATCAGCCCGAGAAGGGCATGTTTTATTTCCCGGATGTGAAGCAGATGGCTGCTTTGACTGGTAGCCAGCCTGTCTGGGTTGAGGCTACTATGGGTATGTCTATCATCATAATCTTTCATCTCGTGATGTCTTGCTAACGACATCAGAACCCGAGTTCATGCAAATGGTCGACTTCGAGGCTCGCGGTATTCCCTATGGCCGACCCGCGGAGGTAAACCTGCGAAACAACCACGCCCAGTATATCTTTACCTGGTAAGTTGCCTCATTCTATGTCGATCGGCACCGGGCTTTCTGACCCCATACTTTAGGTATGGCCTTGCTGTCGCAACATCCATCATGCTTTGGATGGTAGTCAAAAAGCCTGCAAACGATGTCGCTCGTCGTGTAGCCCGTTCAAAGGGCCTGTAAACTGTAGATCTCATAACGCATGCACCATGTAAAACTCATGTGTCTTCAGCATCTTCTGCAACTTCTCCCTCGTCGCCTCGACCAGACACACGCCTTGCCTTGCCTTGCTTAGCGGGTTGCGGAACTGGCATCCTCAGCTCCTGGAGGAGTTCTCTTGGGAGGTGCTTCTGTGCCAAGGAGAACATGGAGGAACGCGGTCCTATCTGACGTTGCCTGTACGATATTAGAATTTCTGGTTAGAACAAAATACGGAGCTGATACCCCAGTGAAACAACATACCTTTTCATGAGTGTGAAGACGTCGCTCTCCTCAATTGTTCTGCGCTTCGCGTGATCCGCATAGGCTCCCAGATCGTCACCCAGCTGCTCGAAAAACCATTCAGAGGACTGGATAAGAGCATCCAATGTCTCCGCCGATAGACGCTGGTTGCTCAGACCTGACGATTGGAGAGCCGTCTGGGCCACTCGCTTGACGAAAGCCGGAGGCAGTGACGGGTATTCAATGCCATGTTGTGATACCCGCTTTCGCTTCTTTGCTTTCAAGCCGCGAGGTAGCCTATCATCAGCTGGTTCATGACGCATCCCTGTTGTGACTGTTGGCTCTGGCATTGGCCCTGGCTCTTCATTTATCGAGCTATGATCGTCGACGCCAGCATCGTTATAATCCCAACCGTCCATTCCGAAGCCCCCGCCACCAGCATCGGAGTCGGATCCGTACATAACATCGGGGCGGGAGTCCTGAGCGTCATCTGCCACGGCTTGTGCGACTGACGGGTCGACAATTGGTGATGTTGCTTGAAGATCGTTGGCGGGATCAGACATTTGAAAGACAGTTCCATCCTCAAGTCCACCAGGGTACTCAAAGTTGAAGTCGCTTCCTCGACCCTCGGTCATTCGCCGGGTCTGGTCTGCTTCAATCCTGTCCTATGTGAGCAATACGTTGCATCTAATTAGCCGGTAATCAACTTACGGCTCAAGTGTCATATCATCATGTCCGGCTCTTGCCTGAAGATCCTCCAGCAGACCGGGGAAGAAATCTGATTGTTGGCCAATATCGTCTTCTGTGGCTTCGTTGTTGAAGTAGTCGCTCATGCGTTCACTGCCAGGACTCCCTCGAGATAGCCGAGAGTCATTCGCAATTCTTCGAGGCATCTCAATAGACTGCATAGTAAAGTTGTCCTCATCCAATTGTGACAACATTGGTGGAGGCAAATCTGAGCTGGTACTAGAAGCATCTTCAATGTCCAACGGCAAGGATAGTCTTGGCGGCCTCGTTAGTAGATCGTCGTCTTCATCATCGTCATCATCATACAAGTTGCTTTCCTCCCTCTGTTCCGGAGACGAGCTCCGTTTATTCCCCGGAGACGACGAAGAAGACGAGTGAATAGGCTGGCTCTTAGGCGCTAGTGTTCGACCGAGCATTCGTAAAATATCCAAGGGTGTTTCTCTCTGCTGCAACATGCTCTGTCTGCGGTTCTTTCCAGGTGTGAACATTGCCGTTCGGCGCTGGTCAAGCAGCCGACGAGCGGCTTTGGCGTGAGGAGTCGGCGCATTGGATCGACCGGCAGATGCTGGTGTACCACGGCGAAGTGAGGCACGCAGGTCTCGGGCACCGCTACGATCGAGAGGTGTGTGAACGCCAGAAAACGGCTCTGCGCTAATAGCGCGACGGTTGGGGGTTCTCGAAGGAGTTCGCGCGGGCGTTTCTTGCGATGCCGCTTTACCTGGCGGCGATAGACTTGACATATTTGTGGTGGTGTTTGTTTAGATGCGCCGGAGTGGCTGGCGGAGCGACGGCCGCTCAACTGGCAGATAATGTCTTGATATCGTGGAGGTCTTCATCCATAGAACTTTGAGAAGATCCGGGCGTAATGCGAGCACAGCGGTTCGGAGAATTATTTGTATTTTCGGTTATTGTTGATGTTATCGATCCATGTCAAGGATGAATGTCAATTCAAGTGGGAACGCGACAAGCTTCAGCCATACGCGACGAGGGGAGCTTGAGTGCACGGGCCATTTACCTGCATTGCCGTTGATGTAAATGACCATGGTCATAATTATTTTGAGAGATCTCGAGGTACCATTAACCAATTCGTACAGAAAATGATGCTGTGTTGTAAATGCGCATTTGATATAACCATTAATCAACGAGATGAGGCGGAAGCTAGACGATAAGCCAGGGACTTGTTCGGCAACAACTTCTAGATCCATCCAAACAATCCTATGCAAAGCAGAGCTTCATAGAGATCCCTTCGCAGTTAATCCAAGATATCCATACCCGCCAATCATGACACTGCTCACAAATCTCCAAACAGCTGTCCTGGGCACACCAGCCTTGATACAAATCCAACAATCAGCAGCACCCCACAAGAAGAGTAAGCTCATAAGCGTATCAACTACATGGTATTCACCACGAAGATAGAACGTCCACAGAGCGACGCCATAAGCAGCTACACGAGTGCCGTAGATACCAAATGCTAATTGCGCTGGCTCTGACCTGACGATGCCCTCAGGCAACCCGTACTCGCGCATAGCACGGTCTGGGGCTCTCAAAGGAAGAAGACCACCGAGAGTGAAAGCGGTGCCCATAAACATGGCGGGAATATGCCATGGAGAGACATTAGAGAACAAGCCTGAAGCCATTTCGTGATAAATCAGCCAGAAACTAATGTTTCTATTAGTATGGTTTCAAGTCAACAAGGTAAACATGAGGGAACACTCACCAATTGGTATTCTAGCAAAAAGAAAAGACAATAAATTTCAAAACATTAATCGCTCAGAGCATTCTTGAAACAAATAAGCTGACAGCTCGATGTAAGCAATCGGAGGAGCTATATGTAAGATGAGATCGCCAAGCAATGGCAAAAAGAATCAAAAGAATAAGTGTTAGGACCGAGCGTGGATCGAACACGCGACCTAGGGATCTGCAATCCCTCGCTCGTACCACTGAGCTATCGATCCATTTTACTTGTCAGCGACTTCGAACTCTTGGCTTATGAAGATTCAGGTGGTCGAGCAGAGGCAGTGGCCTTCTGAGCAAGGGTCTAAGCGCCCAGTGGAGGTTTCAACAGCTCTTAACATGCATCCCTGGTCTTCATACCTTTATCTCCAACCTCTTTATTGTTGATCCCTGTCTTGAAGTGCTACCTGATTGTTAACAGAGAGCTTGTGATGATATCAATTGTTTCTGCTTTGAGGTTGGCGTGAGTCATGGATGTTGAATTCAGTTGAAGAGATCGGCCAGGTTTCATGATTCGGTGGTTTTGTTCATTACGGTAGCAGTTCTCCTTTATTCCCTTCCCAGCTAGGGATTGCCATGTACAATAGGGACAGATAAATAGCATGACAGCAGAAACTCCAGGTGTTTCTTAAATTCTCCGCCACCGCTCATAATTGTTCGATCATATTGTCTTGAAAATAAGTGAGAGGGCACTACTTCTTTCTGGCGCAGAGCTTATTGTAAGGTATTCTGCCCAATCCACATTCCCGCAGCCTCTCTCCGCCTTTCATCTGTACCGACAGCCACCGCCTGCACTTTGAATAGCCGCGCCTTGTGTAGTCTTGGGATCATCGCATCTGCTGTAGCTTGAGTATTATTCCTCGCCTTGGTTTATTTCTCAACTACTGCAGCCTCTCCTTCTTCTCCTCTTTCCATAACCTGGAATCTTGTTCGGTTTCCATCCAATCCGGCATCTGCATTCTCATCCCCAGCCGCAACCGAGAGTCCATCTTAGCCAAGACGGCCATTAACAGCGAATCCTTACCACGAAAGGGTTCAGCGACACAGCAGGTGAGCTGCCTTTACCCCAAATTACGGTGCTTGGTTGGCCCCTGAGCCCTTGTATCTCCCCCACCCCCAGGCGCCTATAGCCTTGAGCAAGCTCTTGATAGCGATCAACTCCTGGCCTTTCCTGAATCCTGTCCTATCCCAAGCGGATAAGTTCCAGTAGGTCAAGTTAGTCGGCGAGGCTAGGTCTTGGCTTATTACTGCGAACCAGGGCCTGAGGTGGCACGGGTGGTGGCTACTGGTGGCATACCCTGGGCGCCTCTCTCGTGGTCCTGCCTGGGCTTGCTGGGCTTGGGGGCGTCTAGTCCAGTCTAGTCCACTGATGCTGATAGAGGTGGAGCGGCTCCCATCGTTGAACCTCCTCCTGTGGCCTCACCTTCTGCGGCACAAAACGCGTGAACTACACCTCGGTTTTGTGTCAAGTTTCTTCTCTGACCTATCTTTTTATGCAGCTGTGAAACTCACCTGAGGATCCATTCGAGTTCTGTCGCCGCTTGTCGCATCCAAAATCGTCATCGTCGCACCTCTTCCCTTCCGTTATCCGGCCTTCGAGTCCTGGGCTGCCTGTTTGACCTGCCCCTCTCCAGGCTCTAACCTACTACTCTACATTACATCCACCATCTTCGTACAGACACAACAATCGTCGCTTCTATCATCTCCATCTGCCCCTCGACGACTTTTTGCGCTTCCACACAATTCGTCGGTTTGATACCCATTTCCTTCGACTTTCTCCCCATAACCGATCGCAACAATGGCTCAGCCCGGCGTGCAATCATTGAAGGTTTGTTGAGCCGATGGTTACCTGACGCAATACATGGTTGGCTGACCGCTGCTACAGTGCGTGGTGACTGGTGATGGTGCTGTTGGAAAGGTACGTCGGACAACAAACAGCCGCTTACAACGCGATGGCTTTCATAACAAGAGCCTTCCGCTGACTCTGCTTCCAGACCTGTCTACTCATCTCCTACACCACAAATGCCTTCCCCGGCGAATACATCCCCACTGTCTTCGACAACTACTCGGCGAGTGTTATGGTAGATGGCAAGCCTATTAGCCTTGGCCTCTGGGATACTGCTGGTCAGGAGGATTACGACAGACTGCGACCTCTCTCATACCCTCAGACCGACGTCTTCCTCATCTGCTTCTCCATCGTCAGCCCTCCTTCATTCGACAACGTGAAGGCAAAGGTACGCCGCCCCCTTATCGCCACAACACGTCGACTCCGCTGACACCCTCTCTAGTGGTATCCCGAGATTGATCATCATGCGCCTAACATTCCCATTATCCTTGTCGGAACCAAGCTTGATCTTCGAGAAGACGCTTCCACCCTCGAATCGCTCCGACAAAAGCGTATGGAGCCTGTGTCGTACGAGCAGGCGTTGACTTGCGCCAAGGAGATCAAGGCCTACAAGTACCTCGAGTGTTCTGCCCTCACTCAAAGGAACCTCAAGAGCGTTTTTGACGAGGCCATCCGGTAAACATCAATCGCGATTATGTGCTCTAGTGCGTATCTAACTCGTGTTTAGAGCTGTTCTTAACCCCCGACCCACACCTTCGAAGCAAAAGAAGAACAAGTGCTCCATTCTGTAGATATCCATCTAATGAACGCTATTCCCGCGCGTGGCAAGGCACGCGCTTGATTTTCTCAACGAAAGCGTCTGGACGACGCGAAACGACACGAAGAACTCAGGACGAATGTTTAATAGGCATTCAGCGATACAAGACGGCGGCTCTTGACGGAATATCCCTGGGAGCGGCTGGGCTGGACTAGGCTATTGCTTTTTTCTCGAGGCCCGATACCCGTCCCCAGATCATGACCCTCGCAACGATCATGCGGAGGCAACTGCATATGACGATGGCTTTTACTTGCGAGGCGGTTCTTGAATGAATTTTGGGTTTTTACTATCCGCGGTTACGTGTTTCCAACCGTTGCTTTTTATTATTTATCTCTATTTGCTCATATCTCATGCTGTGGCCTCCTCGCGGAGTTTATACCGATTTTGCCAGTAATTCAAGAACCGGTTTGCACTTTAGACAGATGACTGCTTGCGATTGTTTTGTGATATTTTCTTCGACAAGTGTCCGTTTTACCTGTGGAGGTATATTGAATGAACATGGTTATCATGTCTCGTATTTGGCATTCACTATCCCGAGACTTGCAGTTTGGCAAGTCGTTTTTGCGATGTATAGTCGTTGAATTCCTTCCAGCAGCGGTCAATTTGTCAGTCTTGATTATGAATTGGTCTCTTTGGTATGTCGCTATGGGCGAAAGAAATCGCATTGCTTGTTAGAGCTCCCAATAGAGTATACGTTCACTTAAATTGGAGCGTAAACAGAAAAGAACCTACAGTCTACACTTGTTGATATATAGGATCAACAGTCTGCTTATATAGGCCCTTCACCCGAAGCAGAAATATCTCAAAATAAGTCGAATGGAGTTGTGGATGTAGAAATATAATTCATTGTCTATTCTATGCTCTTCTTCGTGAGGTCAAGGATCCACTTCCTTTGGGTATCTCTCACTATCATATAAATGCACAATCAACTTTTGTGTATCCGATCCCAGTACATCATTAAAACAAATTCAGAGACCCTCACAAACCTACTCCTTCTAGAGCTTCACACCCTTGGCTCGAGGCCTGGTAAGCTGTTTCTACCAGCGGTTGCCAGGAATGTGGGCACGTCGGCTGGGATGAATACCATCCTCTCCAGCTTTGCGAGTGTCACCCTTGCCCTTGTTCTCTTCCTTTGCCATCCTCTCACGCTCAATACGCTTGGCGCGGTTCTCGTCGAGCTTGCGGTTCTTCTCCTTGATCTTGTCCTGGCGCTGTTTTGTCTTGCCACCTCCACCGGCACTGTTACACAGAGTTAGCGTGTGTTCTAGTCATGTATGAAGTTGCTGTTCGTGCAGGTGAGTGTCGGTGAAGCAGTAGTGAGCGTGAGTCAAGTCAAGACTAGTCAGCCCTGGGATGGTTACACAAATCGAGGTGCTTTTGTATTGAATCAGGCTGAGGGAAAGGGGTGTGGAGTCAAAGCAATGAGGTGAGTTATCATGTAAGACAGAAGTACGAGAGCAACTTACGTCAACTCGACATTTATGCGGCGGGGATAAGAAACACCATCTGAGAACTCGGAGTGGTGGAACTTGTCGAGACATGTTCGCATATGCCAGACCTTCTCGAACTCGACAAAGGCAAAGCCACGGCAGGGCTTGCTATCCTTGGGATCGCTCATGCAGCGAACTGACACTGGGTTGAGAGAGGCAAAGTGGGCTTTGATTGTTTCGGCAGTGGCGGTGAAGGGCAGGTTGCCGACGAAGACAATGTGACGGTCTCCTTTGCCATCAGCAGCCTCTGCATCGGCGCCGGCAGCAGATTCATCGTTGGTGGTCGTTTTTTCGGAGGCCTTGTTTTGCTTCTTCTTGTCCTTCTTGCTCTTCTTTGGTTCCTCCTTGGGTTCGGCATCGGCGCTGGCGTCGTCCTTTTGTTGTGGCTCGTCTGTTTTGGCCTTCTTGTCCTTCTTCTTCTTGTCCTTCTTCGCAGGCTTATCTGCCTCTACTGGCGCATCCGCAGGTTTGTCATCAGCTTCAGCCATTGGAGCATCCTCGGCCGCCTCTTCGTCATCGTCCTGCTCGGGGAGGTCCTGGAGGTTCTTGCGCTTCTCTTTGCGCTCCTTGCGCGATTCCTTCTTGTACTTCTTGTCTCTCTTCTCCTTCTTGGCCTTCTTTACATCGGCACCGTCATCCTCGCTGCGCCTGCGCTTCTTGGCTGGGGCCTCAGAATCAACAGAAGCAATGGGCTTATCGTCGACCTCGGCGGCCTCTCTTGCGCGCTTGCTCTTCATCGTCGGTGATTACGGTGGATTGCTCTGAAATAGTATCGTATAGGTGGAGCTGGGGATGCAGAATCTGCCGATATCAAGTCAGTAACCTTGTGCCATGTCGCAATGTAAAACATGTGGCTTGACGAGGAAGCAAACAATGGTTCGATCGAGGAAACTTACAGGCTATTCGGTGCAGTGTGATAGTCTTGGGAGGATTGCGCGTGCCGCCGGCTGTTGTTTGCTTGATCGTCGGTGCAGGACAATTTTTTTGAGGCAGGAAATATTCCGGACCGAACTAGTCTAGCGCTGTTTCGGAAGCGTACCGTTGATGCTTGTGTAAGTATCCGTAGGTGCCTTAGTTTAACCTATCGAATGGTTTCGCAGTTGAGGCTGTACTTGGGGTGTGAAATTCTGAAGAGAATCGATCTGCGCGTGACAGGACGTACAGAAAATGTGAGAACAGAGTAGGATCGGTCGTTCATGTGAGGGTGGATGTGATAATCCAACCCAATAGTAAGGGAGGCTAGGGAAGGCGGGAGAGGCCGAGATACTGACTGCCGGGAATATCGTGGATAGGAATGCACTAAAGTTACTGGCTGGCCACTATAACGGTACTGCCTGTCAGAACAATTACTCTACTTGCGATAATACGGTATAGCATTCCACGATACCTAGAGTCAACCAGCTACTGTAAAGGCTTTCCCAGTAGAAAACGGCCTATCGTAATGACAGCCTATTCTTCTCCAGTAATAGGCTATCAAAACCCAGGTCTCCTCACTGTCAAACTGCATTTTCGGGTCTAGGGGCTCTCTGCTTTCTTTTGCCCTGCCCGACTGTCTTAGTCTCAACCTTTCTTTTTTCAGGTATTTCCCTCTAGGCCGGCACGTAATTCATGCCACTAAAGACACACTGCGCTGCACGTATGTACGCACGCACGTACATGAGGTGTCTCAGGTTGTAATGCCAGCCGGGCTCTTGGTCCACGAGCTCAACTTAATCAACGGCTATCACGACTATCCGTCGTGCCATGCGATGTCATGGCGCCAGCGACTGGCCTACAGACTCCAGATCCCGCGCTGCAACGCTACGCTACGGCAGAGGTACCCCAGCTCCCAGGTGCATAGCATTTGCGCCTGCGCCTGCAGCTGCAGATGATGCTGATGCTGTTGCTGATGCTGAGTCAACCCTGAATATGCGGTGGACGTCTATCGACCACTGTGCAACCAACATGGAGGCTCCCGGACCCATATGACATATCTTGATCAAGCCGAGGCCATCTGCAGCTTAGAGGCGCAACATGGTGCATATTGACCCAGCTGAAAGGTCGAGGGTTGGGGAATCCGTTCCATTATCCCGACGTCCCAATATCAAGGATGGGACCTTTGAAACGGATTGGTTCTGTTATTAATGGGGGTCGACTATTGGAGTTATTTGACCGCATCTAGCGAGTCATTCACCTCATTTGTATGACGACCAAGGAGCAAAAGGGTCTTGATAGCGTTGAAACGTGGACCGTTCAACGGCCGCACTGCCTCTTTGTCGACAAGCACAAGCAAAAGCAAAGACTTGACACTAACAAAAGTGTCTAGAGAAATGCCCCTCCCCCTCCACGACCACATCCACATCCACTTCACTAAACTGCCCTTATGCAAGCAAGAGATGTTGGGATTGGGATACCTTGCAGTCCGGCACCTCCCTGCGCCGCAACTGACAGCCGCCTGTAAAGTGAAAGTGTAACCTAACTGCGAGCGAGTGCGTGTTCAAGTGGAGGAGGCAAAGGAAAAAGAAAAGAAAGAATAGCAGACAGGTGAAAGGCCCCATCCCTGTCGATATATCCCTTGTCCCTGCCCCGTGCTGAATGCCCCATCATCCACTCAACCCTCTCTAAACCGTCATCCTCCATCATCAAGCCATGTCCACTCGACTCAGTCATGTCCTCGTCTGTCTTATACCGTCTTTTCTTTTTTGTTTTTTTCCCTTTCTTCAACGCTTCTGCTAATTCTAAATCTCGTTTCTACCCTGCCGAACTTGTCGTCGCCATCTCCGCTTCGCCTACGGCTTGATCTCCGCTTCGTAGTTACTGTACGCCTCATTAGACTATGCTCCCTGTCTTTGTGACACCCATGTTTCCCCCCCGTCCCTCCAATTGCCTAGTTTGCTGCAACCAGAACCACCTGAAGTTGCTTTTCTCCATCTTAACAAGACTGTTTTTGCTCTGTTTCTTGTCGGTCGCGGAAACGCTGCCAGACCAAAAACCTTGACAGGGGTTCTGATATGTCCACAACTTTGACGTTTCCTGCAAGCTCCCGTGTCTTGTCTCTGATGCTCTCTGACCCTCTTTGTCTAGTGTCTCTCTCCCGTTCTCAACCTCTCAACTGTTCTGTTCATTTTCAGATCCTCCTTTGACTCTGGCCCGGCTCCTCCGACACTCCATTTACACCCCCAGCTGAACCAGCTGAGCCCGTTCCATACCCAACCAGCGTTGGTACCCGCTATAGTTTCTCGGTATTCTACACACATGGCATGGTCAAGGAAGGACATTGTCATGGCTTGGACAACTGATGTCAAACACAGGCATCATGGTCCAACTGACAAGCACAAACAATGGGCATGCGAGATGAGGCCCGCCGCGTATCAATAGTCCAAATACAGCCATTTCCGCCCCAGCCCGAAATTCTACGCTTTTGACTGTAGTCGGTTCTGCTGCATCTTGCTTGCTTCTTTTCTTATACATACACAACGTCTCCCAGGGTGGGTGGCCACCGGAATCCTCAGCTTTTCTCTGTTACACTATCCCCTGTCTTTTCTATCCCCATATCTCTCATTCATATCTACCTCGAATCTCTCTCGCACCTCAATTTCTTTTTTATTATCCTTTCCTCTCTTCTATCCTGCGTCGAAAGAGATTCTGCTTTTGCTTGTGCCCGGTTCTCCAAAACCCTGCGTCAAGTGGACTTGTTGTCGTCTTGAACACTTACACCGACTGGCTGACCACTTAGAGCAAGCTCACATCTTCCTCTGTCACAATGAAGATGACATGGGACCTAGGAATGGACCATGTCCGGTCCTGGGTCCTCAACGGTGACTACGAACTGGACAATTCTTTCGACCGCCCGTTTGCTTGGAGTTCTACCGTTGTCACTGGCCTCTCTGAAGCCGCCATTGTACCCCAGCCTGAAAATGCAAGTGCTCATTCAGATGTTGAGGGAGAAACGCATGACTCCCAAATCACTGAGTTGACCGCTGCTTCTACTGCGCCGGACTCCTTCTGGTCCTCTAAACCTTTCCCGACCTTGAACGAGCAGCAATTCCTTGCCGTTGCCGACAATGTGGACGATCCTCTGATTCCGAAGCAGCTCGACGTCCGTCGCATCTTTCATAATGGTCGCTATACATGGCAGCAGCTCGTGAGCCAGGCACTGGCCTTACCAAGAGGCACCTTTCCTCCTGGCCTCGACCCGTCTATCATGCTCCAGGATATGCCGCCTCTCCCCGAATCCGTGCCGCCAAAGGGAGTCCTGGCCGGAGCCCCCACCTGGCTTGTCCCGGATCCGGAACGTCGCGTTCGGGACGGACCAGATTTTGACCTCGATAACGTTACCGGCACCACCAAGTATTTCCGCCTCAGTTATCCATCGCCCATCAACTGCATCATCTCTTCAGATCCAAGCGCCTGCCACTATGGCAATCTAGCTGGCACCGCTGATGCCTCCAATGCCCCGCAAGGGCTCGCCATCTTGACCGTGTGTTGGTCCTACATTCTCTCGACACGACTACTGCAACTCCAGAACAGGAAGATCCACTTCACCGACTCCTGTCTCCGCCCAGTCCCGATTAACACGATCGGGGATCTCGCCCAGAATGAGATCCTGGTTCATCTCCCCAAAGGTGTCTCCTCACGGCTCGTGCATTGGCTCTGTGCGATTCTGGCGTCACAGTCAGGTTGGGCCGCCGATGGCCAAGGGGGCCCATGTGCACCATGGGATGCAAAGTTCGCTAGTGACGTGCGCTTCATCATTGCTACTGAAGGTCAAGTCTCGATTGACAGCGATGCGGTGCCCCCAGCTCCCACCGAAGCTACGGACCTCTTGATCGAGTTCTGTAACTTGTTTGGTATTGACCATGAGCCCCGCCGATCTAAAGATCCAAGTACCCTGTCACCGATCAAGGCTGGCTTCCTTGCAGCCCTTGCAATTCCATTCTATCGCATGGCCAAGCTGGAACCTCATTTACCTAGGCCATCTCTGAAACCACGAAAGAGTACCCCCATGGATGCTGATCAGGCAGCCAATATTCATCGGTACACAGCGGAAGCACGCTACTACATGACGCTGAGCATGCATCCTTACGCTCTGGGGCCAGTCCTCTGGAGCATATTTTGGCAACCAGATATCAAGTGCAACCTCGTTAGTCCCTGGTTGGCTGCCATTACCAGCGTCATTCAGCCCGCCTTCAAACACTGCGATTTCGAGATGCTCATCAAAATCTTTCTGCTCCGCCGTCCTCGGGTAGCCATGTGGTGGCATGGCCTCTTCCTTCTTGGTAACTCCAAAATCTTGGAATTCATTCGCAACTATCTGACTACGCTCGACGAGCGATGTTCGTACGATACCCTGTCTCGTCCAGATATTGTTACTGCGGTATGGACAGGGGCACCTCAATCATATCAAGATGACCCTACAGTTACTGCCTACCATGATCTCAGCACGGCTGTTCCTCGTGCTGCCCTACTTCAGCATCGTCATACGCTGACTCTTCGCGATCCATGGCCCCTCTTCTACGGTTGGCGCCCCTTTGGTACGATTCGCAAAGAAACTATCGAGCCTGATCTGTACCCTTGGCTTGAACGAGGCCATCATCGAGAATACCGCCATTGGACTTGGTGGTCAAAGGATGATGCATCGTCCGAACCTTCAGTGCATGTTGGCTACCGCAAAGAGACTTGTCAGTTTGACTCAAGCGTTCCAGATAACCTCGATCTCATTCCTTCTCCCAACTCTCTTGCGCCAATTCCACCCCCAACTGCTCTTCCCGTCGCTATCGAGCCCTCCCGCCGTGCTACTTTGCAAATGATCAACCACTCCCTGGGAAACATAGTTGGAGAGCGCAGCCTCAGCACTGCTGTCATTCCGGAGTTGAAGCAATCTCACCCATGGCTCAAGGACTGGACTCCTGTCTGAGTGTAACTTCATATATAATACCCCATTCGCCGAATTTACGACCGTCATGTTACCATTTGTACGATATTTTAACTTTAACGGCCGCAGCAGAAACCAGACCTGAGCATTGGGCTTTTTGGCCCACAGCATTTTCGAGGAAGCGAGTCTTGGGTTAAACAAAAGAGGCATGATAAACTTTGCTGCCTCAATTCACATTCACTGTCAATGGCCATGGGCTGCGGTGCTTGCTTTCGGGTCTGTGTCTTGCTTTACTTTTGTCCTGTTACTTCTTCTGCCTTGCTTAATAGTACGGGCGCTTCGGGGGTAAGAAAACTTCTGACTTTAAAAAAGGGTGCCAAAATTAACTGGTCTAAAGATCTACTAAAATATACTAAACTTACCTAAGTCTTTTCATCACTCTGGATAAAGGTCCCAAGTTTTCTTGCCTCCCCTTGGGGCGCTCCCGGGTTTATTATTAGCATCATCGGTCCACGGCGTATCGGAGTCCAACTGCTCCTTGGGCACGGCGGTTGTCCCGGTTGAACATGTATATTTTATGTCTGATATATTTCACAATTCAATTTTTTTGCGACTCATATCCAATGGCTGCACTAATGACTAATACCACAATATTCCATGGGCTAAAACTCCTGCTAATCGATGACCATACTCATCAAATGTCCTCCTTTGCCAAGTCATGCAGCAAGTTCCACGGGACTTCGACGTTCATTCTGTTCGTTAACTGGCATCTCATGTATGTTCCAGCCTCCAAGCTCTTGTGGCTCTTTGGCTTTGCTGCATCTCCAACGTCCCGTGGAATGGTCCTCTGTATTTTGCTCTATTGTACCCGCCTGTGTATCCTTACTTCGGTTTATTCGAAGCAAGAATATTGCTGTAATCATGGTACCGCAGATAACAACGAGCCCTCCAATGGCTCCTCCAATAATGGCACCAATATTAGGGGAGGAGCTTCCAGATGATGAATCCTCTTCCGAAGAACTGCTTATCGCTTCTGTCGAAGCGCTTTGTGTGATATCGGTGGTGCTTGATGCTGTATCACTGGAGGTGACTGAAGATGTTTGTGATGCCTCTGATGTGGTTGATTCACTGGACTCGGACGTTGTCGTGGTGCCAATGGTTGGGTTTATATAGTAATGATCGGTAGTGGCTTTAGTTCCGCAGGCGATGTAGGAGTATGTCTGATCCACGCCGAAGGTGAGAAGGGCCATGGAACAAAATGATTTGCGATCACTAATCTTCAGGTAAGTACTTGGCCCCAGGAGTGTTGATCTATAGTAGTGCATACCAAGTAAATGTCGTCAAGTCCTTACTGCCAGTCATGCCACATCCATCTGAGCAATCATGACGATCAACACAACTCCCCGCTAGTCCGCAATCCGAAGCTGTCAGAACAGTTGTAGGGCAGAAGCCCCAAAGCCCATTGCGTGTATCAACCCGACAGTTGAAACCGGAATCGGCAGTTCTCTTCTTTTTGGGATCACCGTCTAGATAGCCACATGTCGAGAGCTCAGTGCTAATAGCCCGTGGCTCGAGAATGTTGCTCGGTTGTGGAAGAAAAGGGGCTTTCGTTACAGGAGGAAATACCGCATGGAGAGCGAGGCTTGAAGATGGGAAATTTTGAGAGACTATTAGTAGATGGTACAAGGAAAGAGACCTCATCGTGAAGGTTGAGTTACTCCAACATGGAGAGAGGCCAGTGAGACTCAGAGAAAATACAAGATGGTAATTCGCGATGAAGATGCTAGGGGGTCTAAACACCTCCTTATTAGTCTACACTGATCCAAGCTTTCTGCTCTTACTCTCAGTTTCCAAGACTCAACCTACATGGGTGTAATTGTTGGTTGAGCCACCAGGACCCGAGGACTTGGGGCGCATGCAGAGTCTACCATTGGGTCGTTCCTTGTTTTGGTTTCTTATGACTGCTTTATTGTCCCGTTTTGAACATATAGAGGACTTCTTTTGTAGGACTATACATTCTCGATGGTGTCTATCGTCCAGTATAAGTCTCTGAAAGTCATCTCATGCATGTATCCAAGTATCTATCAACAGAAGACTTTGGCACTGGGATCTCTCTGAAACTGCATCAGTTAAGGATCCCCTTTCGTGATTTTCTGTCATTGCTTAATGGTGAAATGTTGGTTGTTGGTTACAATGAACTATCCTGTCATTTTAAGAGTGGATTTCAAACAATAACTAACAACCAACATGCAGCTTCAAGTCCAGGGTGCTGCTGCATCGAGAAGATCTACATTACTCTTCTCAGTTGTAAGAAGACTAAATTAAGCTGTTGAAGTTTCTAGACACGTTAAATAGTTCGGTATAGAATATATTCAGTAAATTGTCATCAAGTTGAGTGCTGAACATGTTTTTCAGCCTTATGGGCCATCATTGGCATGCCTAGGAAGATCAAACAACCGGGGTATCCTCACTTAAACTTGGGCGCTTAGACAACCCAAAAATACACATCACATCCTGGTATGATGATCCCCTGTCACTTACAAGGGAACTTGCTGTTGGTTGTTAGTTGTGACTGAACCAATATCCTCTTTGCTCTGCCCCGGTTCGTTCTCTTCTTTTTTTCATAATTTCTAGATTAGCAATGAACTCATGTGGTGAGCTTTTTGCTTCGTTGAAGTCATGTATCGCAGGTTTATAGCACCACTGCTGGCAGTCTTTTGCTTCTTACTTGTTGTTACGAGTCTCTATCTCGGTCGTGATCATCTTACTTGGCGCTCAGGTTCTTATACTCCTGTAATGCAAGAGGAGGTAGAGACAGGCCCCAGTCTGGCATTAACGACAACAGTTGCGACAACAAGTGCTAAGATTGAAGAGAGCCCTTCGCATACGCCAACTCCAACTGCAACTGCAACCTTGGCTACAACTCCAACCATCTCAAATGGTGAGTATACCATGGCTTCTATATCTATCCGTGTGCTGATTTTGCGTAGGTACTATACTGTCTGCTGAGCGTATATCACGCTACATAGCAGCTATATTCAATTCATCGGCGGCCCTCCCTTGTCTTGAGTGCCCTGCTCTAAATGACAATCGTTACAAGGTCCTCCAAGAGCCTCGACATGGAGATGAGGTTCAAGACTCACATATTGATTATTTCTTTGCCCTCAACTTGCGGAACTGCATAGGCATTCTTCCGCGCCTGATAGGCAGCATTGTTGAAGCTGTTCGTTTCCTTGGACCCCATCGCTGCGCGTTATCTATCGTTGAAGGAAACTCCCCTGACGGCACATCCGATATTCTCTCGGCTCTGAAACCCTTCCTCGAAGACTTAGGACTGGTCTATTTCTACAACAGTTCCAGGATCAACCCAACCCAAGGTAATGCACGCATCCGCAAACTTGCCCAACTACGTAACTTGGCCCTCACTCCTCTTTACAAAGAACAAGTAAAGGTTACAGACGAAACAACAGTGCTTTTCATCAACGATGTCTCCGCCTGCACAGAAGATATTCTCGAACTCGCTCTTCAGCGACGCAGTCTCAACGCAGACATGACATGCGCCATGGATTGGACCTACGTAGGACCCGACCCAACCTTTTACGATATCTGGATAGCCCGTACTATTGCAGGAGACTCTTTTTTCGAAGTTGGCTCGGACGGAAATTGGAATTCGGCTTGGAATCTCTTCTGGAACGCCCCTGGAACACGCTCACGCTACGACGCACAACAGCCCTTCCAGGTTTTCGCCTGCTGGAACGGGGCTACAGCGTTTACTGCGGCGCCGCTATTACATGGTCTTCGGTTTCGAGATACTCGCAAAGGAGAGTGTTTTCAAGGCGAGCCCCAGTTGTTTTGTAAGGATATGTAGTCCCGAGGTTTTCGCAAGATTGCAGTTGTGCCGAGTGTGAATCTTGAGTATTCTGATGAGAAGGCCGCAGATATCAAGAAGCTGAAGGGCTATATGTCGGATATAGTTCAAAGGCAGGAGGAACATAGTACAATAGATTGGGTATACGATCCACCAGAGCAGGTGAGATGCATGCCAACTTGGGATAAACAGTCCTGGAGACCCTGGAACGAGACGCTGTGATGAGAGAAAGGACACTAGTTAGTAACCTAATGGATACGGTTTCGAAGTCATCACGATTGGCAAGATCTTGAAGTGATGATGTTAAAAGCAAACAGACTTGTGTGTACTCGCACGTCCTACAAAAGGACATCCATGATCCCGCTGGATGTTTCTTATGAATACATATATACCTTAGCAACCTTGATCATTCTATTGACTGTAGGGTCAAATTTTGTCCAAAATAACAGGTATCGTGTGCCACTATCGCTCTACCCCACCGACAAATGAGAGAGGAAATCCAAATTCCGCACAATTACAGTTTCCAATAGTTCATTGTCTATTGGTTCCAATACCAGCGCTGCCCAGCGGGATCAAAAGCCCACTGTGGTGGGAAGAGTGGCCTGGCTCTTGTCTGTTAGACACGGGGTCCAAGGTGAGGAGGAAGCTGGTGATGATAGGCTTGAGGAGAGAATTGTTGAGGAGGCCAAGGAGGATTAGGCATGTATTGCCTGGGAGGTGGTGCATTGAAGTGGTTGGTGTTGAATCCTCGCTGGAAACCATTACCACGGAAAGGAGCCATGTGGCCTCCTCGTCCAGGAGAAGGTCCGTGATTGTTAGGACCGTGCCCGTTAGAGTTGCCTCGCCACGACGTCTGGTTTCCCCGCTGGGGCCAACCATTTCGTGGCTGGCCACTGTTCTGCATGTAGGGTTCGCCTCCGTGGTAAAACTGGCGATCGCTCTCGGGTGAAGGTGGCCCATTGTGGTAAGAGTGTCGACCATCGTTGTAGTCACCCGAACCGTTTCCTGGACCTCCGCCTCGGCGGCTACCACGCCCAGCTCCTCCTCGTCTCCATCTATAAGGTCGTCGAGGACCACGAGGTTTTCGGTCGACCTGAAAATCGATCCTCTTGATGGGATGAGTGACCATTATATCATCAATGATACCGTACTTGATGAGCTCATCATCGCCAGTCGTCCATACCTGAAAAACATTTTCCAATTTCTCGATATACTTGACTTCAGGCACCCAAGTTCGGACATATCTGCCGTTGTTATCATAGTCGAATGCTTGTTTGATAGGGTTGAAGATGCGTGCATCACCTCTGGGGTCATTACCGACACCCGCCACGTACTGCCAGTTCGCCCAGTTGGAAGATACATCATAATCTACCAGCATGGCTTCATACCATTCAGCTCCGTAGCGCCAATCAATGCCAAGATGCTTTGCAAAGAAGCTGGCGACATTCTGTCGGGCTCGGTTCGAGGTGTAGCCGGTATGATAGAGTTCACGCTGTGAGGCATCGATCAGACCCATACCAGTTGTTCCTCGAAGGAACCTCTCGATGATTTCACTCAGTTCCTCGGGTGAAGGATCTTGATCGACATCGGCTTTCTCCTTCAGAGCGGTCTTCCACTTCTTATCATACTTGCCACTGGCTCCCTTAAAACCATCAAGCTTGAAAAGACGTGAGCCAAACTTCATAGTACATAATCGCATGTAGTCCCGCCACAAGAGCTCAAATCTGACAGCTTTGGTGCCTTCGTTCTCGCCCTGTCCGAAACCTATAGCTCGAGAGTAGGATTGTTCTTGACCGTTCTCAAACTTGACAAGTTCCTCATGAATGGAGCGAGCCGAAATAGATCCGAGTGCCAGGTATGCTGAAAGCTTTGTGCTGTAATCGGTTCCGAGTAAACCATTGCGGGTCTCCTGGTAAGTAGTCATGGAGCCTGACTTGATGAGATGGTAGAGGCGATCCCAGGCAGGGTTCTCGCCACCTTTGAATGGGTGTGCAGACCTAGCATCATCAGGATAGGCTGGAGGGTCTTGCACCATACTGTTGATGGGTTCTAGGAGACGTTGTTCAAAGTCGTTGTAGTTGTCAGGAATCTGAAACGGAGGTTCCTGAGGTGGTGCCCACGATGAAGGGAACGGCGGTAATGATCCGGCCTGCGGACGAGGGAGAGAGGCGCGAGGACGCTCACGGAGGGGTTCTTGAGTTTTGCGGAAGGTTGTGAAAACATCTGGAAGCTCCTTGGGGTCATCCAAACCAGTGTCGCGGCTAATTACAGGCATTAGTGAGTTGTCCAATATGGACTCCTTGACAGTCAAGTAGACTGACAGGCTGAACTTACTCGTCGATGTAATATTTTTCGTCCTGCCAAAGCTTAAAGTTGATGTTGTTCTCGGAACATACAGATGCTACAGCATTCTGATCATCGACCTCCTCTTTCGATACTTCCTCGGTCATCCAAACCGTATCGACAGATTGATGTTCATCGTGCAGGGACTTGATCAAATGCTTTAGGACGTTGTCGAAGTTTCCGATACGAACCAGCATGCCACTGTGGATGTCCTCAAGATTTTGTTTCACATCCCAGATAGACTCAGCTTGGAACTTGGCTCGAACGGGGCCACACCTCCAGAAGCGGCCTACCTGACTTCGGGCTTCGGGGTAAGGAGACTTTTGTCCTTCAACAACGAAGCCTGAGGTTTCGATTTGGTGAGGGGGGAGAATATAGATGGGGAGGAGATGAGTGAAGCCATGGTCAGAAGTGGCCAGGTGGTGAAGGATAGGGTTGTCGATTGCCCTGAGATCGCGTCGAAGTAGATAGACGAGGAGTTTATTCCCAGCCATGATGTCAAGATTACAATGGTGTTGTCGTAATACAAGTTGAGGCGTAAACGGGGCGATTATAATATGGTATATGGTTCAGGGACCTGGTTTCGGATCCGAAGGGAGATAGCTTGGAATGGCGGAGACGATGTCAGATCTTCCACTATGTGGTTGTGCGGGAGGGGCCTAGTTTTGGGACTGGGATGAGGGCTCAATATTCGGGCCACTGAGTGGTTTCGTTTAAATGGCTGGGGGAGAGTGTGTGGGAGGTGTTTGGTTGGACCGTGTACGGTACAGCAACAGCAACAGCAATAGCAATAGCAATAGCAGCTGAGTTGAAAGTTGATTGTATTTGTGGTGTTAACAAGGGTTTGGATACCTTGCTTGTGACGATGTAATGTAGTGATGGCCAAAAGAAGTTGAACGAAAGCTGAATAGGAAGAGAAACTTCTCAGGAGCAAACGAGTCTGGTAACTCGACAGAAGAGTCTCGAAGGTAGAAGGGCAGCGGGTCGGGTTGTATGTAGGTATTGCGTAAGTGATTAAGACAGAGCTAAAGAAGTCTGGTCTGACTAGATGGGGAACCAGCGGATACTGAGGATATCAAATAGATCATGGATATCGGAACCTGGGATCTTGCTACTACTATAACTTTAGCTCGTCTTAGCTTAGTTTAGCAGCTTCAACGGTTCCTGGCCAGATATACCGTGAAGCAACGTCGTAGCCTCGATGCGGATGTAGCCACAGGGGTGTATATATCGCCTGCCCGCGACCCTTGAATGGGATGGAGGAAGCTAGGCGGGAGCCTAGTGTGAAGTGAAGTGACGGGTGGGTCCTTCTGGTAGTTGATAGTGGATATGATGATGGCATTCAGGTCCCCTAGACGCGGGAGTGAAGCTGTTTGAACCCCGGTTCAGCTCAACTTGACTCAAAGGCCAAGTCTAGATGGTTGAGAGGAGGGTGTCTACAGCTGAAAGGCAAACTGAGACAGAGAATGAGTGCAGGAGAGTTGAGTGTGTAAGAATAGATATGAACTTCAACCAACCGCAGTTGAGGATAGGAGAGTACAACAGGGGAATGAGAGAACAAGGCGAGAGTTGAATGCAGATGATGACGATGATAATAAAATCTAGACTAGGTGGGTACAGGAGGTGAATGGAGATCCTCCTTCCTAGGCCACGGCGAGTTTTCTTGTTCCAGGGACCGGACCTGCAGAATGCAGTGATCGATACACTAATAACTCTCCGATTTGTCCAGGTCTAGAAACCCGGGACAATCATAAAAGCGTCTTTTTGGGGGGGTCTGGAGAGAATAGTGATAGCTAGATATCTGATCGTTTAACACGATACGATGCCACGGCAAGGTCCAAAATAGGTAAAAAAGAAACCGGTAATAAGAGGTGATGGCGATGGAGATGGCTATGGAGATACCGGTAGAACAAGAAGAAAAGAAATCTGAACATGGAACAAAAGAAAATAAAGCAAAAGTAAAAGGCAAAAAGAGACCAATCGTCATTTGGACCCTGATCGGCCCAGGACGGAGAACCCGGTTGTTGCGGCGGCGCCATTGCTATGATGATTTGATTTGACTGTGAATTTTTGCTATGTTGCTACGATGCGCTTTGCTTTGTCGTGATCCAGAAACCGATTTCCATGCCTCGAGATCGGACCAAAGACGGGAGCTCTAGCCGACAGGGGTTAAGGGTAAGGCTCAAGCGAATGGACAGTGACAGGCCACAGCAGAAGCAATGACAGGGGACGGGGAGGAAAGAGGCTGCTAAAAAAGTTTAAAGTGTGTCAAGTTTTATTCGCTCCAAGCGATGATCTTTTCCTTTCCCCTACCTCACAGCAAATGCAACCCAAACGTGAGTGAGTGAGGTGATTCTGCTTGGCCCTGGGGCGGGACGACGCGCAGTCTTGCATCGCACCTCATCCTCTGCTGCTTTGGGGCCGGAGGCTTACAGGGGCCCTCAGGGCGTGTCCGACCAGGCTCGGCCCTCATGTCTCGTCTCTCAGGCACAGTGAGTGGGGTGGGGCTTGATGGTGAGAACATCACCAAACTTAGCAAAACTAGACCGTTGATGATTGACGTTCCTAAGCTGACACTTGACAAGGGGAAGATTTCCATAAACAGAAACCTCATATCCGTAAACCGTCAATCATGTCTAACTTGATCACAGATTGCTCGCCCTGGATGAACGTTTGACTGCTGTGCTTCCCCCCTATCAAGCCTCACCTGCTACTTGCGTACGTATATTCAATGTTGTCTCCGCCTCACTTCTCTCCTCTCCTTGTCTTGTCTTGTGTGTCAAATGTGCACGACGTGATCTGGTGTTGCGCCAGCGATTGAGATGCGATGCAGCGGCATGGCTATCGACATTATCATCGCCATCGTGGGGGCGTGTGCAACTGTTACACTGACTTACTTGGCTGTGCTGTGCTGTGCTGTGCTGTGCTGCCTACAAACGTTCTGAGACACGACAAGGGGCGGGACAGAACCTCGTGAGAAATGGATCCTTTGCGGACTGTCAAGTTTCTGTGGCGTACCGCATGTCGTGCCCTGTGGTATTCTACTCTGTTATGTTGGTGATCGTGATGATGGTTGAGGGCTTGACTGAGATCGAGAGAGAGGATCTCTGAGAAATCAGGGTCCAGCCAGTTGAGCCGATCAATGACATCACGACTTGATGGGGGCCTTTTTAATACCCGTGAATTGGACTCGAATGTTTTAGCTGATGCAATTGCTTCGGAAATTTGATCTGGTACACGATTCACTGCAATGGTTGCAACTATCACGAGTCTGCAGTATCAATCGCTGTCAAGTCCGGCTATCAACATCATCACTGATTCCCCGTTTCTCAGATCTGCACGTAGGGTGCTAACACACGCCCATCGAGCCGAACAAGGGGGGTTCTAGATCCTGTCAAGTAAAGCCCAGACTCGAGAGTTTCCAGACCCGTTTTCAGGCCCATGCCCATGTCCAAGTGGATCCATGACCAATCGATCCGAGCGTCGTGTTCCCCCGAAATGACCTGATGTTTTTTGCCTTTCGTTTCTTTTTCTTCTTCTACCGACATGGGAAACAGCCCTTTTTCCATCAAAGGTACCCCAGTCTCCGATATCCGTTGACAACGTGCGTTCCCGACGATCGGGCTCATGGCTCTCACATATCTTGTGCTGGTCATGGCTCTACCACCCTCACACAAGCAACCATTTTGTTTAATCTGAGTTTACGGTAGTTCAAACGGCATTTGTCAATGAATAGACTTTATGTTTTTCCCATTAAAAACTATCATTCACAGTATCACCAGATGTAAGCCAAAACATATCAATCCACCTGATATCTGCTGCCCAGCCTGGACCAGCCTTCTCCCGTCTCAGCAGCATGCGTGTCTCAAATTTATCAACGCTGTGTAAATAATTGATTGCATAAAGCCCACATGCAATGATTTCCAATCGGTGTTTCTCCGATGGCCAATGGAGTTGAGTGCAGAGCAGATCACAGCCAAGCTTTTCACTATAACCTCGACCGGGGTATTGTCGTAACCAGTTCCGAGCTGCAAGGCCTCCCAGAATTATCTCATGAATCAATGCAAATGAATCATACGCGTCTTGAAACCGCGAATCTTGATGTTAGCCTGTATGAGCAGGGTAGCCAGCTACGATTCAGAGAAATAACCAGCCTTTCGATTATCTTCCTGAATCCTCGGCATAAACTGCGCAATGATGACGACGATCAGGCAAGCCCATGTCTTGAACTTGCAGGTATCAAACCAGCTCATGTTCTCTCCGACTCTCGTTTGGATACCCCATCGCGATGCTGCTCTACACTGAACTATTCGTGGGTTTCGATCAGGAACATGGCATCGCTCATGACGACACTTCTCTGGACTATTTTTGAGATCGCGTAGGATCGCCACTACTGACGCGCTTTCTTCGACCCATGGTGAAGTCATCGCACGTTGCAATGAAGATCAGGGTTCATACACAATAACTCTACTCAGAGCTAACTTGGAGCTAACTGAAAGGGTTTCCTAATGATTCAGATAGGAGTTTAGCATGGGTAATCTCTAATTATCGGTTGTGTAATAAATCTGGTATAGATATTCATGTTGAATTAAGTCCAGACTACCCTAGACTATGATGTTTTCAAGTGTCACGATGTTGTTCGATCCTCAATCTCTGCTTACTCCGTGCGATCATGCGAATCTACATTGGATCATCTTTTCTGACACGCCCTCTGATAGACCAAGTCGTAATGAGAACATGAAATGCAATACTACACGCCACGATGTTAAACCGGTCAATACCTGAAAACGCCTACCATGTCATTATATCCACACTCGCATGACCGGGCGCTTGAAGGCTTCGGCCTAGCTCGCGACATTGTAATAGTAGCGAGGTGCATTATTTCTTTCTTTTGGGTTGTCACAATGTCTCACCGAAGCGCGCGTTAGAACTCCCAGAAGCAAGGGTAGAGATAGAAATCAGATGTCTGAGTTCACAAGGTCGATGCAGACATTATAAGACAATAGGCTACTACCAATGAGCTGCTGAACATGACTATATCTAAACACCTGCAATAGTATACTCGTTCCATAGTTCGTATAATTAAGACAAGGCTTCGTAAGGTCTTTATCCTACCTGCAGTCAGATTCTCCTCGCAGCAATATGCAAATGTCTCTTATGCATAACGACCCAACTTGTCAGCGATGTTCGTCATATTTCTCTTCGATCGAGATCTCCAAAAGTCGCCTGCAACTTTGGTTCAGGCACAAAGCTCAATTGGTTCATACTCACAACCATAGGGCCACCAATGGTAATCCCCAATTTATATCACTGAGACCCTGTCGCAGATTGTTCAGCGCCGACTTCGTCATTGATGCTATACTGATGTTTTGTAAACCTGCCGGGTAGGCTATTGACTGATACATGCATGATATGAACAGCCATGGTTGAACCGACTGAGTACTGCCAAAACCCTCGGTACCCATCAGTTACCGACCGTCGACGGATCGAGATGATAAACTTGACGGGCAAAATATCCTCGGTCGGACTGTGTCGGACACATCGTCGTATGTCCGCGTATCTTGTCCGATGATGGAGCGCGGGGAACATGACCCCAGATTTTCGGCGAGGGGAAGCTGGGGTAGAGATGGGGGGAATCACGAACAGGTTCAAGGAAAGGATAGCTAAACAAGTCAAAATAGAAGACTTGATATTAACTTTGACATATAATACACGAACGTTATATCATTAAAGTCATACCGACTACTGAAAGGACTGACTTGAGACGTGGACGGATAGCAATCCAACGGTTTCATGAAGGTAATGTTTAGTGTTGAGGCTTGTGATAGTGAGCATCAATGCCCCGCGTTTCGCTATATATCAGCATTGGGCTTCTCAAAACCACAGCTCAGCAGATGGCTATTGCGTGAGTTCCAGTATCAAAACACGAACGACGAGAAACACATCAGTGCAGTTGTATTGGTCTCTCCTTGAGGCCACACAGACGATAAACAACAATCATCTCCAGCGACCCTTCAAGTGGATAGTTTTGGTCGGTGAGGATCAGACTGAAGCCAATTCAACAAAATGATAACAATTGAGTGCATTGATTGGCTAGTATATGGGGTTTGAGTTTCCCCTCACTAGAAAAGCCCCTGAGAGACTTCATTTTTCTGATCGTGATAATTGGAGATCTCAGACTGCTCGCACAGTACACTTGTATGATGGACCCTCGGATATGTACAGTGTGAAAATGACCAATATCCACGAGTAAGTCCAGCCGGCGGCTAGCCGAGGGTGTTTTGCGGTAAGCTACGGCAAACTGAGGCGCCTACAGCCGAGCGTAATAAATATGAATACCTACTAAGTTTCTCCAAGACAAAAACCTCTAGGATATTAGGCCCTGCAGAGGTTGTTGTTCTCTTCTTTCCTTCCTCCTTCTTTGCATTCGTGATACCCCTCATCATCATCCCCCACGTCAATTGACCTCGTCCTTCTTCTTCGTTGCTACGAAGGAAGAAGACCGTAAGCCAATTATCCCCAAGAATGTCTGCCGTTAACCGGACCCTCCGAACGGCCTCCAAGCAGCTGCGCTTCCAGTCTCCCCGGGGTCTTCGTGTCGCCGCCCCTCTCGTGGCCCGCTCGGCGTTCGGCGCCGCTCGCTCTTCTCTTCCCGCTTCTCACGGCGCCGCCTTTTCAACTTCTGCTGCCAGACGATCAGGAGCTCCCAACATGTCTTCCGCCGACCGTGAATACGATCCTGAGATCAAGGATATTGCCGACTATGTCGCCAACAAGACCATTGACTCTGAGCTTGCTGTGAGTGCTATCAATTCTGCCGAGGCGTCGATTTTGCATCCCGCAAAATACCCCGCCTTGAAGCTTCTCACCTCATCACCAACAAATTATCACGAGAACTCAATGGCACCCAATCGTTGGAAATTCATTGCTAATCCATATTTCAATAGTTCGACACTGCTCGATGGATTCTTCTCGACACCCTCGGCTGCGGTCTCGAGGGTTTGAGGTTCAAGGAGTGCTCTAAGCTCCTTGGACCCATTGTCCCTGGCACCGTTGTCCCTAACGGTCCCAAGGTCCCTGGTACTCCCTTCCAGCTTGACCCCGTCAACGCAGCTTTCAACATTGGTGCTATGATCCGATGGCTCGACTTCAACGACTGCTGGCTCGCTGCTGAGTGGGGTCATCCCTCTGATAACTTGGGTGCTATCCTCGCCGTTGCTGACTGGATCAACCGTACCAACAAGGCTGGTGGTAACCTCGCTGGCGGCAAGACCTTTGTTGTCAAGGATGTCCTCGAGGCCATGATCAAGGCTCACGAGATCCAGGGTTGCTTGGCTCTCCTCAACTCCTACAACAAGGTCGGTCTCGACCACGTTGTTCTTGTCAAGGTCGCCTCTACCGCCGTCGTCTCCAAGATGCTCGGCCTCAACGAGAAGCAGATTGCCGACGCTGTCACCCAGGCTTGGGTTGATGGTCAGTCTCTGCGAACCTACCGCCACACCCCCAACACCATGTCCCGAAAGTCCTGGGCTGCCGGTGATGCTTGCCAGCGCGCCGTCAACCTGGCTCTCAAGGTTCTGAAGGGTGAGCAGGGCGTTCCTACTGTCCTGTCCGCCCCCGTCTGGGGTTTCTACGATGTCCTGTTCAAGGGCCAGAAGTTCGAGTTCCAGCGCCCCTATGGCAGCTATGTCATGGAGAACGTTCTCTTCAAGGTCTCCTACCCTGGTAAGTTTAAATCACTGCAGTCATTATGTCACGACAAGTCTAACACATAATAGCTGAGTTCCACTCTCAGACCGCTGTCGAGGCTTCTGAGAAGATCCACCACCTCCTCAAGTCTCAGGGCAAGTCTGCCGCTGACATCAAGTCCATCACTTGCCGAACCCACGAGGCTTGCATCCGCATCATTGACAAGCAGTTCAAGCCTATGGACAACTTTGCCGACCGTGACCACTGCATCCAGTACATGTGCGCCACCATGCTCGTCTTCGGCCGACTTGAGGCCACTGACTACGTTGACGGTGGTGAGGCTGCCACCTCTCCTCTGGTCGAGTCTCTCCGCCAGAAGATCAAGTGTGTTGAGGATCCTCAGTACACCAAGGATTACCATGACCCCAAGCTCCGAACCATCTCCAACGCTCTCACTGTCGAGCTCAACGACGGCACTGTCCTCGATGAGGTCGCTGTCGAGGCTCCTCTTGGCCACCGTCTCCGCCGTGAGGAGGCCAAGCCCGTCATTCTCGAGAAGTACAAGCGCCACCTTGGCCCTCACTACCCCGAGGCCCGCGTTAAGGAGCTTGTGGAGCTCAACTTGGATGCCAAGAAGCTTGAGTCTACCCCTGTTGATGAGTATGTTGATCTATACACTGTTGAGAGCAGCAAGTTTGTGCAATAAAGGATTTTATGAATGGGGGAGATGGAGGATGCATATTTAATCGCAAAGCCCAAAGAAGGCTATGGCTTGGATAGAATGAAAATATCACGCCTAAAATGAACCAATGAATACAAAAAAGTCAACAAGACTCAATGAAAGAACCTATGAGCACCTTTATTTGCTCCCATGTGTAAAAGGCGTCTGAGTTGCACCACAGCCAAATTCAATACTTTACGAACTGTCAAATCTCGTGATTGGGTCGGGTTGAGCGAGGGGCAGCACCGCCTCAAATGCCCGCTTTATTTGGTAGGGGTTTGGCTTGGGTGCTTGGCCGAATTCCGAATCCCAAGAAGCATTGGTAACAGGTCGAAACACTCTCCTCCTGCATCTAACTTCAACCTGACATCCTGTCATTGCTGTACCTCTGTCACGTTGTATCAGTGTCGCCAAACCATCAGAACCTGCGTTGATTTACCAGTCTTAAACACATCTTTATACCCACATCGCAAGTCCGGACCCTTTCGGCCGCACCATCCGTAATCATGGCCGCAGATCGCCAGACTATTATTGAAGTGAACCGTTCGCTTCGCAACATAAAAAATGTAAATGCCCTCGAATCCCGTCATCGGAACTCCACTTGCACCATCATACTCATCTGGACATTATCACTGAACGTCAACTAACACCGTGAAGGAACTAGAGAACCTCCTTGAGAGAGGCGTGATTGACGACTCCGTCTACGATACCATCAACACCGCTCTTCCCGCCGAGTCCTCCCTCTCGGGCCCCCTCAAGACTGCGACCGGCAATAAGAACAACAACACCGCCGCTCCCAAGGCCGCTACTCCCGCACCGGCCGCCCACGCGCCTCCTACCAAGGCCTTCGAGGATCTCAAAGTCAAGTCGCATTCGCCCGCGCCACCCGCTTACGATCAGACACCTCCTCCTGGTCCTCCCCCGCGCAACGTCAAGCCTACTGTTGCCAACGCCCGCGCCCTTTACCGCTATGCTGCCTCCGACGGCCGTGACCTGTCTTTCGAGAAGGATGATCGTATTGCTGTGTACGAGTACATGAACCAGGATTGGTGGATGGGCCGAAACGAGCGCACAGGACAGGAAGGAATCTTCCCCCGAAACTACGTCCTCATCGACCAAGAGACCAAGAAGCCCGTTGCGCCTATCCCCCAGCCTCAGTACGGCTACCCTGCTTACTCTCAGGGTCCTCCTCCTCAACAGAACCCTTACAACTCGCATGTGCCACCCATGGCTGTCGCTGAGGGATCTGGACAGCCGCAGGGACAGGAGGGAGATGGCAAGGATAACAAGGTCAACGAGTACGGCAAGAAGTTTGGTAAGAAGCTGGGTAACGCTGCTATCTTTGGTGCTGGTGCCACCATCGGAGGAAACATCGTCAACAGCATTTTCTAGAGTCTCTACCTTACAATTGGGAAAGATACATCGGCTTGCTTTTAAGTTACAGGGCGCATATATTGGGCGTTAGGGATTCGAAAGGTTCATAGACAAGTATCTCAGGACGATACTGAGCCTGTGTTCAGCCTTAGTTTAATACGCAGGGAGTTTAAATGACCGTTGCGAAGATCAGGATTTGCTTGCATATGGATCAATTGAAACAATACTCGTGAAGCCGATATCTCAATTCAATGTCGATAGAATGTGAACACTTTTAGCCCATACTGGTTCTCATGAGGTGTCCTTCATCATGGCTGGTGGATCTGGTAGACCGTGTATACTGTGCTCAATACAGTGCTAATGTCCTAGTCACTATGTGAATTCTAGCCATGATCAATATCTACACTGTACGTCGCAAAATTTCTTGTTGACGCTCGAGAAATCTTAACGAAAGAATTCGACAACACCATAATCAAGACACAGCCTTCATCATGTCGACTACTAAAAAACGTCAAGCGGAGGATACCCCCGCCCAGCCAAAGCCAAAGAAAAGCAAAAAGAGAAAGGCGAATGCACCAGATGATGAACTTCTCGATACTGAGCTTGGTCTCAACACGCTTTTTACCAAGATGGACAACCAGCTCTTGGCCGATCATCTGGCCCAGAAATTGGGACGTTTCGGCACCGACTTGAGCGCTGTTGAGATTTCTGATATGACTGTATCAGGTAAGGATTCCTGTTGCCAATTGCCATTCTTATTGAAAATCTCACTCACAAATTCCCAGCCAACGCGATTCAAGATACCACCTCATGGCAAGAGTCAAGAACATTGGATAAGTTCCCCGACTTCCTGGAGAAGGTGTCAGAGGATCCCGAGGGTTTGAAGAAGGCTCCCAAGAAGAAGGGCTCACCTCATACCCTCATTGTCGCAGGAGCGGGTTTGAGAGCTGCCGATATTGTCAGGTACGTTGTTGCGACCCAGTTTAAGAGGGAAGAGACTGACTGTGAGCAGGTCGATGCGCAAGTTTCAAAGCAAAGAGAATTCAGTCGCGAAACTGGTATGTTTCACCTTGAGATTAATGGAAACGATATTGCTAACGCATACAAGTTCGCCAAGCATATGAAAGTTGAGGAGCAAGTCAAGTTCCTCCAGAACCACAAAACTGGCATCTGTGTCGGTACACCTGCCCGACTTATGGATCTCATCGACAACGGTAAGTTCGGTCTCGATCCTTCCCTTTCCTGTCTCCCTCAAAATCACAGACAGGCACTGACTTCAGCAGGCGCACTCTCCTTGGATAACTTGAAGCGGCTAGTCGTTGATGCTTCACATATCGACCAGAAGAAGCGAGGTGTGATGGACATGAAGGATACGATGATGCCCCTAGCTCGCTTCTTGTCAAGAAAAGAGTTCAAGGACCGATACGGTGACGAGAAGAAGCCGTTGGCTTTGTTGTTCTATTAGATGGATGTGATACCCTGACACAAGAAAAGTTGAATGCGACGAAGCTGTTTCTGTTTGAGACTTACCCTCGATTGTTTATAGATCTTACCTGCTAGACTGTTTATCTCCACAATACAGAAGATGCCTTCTCACTTTTAATTTCCTTCATTCAACTTTGGATGGTTTCCCATATGGTAGAAGGGGCCGCCCCCAGAACAGCAATTTGGCACCTGCTCCTACCCTCACCATCACCAAACACCACCTTCCTCAAATGCGTCAGAACATCCGCCTACTTCTTGATCTCTGATGACCCTCCCGATCTTAGGCTTTTCATCTTCATCCGTTGTCTTCAGCTTCAGCTCAAGCTCGTTTTTGGAACGCATCTCACACTCTTTTTGGAACCCATCCCTCGATCACTCACTCACTTTTTTGGTACTGTCGTTTAAACCAGCACCCAATTTCTGCACGCTTCTCTCATAATAGCCGCTTGCTTCCCATACAGCCATGCGACCTCATTTGTTCGCTGGCTTATTAGCGAGCTTAGCTACTCGTACATACAGCCTCGATACATCTACACCAGGTATGGACTCTGTGCCCAATGTTAATAAGTATTCTGACAAAAGATTGTAGAATGTGCTACCATTTGCTCTCGCGAACTTATGCACTATCATGGTAGTCCTACTGTTGAGGGTCTCTGTCATGACATGGTCGTTCAACGAGTAAGTCATCGTTTCTATTGCATCGAGTGATGGGTTGCTGACTACGCATAGGAACTGTTCTCATGTCTGGCCAGTTCTTGCACTGAACAGTATGGTCAAGCTTTGACATATACTATCTCCACTTGCTCTCGTCATGGTGCTACTATCAGTGATCTCCTTCCCGTGGAAATACAACATACGAGCCTTGCTACGAGGCACTTCATGCCTCTCGTCTCACGCTCTGATTCGGCCAGCTTTGGATTTGAAAGCCGTTTTAGCCTGTCTGTCGACTGTAAAGCCGGATCTGATGGTGTTCTTACATTGTCTCTCCCCGAATCCACCGCTTCAGTTCACCAATCTATTCCCGATGGTGGTTCCCCCGCCTCACCAGGAGCTGGGAATGGCAACCTCAATGCCGGAGCAGGTCCACCAGGTGGTGCCCCAGGCCCGAACAATGGACCCTTACCAGGAAATATAGCAGGCTTAGGTGACGGTCAAGGTAGTCCTTCAGGAGGCACAGGTCCTGGAGGAGGTGGTGGCAATGATGGAACTGAGCCCTCAGATCCCAACGCGGATTGTGAAGAAAATAATTCCAATAATGGACCTTCACAGTCTGGCAACAATGATGGCCAATATCAGCCTGCCCCTGCTCCGGCTCCTGCCAACAGCAATCCCCAGCCGGATGGTCAGTCCAACGGCCCTCCTGCGCCAGGACCAGATACTGCCGATGGGAACAGTTCACCTGATAATCCCCATCAAGGAAATCTAGGACAATCACAGCCTCAACCCGCTCCTGCTCCTGCACCAGCTCCCTCAAGCCCTGATGGAGGCGATGGAGCGCCAAATCAAGATGGAACTGGCGGCCCGGGAGAGGATTGCGATGAGAACGCTCCTCCAGGGCCTGATGCTAACTCTCCTGGAAACAATGCTGCTCCAGCCTCTCCTCCAAATACTGGCGGCTCAGTGGACTGCTCTATCGATATTAACAATCCAGTATGCGCCAACCAGAATCAGCTACCTCCTGGACCTCCAGCACCACAGCCTCCAGCACCTCAACCGCCAGCGCCAGCGCCGGATTCTTCCACTCCTCAAGGCCCCCCTCCCCCCTGTGGTGCTGAAGCCGGCATACCAGACTGCCCTGCCTCTCACCAGCCTCCAAATGGCGATGGCAACGATGGTGGCGATAGAAATGCGTGCTCGGATCCCAACTCGAACGTTGGCTGTGGCTCTTCCGAGCCTTCCTCACCCCAGCCTCCTCAGCCAGCACCCCCTGCTGTTCCAAACAATTGCTCCGGGGACGAAAACTCACCTTGTAACGATGGAGGTGACGGCGGGTCTAATCCAGGATCTAGAAGTCTGCCTGCAAACCCTCCGTCGCCGAATAGTCCTGATGTGCCTCCTCCCGAGATAGGGCCTTCACCCGCTGCCCCTCCGTCTCAACCAAACACAATCGCTGATCCTGACAACGGGGCCTCTTGTAATGGAAAACCCGGCCCTTGTCCCGCAAATAGTGGTACAGGAATTCCAGAGCCAGCTAATCCTCCTTCTCCTGCGTCTCCGCCTTCAACTCCCCCAGACGGCCAAGTCCCTAACGGTCCCCAAGATAATGATGGTACTGGACGGGAAAGCTCCGGTAAAGGAAGTGACAACGGTGATGGGGGAAAAGGGAACAGCGATCTTGGACCCCAAGTACCAGAAATCACAGCACCACCTGTGCAACCCGCTCTGCCTGCATCAGCAACTCCAGCCCAGCTTCCAGGACCTCCTGTCCAATCAAGACCCCCTCAGCCTACCGATTCCAACGCTGTTGGCCGCGCCCACGAGGGACCTCAAGTTATCACGGTAATTATACCAACGCAAGTAGAGAGCACAGCAACAAAGGTCATGACAGTCTAGCCGACAAATGGCCCTTCAATGTACTCATCACCGTCTCAATTGAAGGAACGTGCCATGGCTGACATAGAACGAAGGCAAGAGAATGGTCAAGAACTTGACACTCCTGGAAATGACATCTCTGCTCTGCCTGCCGCTGCTTCAGCGGCATCAGTTGTCCAAGCAGATCTTCCAACAGAGTCGGGCATGCCCGAGCCTTCGTTCGTCGTTTCAAACGACTCGACAAGAGCTCACGGCTACTCACGAACGTCACTGACTTTTGCTGCTCTGGTAGTGTTTGTGACAACATTTTTCATGGCTACTGATATGATGCTATGACTTACATTCTTTGTGTTTATAGGCCTCGGGGCCTAGTAATGTGGGATTTTAAAGACATTACATTGTTTTAAAGAAATCTGTATTGCTTGGTGGCTTAGATAGCACATGATGGTGGATGAAGCACGTGAAATGGTATGATACTATTGTAGTTTCTATTATTATAGCAACATTCCCAAATGCAATGACTTGTTTCTGGACGATTCGCACTTGAGAGACACTACAATTATTCTGCGAGCATGTCATGTACAATAATAAATAGGCAGACTTAGTCAAGAACCCCTTTCAACATCACCCGCCTTCATGAGGTAGCTACCTAGGTGATTCAATGCCGCACCGCTCCACAGCCGCCATCTTTTGAGTTTATGCCTATCTGTTTGGGCTCAGGAGGAAGTGGTCATCGATCGAGATTCATTTCGCAATTTCGTAATTGTATGCTCAGACTTGTTTATACCATGTCTTGTCGGCATCCTTCAGCAATCCTTTGAACTTCATCCCCATTGTCCTCATTGCTTCGTCCTCACAGGTTTCCCACTTCCGCATCAACTGCCTGACATCTTCAACAATATTTGCATCCTTTGGATCTTTTGCCTTAGTGAGTATATGACCAAGGATCTCCCAACAGAGATAGTCCTTGAGTGTTGGCTGTTCTGTGGAAGCAAGATCATACTCCTGAAATTCTGCCAACATGAGTGCAAAACGGCCGAATGACTGTGTGAGGGGCCAGTAATCAAACTCCTCCTTGAGTTTCTGAAAGTCCATATGATACGGGTGATATTCGCGGCTTCCGAGGTCCCCAATGAGCTTGTAAAGCTCTTCTGTGAATGCCTGATCTTCTTCGGCTGTTCCATCGGACAAGGGCACAGGTATCGTTCTTAGTTTCATCCGAAACACACTGGGCAGCCTGCGAGTCTCTGCTTCCTTACGACGGATACTTTCTTGAACTTCTTCTGTCTTGGAGATCATCTTTTTGATAACGGGCACCGAGTTTTCCATCCAGTCGTTCCAGTTCTGTCGATCCTCAAACCGTCCGCCACTAAGCCTCATGACGAGCGTCATCACCATGTCGGCTTGTCCAATCTTGAGCAGCCTCTCAATGTACTCGATCACGAAGGACTGAAGCATCGGCAAAGACACTCCATTTCCAGCCAGCTTGGACTCTCGGTCGGCAGGACTCTGCTGTACCATGGCCGCAGACAGCATGATTCCAAACTTGAACGAATCGCGCCCGGGGTTGGAAAATTGCGAAAGCCAATGCTTGCCTGCCTTTGAGTTAACGAGATCCCGGTCCTCCTGGATGGCCTTTGTGATGCGTAGTATGCCAGGGCTGGGATCGACATTGATGAGTGCGGCGGAGCGAACCATATTGAAGACTGATATAGGTGTGTAGGGTTGGAGTTGCCCATAAAGAGCAGATACTGTAGTGAGATGCACGGGGAGATGTGGAATATCTTCCTCGAGAGAGAAGTTGTTTTTACTCAAGAAGAGTTTCATCCAGCGGGTGTTGTTGACAGCTGATTGCTCTACTGCACCCATAACGAGGGACGCGAGCCTCCTTTTATCTTCTTCGTTCAAACTTTGTCCCCTGACCTTCAAGATCAAGAGTTTGAGAAGGGGAGTTTCGGCGCCAATCTCAGGCAATGGGGCGTCTTGGGCTGAAGCAGCAACCCAATCAGCTTCAGTCAGTCCGCGTCTCTCATTGAGCTGTGCAGCTGCTGGAACGATATATTCCCCAAGGGCTTCAAGGATGCGTTTCCGTAGACTGAGAGGGCAAGTAGGTTCCTCCAAGATTGCAAAGAGGCTGTTGGTGATGGTGATTCTGATATCGATGTGCCGTGCTTCCGCAAGGAGACCAACCAGGATTTCACATGATGAAGACGGGTCCATGAACAGGTTGTACTGCAAGATCTGGGCGAGCATCTTGACGGTTGTAACCTTGATGGATGGTCCCTGAGAGGGCTTGGGACCTGTTGATACGTCCTCCTCAGTGGTTTCCTCGGATCTCTCTGCTTGTTCTTTAGCGTCCTTGTTCTGATTTTGTTCTCGCATCTTCTCCTTTATCGCACTGGCCATTGTGTATAACATTTCCTTTGCTGGCTTGGCTGGAAGCACAGAGAGGAATCCAACGCTGAGAAGGTGGCGGTGCCAAGAGGAGCTTTCTTTGGCGCCTTCACTGTCCAAAACCAAGTCGCGAATGAAGGGGCATGCCAGTGAAGGCTGATCGCTGGAAGCCAGACGCTCAATGACGAAGACAATATCCTGCATCTGCGCACGTATGGCTTCAGATCCCAGTCGCTCCCTCATCCTATCGATAAGGAAGCGTGCCAGCTCTGCAAGCAAGGGTGGCGATAGAGATGTTCTCGAAAGTAATCGGTATACATAGCTACCCTTGACAGACTCGCGATTCGATGAAGTGGTGAGAGAGTCGAAGAGCGAACCGCCATGTGCGGTCGCCAAAGCTGGGTTTCGAACTACAGCTCCGGCTTCGATAAGCAAGTCCGTTGTTGGCTTCCAGACAATCTCCATCATGTTCCTTTGGCACCTTTCACGACCTGCCTCTGAACATTCTGCCAGGCTCTTGAAGAAGATTTCCAATCTGCTCATACGTTGGCCCGTTACGGCCATAATGAGGTTGAACAGCCAGGTCCAATTGTGGGCCTTAAATCCGGGTTCTCCGACTGCGAGCGTTGCAGTCTCAACAATATTGATGAGAACCTGGTTTGCAAACTCGATGTACTTCTTGCGCAGGGCTGATGTGAATGACACAACAGCTTCAGGTGAGCTGACACGCTCATCTGGCATGGCACCCAACACTTCTTCAATCTCCTTTGTCTTGAAGACTTTCACACTGAACAAACCATGGCTTGTGAGAGAGTCCTTGATGAAACGCCGAGACCAGATAATAGTGTCGTTCAGAGTCTGTAGGTCTCCAATAGCGACGCAGAGATTCAAGGCGGCTCTAGCCCAGTATGCGCGCTCCACAGCCTCACGAGCCTGTTGAGCGTTCGTTTTCCTCTCATTGATGAGACCAATGGCGTGATCAAGCCATCCCTGGTGCTCATCTTGTGTGTTTGATTTGCGGATCAGCAACGCCCTTACAATCTCGACGTCTCCGAAACCGCTGTGTTTGATATGTCCCTGCGACTGATTAAGTATTGTTCCACTCTGGTTCGCAACTTGGAGGAAGTTGTTCTTGGGAAATAGGCTTTCTAGCTTCTCAAAAAGTTGTAGAGACTTCTTGTAATTGATGGTGAAGAACAGATCTGAAGGCCAGGCTCTTTCAGGGAGACCCTTGAGTCTGGCCAGATCTTGTTCCGAATCGCTCTCGATGTCAATTTTATAGTCTTTGTGATGCTGGATGAAGAGGCGAAAGAAGTCATATCTGCCATCGATATCTAACTCCCAAGGAACCCACAAAGTCTGACGTATTCTCTCTAATTCGATGGGCGATTTCTCCTTTGGCAATAGCTGGATCGCCTGTACCAAACGAGCTTGATTTTGTCTCTTGCTTTCACTACCATCGGCAGCCTTGGCCCACCGATCGACAGTGTACTGAAGCAAGCCACCTTGTCTGAGAACAAGCTGCTGGGAAATCTCTTCCTCGTGTTTTTGGGTACATTGGAGTACGAGACTTAGATATTTGATGCGCCTCTCGTCGTCGTATCTGCTCTTGAGAAGGCGCTTGAGAACAGGCATAGCCACTTCATCTATCAAATCAGATGGGACATGGATCTTACCCTCTTTTGCGAGGAGGGTCGTCAATATCTTCTCACAAAAGGCGATGTTGCCACGAAAGAGTCTCCTATGCTGGTAAAACCTGATGTTTTTGTCCTTGCACAAGATTTCGCTAAGGAATTTATCCTCGTGCTGCTCTCGATGGCCTAGAAAGAGACGCTTGGTCTGTGGAGGCGTCCACTCGATCTTCCTATCCTTCTCAAACTTCTTTACCAGCTCAAGGTTGCATGCCGGAACAATGTCTTGGTAGAAGCTGGTGAGAGGTCTGTCATCTTCTCGCCCCTCGTAGAGTATCGTGACCAACTCTCCAAGAGCAGCGCGCCTTTGGGACTGTGCCTTCTGAGCTGAAGCGGTCGAGCCCAGACGCTTGCACATATCACGCACGTCTCGAATGCTAAACTCGGCCATCAGACAGGCCAGTCCTGAAGCTCCCCCTACAGCATCCCATGCTTGCTGGAAGCGATCTTCACGTCGTAAGGCTTTTGTGAATTGGCGAATAGTGAGCTTTCTCTTGGTGGCACTTTCAGTTTGGCGGAGGTCGTCTATGATCTCTGATTCATTGCGGCGCGTCATTGTAGTGAAGATTAAATATAATTATCGTTGAGATGATGTTTTGTTGAAGGATGGGAAGCGGTGATTTAAATAGTCAGCTCAGCTACAGCCGTTAGATGCAGCAGCCTAAGACGGAAAAGCGTCCGGCGAGACCAAGAAGGTAATACCCGAGAGTCCTAGCGTTAGCGACTAAAGTAAGGACTAGCAGGAGATCTTTGGCACAAGCCAATAGATACTTGCTTCCATTCCCAACTCGGTAGTGCCTCATCCACTTGATTCTGTCTATCATTTTCATCTACCTTAGAACTCCATAAGGCTCGACTTTGATGATCAGATTGGATCATAATGTCAGGATTATCCTCTAACTAGTCTCAACTTGTGCTACTTCGAAAGAGATAATTGGCTTTCTACGGATTCTATGGGATCATCATGTTGTGATACTCCACTTGTTGGATCGGCGTATGACTGATATCCATAGCTGAAGTGGTGGGGGTGGGGTGGCAACATGTTATCGTTTTGACTTGACTTGACTTATAAACATAGTAGTTAAGCTTACGGTAAAAGCTTTTGCGTCTAAAAACTAATGTCGTATCCGTAGCCAAGCCATGCTGGCTTGTGGTACTAGATCGAAGGATAGTCCCTCTTGTAGCACTCATAGGCAAACAGATGTCACCTTGATATTCAAGATGTGGATCACCATAGTCTAAGTGTAGGCAATTCATCCAAGATATGCGAAATCAGGCATCATATTCACTAGAGTACATTCTCGGCCCTCAGTGTTTTCCGTCAAACCCTTTTCGTTACTCAAAGTCGTTCTGTTTGGGATCTGTCTTCCGGGTTTGCCATTTCCTTCAGAAACATTCTGACTACTCGAGCTACCGATTGCATACAACTCACACATATGTCCCAAGTATATCAATAAATACTTGTATTTACTTTTCGATATATACCAAGCCTCGATCAGATCAGCAAATAAAAGCGGAATGATTGAGGAAAACAATAAAAAACAAAGATTTCCATTACTTGACCCCAAAAGGTCTTTCAACTGTTGCTTCACGGGAACATTTGAAGTATTGAATCGAGTTTCATAAGGTAAATAATTTAGTCGCTCGTATTAATAACTTCCAAAATTCAATGGCAATGCCTCAAACTTAAAATCTGCTGGCTTCTCCCCGTGTGTTTGGAGCAGGTCAACTTCGCCATAGCAATCAATTGCAGTAACAGCTCAGCCATACAAAGGCTCGGGGCAAACCTGTCCAAGTTTAGCTGTTTACAGCTCTCGCAAATGAAAAGGCCAAAAGGAGCCAATGTCACGGTGATTCACAGACCAGACACACGCAAGCAACACTGCTCGCAACTGGTAGGCAGCCCTTGGCTATAAAGCTCCGTATCTTCTCCCACCTTTTTTCTTCACTTTCAAAACCCAACTCCCTTTCAAATCCGATAATCTTCATCGAGCGCTTGTAGACTCTACTTTGACATCATCTCACTTGACAGCTTCCGACCACACACGATGGATTGGGACGGGTCGCCAATCACGGACCCAGGATGGGGTGATGTCGAAGCTTGGAATGCTGTTGAATATACCCAAGGTAATCTATCTTTATCGCTTCACCCACCGGAATGTTACCTGACCAACATATCTGTATCTAGTCGAGAAACCCGGATTGATTTGTGAAGTCAAGGATGCCTTTGCCAAATTCGACTACAATGGTAATTTCGTCAAATGGCTTGACGAGATGCCATACGGCGAGGTGCAGAAGGAGATCCGTGAAATCAAGCGAGTTCGCGGTAAATATGCTGTTGTCTGTGGCCGCTTCCCAACCAAGGACAGTACTTGGGAGGTCCGAACCATCTGGATCAACAACCCCGCCCTGCAGGCCGTTCTCTACGATGTCTTCAGAGGCCATCCTGATGTGAGCTGCGGCGGTGAGGTCCTTGAATTCAAGGCACCATTTGTTCCTCTCATTCATCGCTGGGAGCAACTATGCAAGCTGGCAGGTGTCAACGCCGGTTCTGAGATCCAGAAGCTCATGAAACTCTTTGTGGACATGCTCAAGAATGAGCTGCGAGGCACTCTCAGTCGAGTCAAGAGAATCAAGGAGACTGGGTGCGCTTCTTGGGAAGACCTCAAGTTTGTCTTCAAGCCTGCCCAGCTCTTCTTCCGCTCAGAAGCCCCAATAGCTGCGGGAATTTCCCGAAAATATGGAGGTTGTCATCTTTCAGTGCACCAAATTGCATGGACTGGTTCAGATTATTCCACTGTCAAGTCCACATTCGTGGTCCCTGCCTTCCACGGCACCCGGCCGCTCTCTGACCTCATCGTCAGGCCGGTCTGGGCCTGTCCCGAGAATGATATCAAGGCTTTGAAAGCTGCCCTCATCAAGCGTGGGCGTAAGTATGAAGACCTACGAGGCATTCATTTCCGCTTCCATCAAGATCCGACCCAGGCGGGTAAAACTCAGCACCGCGAAGAATCTTCTTCAATTGTTCATGTGGTAAGCAAGTCTGTCTGTCATTGATGCAAGCTTTAAAGCTAGACTAACATTCTTGTCGAAAAATGAGTGGGAAAACCAGGAACGCATCATTCCCAAGGAACCCCGTCTTCCGATTCAACTGGTAAGGATTCATGGTACATCTAACGCTCAGAAGCGCTGACAAAAACCACAGACAGAGGGACGAGTTATCGTTGATGCGGACGGTTGTAATGATGACTGGTCTCGCTATGTAGGACCCCTGTACGAGCTGAATCTCCACAGCGCAATGAAGGCGGATGGGAACGACTCGAAGGCGTCTACTCCTGACGACCACCAAGAATCTCAGGAAGCCAGTGATCCAAAGAGCGAAGAAGGAGATCACTCTGACCGCCTTACGGATGAGGAGGCCATGTTGACTGTCTCAACTGTGAACTGTTTCTCGATCGAACGAAAGGTGTGGTGTAAGTTCACAGGCTCAAACCTCTCGAACCTACTGATGCTAAGAATTTGTGATAGGCTATGCCGAGATCGACCATCTCACCGACATTGAATGGAACACTGAGGCCATCAATAACCTCGTCATCGATGAAGCAGAGAAGAGACTCTTGGTTGGATTTGTTGGCGCAACAAAGAACGGACAGTTGCAGCATTTCGACGACTTTGTCCACGGAAAGGGTTCGCTTCTCCTCACCAATGGTTAGATATGAACTGACATTAGTCACAGGAAAAGGTCTTGTCATGCTCTTGTGTGGTCCCCCCGGTACGGGAAAGACATTCACTGCAGAATCGGGTATATTCTATCAATTTTTATGCTACAGTTCCTTGCTGACGTCAACACAGTCTCCGAGAATCTGAAACGCCCCCTCTACCGCATTGATACTTCGGACCTTGGGATGGATACCTCCAAACTGGAGTGCAATCTCAAGACTGCTCTTGACCGCTGTGCCCGCTGGGATGCCATCCTCTTACTTGATGAGGCCGACGTATTCCTTGAAAAGCGCACCAGCAGCAACCTCACGCAGAACGAGATGACCACCAGTAAGATACCCTATTCGGTTGTGTTGACCTGTCTGACATTTTCTTCTAGTTTTCCTTCGCCTCCTGGAATACTACAAGGGTCTCATGATTCTGACCACCAACCGCTACCCTGCCATCGATCCCGCGTTCGAGTCACGTATCGACCTTTCGTTCGTCTTCCAGGATCTGGAGCCAGCCTCCCGGGCCAAGATCTGGTACAACTTCCTCATCAGAGAGAACAAGAAGTTGGCTGAAGACAGTAATGCGATTGCGAAACTGGCCAGCATGCCTCTGAATGGCCGACAGATCAAGAGCGCCGTCAAGACAGCGCGAATCCTCGCTGTCAGCGAGAACTTGCCTCTTGCAGTTGATCATCTGCAGACGGTTGTTTTCATGCGAATGAAAGCATTGAAGATGCTGGAGTAGGTTGGGCGACTGAAGGGTCTGTCATTCGAAGCATGAGGATAATCCTTCAACTCGGACACAATCATCATGACGACCGCTTTCAATGGCCGATGAAATTTTTGGTGGCTGCATCAAGACAGCATGAACTTGGGGTGATGAATGGAAGACATTTCTCACGATGGTGAATAGGTAAAGGCAACTTGACAAAGGGGATAGCTTATAATAGCATTCACATCAACAAGTAAAGGATTGCCTCATTAGAACGTAATGGGTTTCGTGATCATTCAGGTGCTTTCATCATTTTATCGTACATTATTTGTTTTCGCTCTTGTCTCAGAGCTCGTGTGATCCTCGACGCCATTTTAAGCTCCATATTTCTTGTCCTTGTCGGAGATGGGAAATTCGCTGCCTGTGGCGCTCTTGTACTGGTCACGAATAGCATCGGAAATAGCCTCGTCCTTGGCCTGCTCGGCGGCGCCCTCGTTGCTCTGGTCGCCTCCACCGAGGAACTTTTCCTGCACAAAGTCGACGGCTGCAACAGTTGTTAGTATAGTGCTACATAGGAAGTTGGAAGGAGATGTTTACCCTTGTCAAGACCATCTTCGTTCTTCTCGCCCTGCGCGCCACCGCCAGCCATTCCGTTGACCTTGTCCATGAAGCTACCGCCAGCCTCGGGAGGAGCTTGCTGGCCCTCGGTGTTGCTGGCGTTGTTGTTGCCACCTGCGAGGTTCTTGACGAAATCCATGATGATAGTTTGAGTTTTGGGTTTCAAGTTGTAATTTGTGATTTGGATATGTAGGTTGATGAGTATGAAGATGGAAAGTTCAAGAAGCGGACGAGATCTTCCCTTTTATACAACTAGTCACGTAGCACATCACCAGGCGGGGAAGGAACAATTCTTGATTCACTGTATGGCAAGAAAACCACTGACGCAATTAAAAACAAGGACATGTACGTGAGACCAGGGGATCGTACTTTCGCAGCTGAAAAATGATGTGCAGTGACGTTGACACCAAAAAGTATTGGTGGACATCTCGACAGGGATTGACAGACCAAGATAAGGTGCGGCGGTAGCATAAAGCTTAAGCTCGCGTGCCAAGTTTTAGGGTGGTAAACCGCCTGGAGCGCTGATGTGCGGGGTAAGCTTTGTTAGAACTCTACTCCGCAGCTGGACCAAACTCGTGTTGCCGATGATATCACAGGAATTACATAATCATTAGACATGCACAGCACGCGTGTTTGGAATTAAATGCGTAGCATTATTGAAACAGATGGGTATCATAAACATAATCTCGGTCCCTGCCCCCTTTTCATCGCCCCTGTCGATCGATGCCCAGTTATGCCCGGAATCTCTCGTCAACTATCGCCGTTTTCGGTTGTCGTATCGTCGTCACTTTTCTTGGTCGTTAGCATAAATGCAGTTCTTTCATCTCATCATCAACTTGTGAGTCGTGGATATTAACTCTAGTCTCGGGTCTGCATCCCATTGGCGTCGATGACAGCCTGACATCGGTGAGGCATGCTCTCAATGAGCGCTTTCATGTTTTCCTGAGGTATGTTGTTCCAGGTGCCTCGGACAACTCGTCGGATGCGCCACTCGGCGACCTCGCCGAAAAGAGAGCGGTCCTTGTCAGTCTTGAGATTAGCCTTGGCCCAGTTGAATATTTCGGTGATGGGGTTTAGGTCGGGTGAAGCGGGAGGGAAGTGCTCGATGGGCATAAATCGTCCTCGCATCTCGTCCTTGACGGCAACAGCAGCGTGAGCACACATATCTGGGCGCATAGCAAAGCGAGATCCAGAAGGCTGATCACTGATCCACTTGGAGAATCCTGGAAAGATGACCTTGTAGTGATTCACAGGGCCAAGGGGGCCGAACTTGTTGTCCGCGTCGCGACTCCAAGCAATGAGAGGGCCTTTGCCCGTGAGACCTGAGAAGTGAGCGAAGTACAGCTCACTGTCATTGCAGTTAGTAGGCTCGGCAGGCACGTCGTTGATGCAGTCAAGATGGTATTCCTCGTCGGACTGTCGAATGACCAAGGGTTCGTGTGCGTCTGTAAGGGGAATACGGACTTCCGCAGTGAAGAGAACCTTGTTCCACTGCTCGATAGTTCATTTGACATGGTTGAGAGCGAATTCAAGTCGAAGCTTTCGGGTTTCCTCGCTAATGTAAGGACGAATGACGGCCGGGTACAACTTGTACCCGTACCGACCGAGAGCATTGCGAATGGCAATATCAGAACTTTCCAATCCGAGGGTAGCAGCGATCTTGGAGAGGGACATGCGACGGGCATGGGGAGAAGACTTGATGAACTTGACTAGCTCTCGGGCTTGAATGATGGTAGGGGCTAGGGGTCGGGCGTCGGTGCAAGAGGACTTGTCAGATATTTGACGAGCTTTGACGCGAGTCGCAGCACGAGTTAGAGGCTGAGTCCAATTGACCCTTTGAGCGACAGCCTGCTTAGATAGTCCTCGGGCGTGAAATTGGACGGCGTGGGCTCTCTGATAGCTGCTAGGAAGGCAAGCAGCACGCAAGAGTTGCTCAGTCTGCATAACATGTTTCAGACGTTGTGGGTTATTACCAGCAAGTTGAGGTTTGGGGTTGGAGAAGTGCTTGATTGAACTCTTGACCACATCAAGCTTGGCATCATTAACAGCCGCAAGATCCTCGCGAGTAGCAAGCTCATGTTCGATCATGGAGACAGTGCTGAGAATAGATTCAAGGGTTGCAGCCATTGTGAAGCTTGAGAGCAATGGACTTGGGAAGACAATGAAGCGAATAGCAAAGATTGTCGAGGGAATTGTGATGAAACGTGAATGTAAACTGATTGTTGGAATTGATTGTCCTGAGAGCAAAGATTGAAGACAATTGTACTGCACAACAAAAATATTTCGATGTGATTGAAGAAGAATTACAAGAGAGAGCTTGGGGAGGAGGGCCTGTCGAGGGGGGTGCCATTGGTGACAGTGGAGGGTTTAATGGATGCTAGGTATCTAGCTCTGGGCCAATGATATGGAACATGTCAATAGAGCTCAATAGAGAGTTCCCCACTCCTAACAGTAACCACACTGTGAGAATTGAGGCGGTGCGACCATTCCTGTGGCTTTGCGGGGTCTTTTTCTGGCCGGTTGACTCAAGCTTTGGTGGGGCGCAGAGTCAATCGCTATGACGCAGACGTATGGCCTCAGCTGGGCTGTTAAAAAGTTCAAATATCGCGACAAAGACGTCAGTTCAGTACAACTCCTATTCTTCCGCCAGGCTCTCTATACGCACGAAATCACATCCATCATTCACCATGGCTAAGACGAACGAGGATCTTCTTCGGCGGCCCTTGTATCGTATGTACTCGTCTCAAACCCCTCCCCCGCCATGGATCGGCGTGTCTCGATGTCGCAAAGTGCTGACGAGTTAACCAGTCTATGATCTGCCTGCCGAAGTTTTGGACACTTTGGTGCTCAAATCTGATACGGACGCCGAAGCTGAGGCAATCGCTGCCGCCGAAGCCACGAAAACTTCTTCTTTTGAGAGCGCGTCGTCGTCAGATTCGAATCTCGTCGGGACACAAGCGTGCTCTTTGTGCGGTCTCACATTCACAACAGTAATCGACCAGCGGGGGCATCTCAAGTCTGATTTTCATCACTATAATCTCAAGCAAAAACTGCGAGGACAAAAACCCGTGTCAGAGGCGGAATTCGAGAAGCTCGTAGGCAACCTGGACGAATCATTATCGGGTTCTGATTCAGACGAGTCGGAAGAAGAGGAGGAAGATGGCCGACAAGACTCAACACTGACTGCGCTGTTGAAGAAGCAGGCGAGATTGGCTGATAAGGCGAACGATTCAACCGGAGATGATGATGAGGAAACGGCAGGAAAGCCAGGTCGCGGCAAACCACCTCTGGTATGGTTCAGCTCTCCGCTGCTTCCAGAGAAGACCTACTTTGGCATGTACCGCGCAGTCTTGACGGGCGAGGAACAAAGAAACCAGGATCTGGTGGAGGTGTTGAAGAAGAAGCAGGTCGAGCCTATATCCGTGCCCAAGATCCCTAAGGAGGGCGCCTTACCAGAGGTCGCGTACAAGGGTCCTCATATCTTTCTCTGTATGATTGGAGGTGGCCACTTTGCGGCCATGGTTGTATCTCTTGCCCCACGATCCAACAAGAACGGCACTACCATGAATCGAGAAGCGACGGTGCTTGCTCACAAGACCTTCCATCGATACACAACCCGACGAAAGCAAGGTGGTTCTCAATCGGCCAACGATAATGCGAAGGGTGCTGCTCACTCGGCTGGTTCAAGTTTGCGACGATATAACGAACAGGCTTTGGTAGAGGATGTGAGAACCCTTCTCCAAGACTGGAAAGCCCTCATCGACACATCAGAGTTACTGTTCATCCGAGCAACAGGTGTGACAAATCGAAGAACGCTCTTCGGCCCCTACGAGGGACAGGTGTTGAAGCATAATGATACTCGACTGCGGGGCTTTCCCTTCAGCACACGGCGAGCGACGCAGAATGAACTCATGCGATCCTTCATCGAGTTGACGCGACTAAAAGTCCGTGAGATCGAGCCTGTGCAGGAACAGAAGAAAGACTCTGGGTCAGCGACTCCAACAAAGACGAGTACAAAGCCCTCAAAACCGAAGTTGACAGAAGAGGAAGAGACTGCTTTACTCCACACATCTCAACTTCAAGCGTTTGTACGAAGGTCGAAAGTCCCTGCGCTACTCTCATACCTTAAGAACAACAACATATCGGCCGACTTCGAGTTTCAGCCTGTGGAGCAAAACCACCACGCACCACGACCACTCCATCTTGCCGCGGCTCAAAACGCTGCACCATTAGTACTTGGCCTTCTCGTTCGTGGCGGAGCGGATCCTACCATAAAGAACAACGATGGCAAGACGCCCTTCGAACTGGCTGGTGAACGCTCGACGCGCGATGCGTTCCGGGTCGCCCGCTCCGAGCTCGGAGAGTCTAAGTGGTCCTGGGACGATGCCAAGGTACCGCCAGCCATGACCAAGGCTGAAGCCGATAAACGTGACGAGCGGGAGAAGAAGGAAACCAGTGACAAAGAGGCGGAGCGTCGGCGCGCTGAAGAGGAAAGATTACAGGTTGAAGGTCCAAAGGTTTCAGAAGGACGAAAACAGAAGGGAAACGCTCTGGCGGCGGGGCTCAAGAAGACGCCACAGGAGAGGAGAGAGGCGGAAGAGAGAGGTTTAACGCCTGAGATGAGGATGAGGTTGGAGCGTGAGAGGAGAGCCCGAGCTGCGGAGGAAAGACTACGCAGGATGCAAGGCGGCGGGTAAGCTTGGATGCCATAATAGACCAATACTCAAAATAGACTAATGCAACTACATACTACATCCTGGTTCTATTTTACTGATACATGACAAAGGGTCATTAGTGTCAGGAGTTTTTGCCAATTTTGTGATCTCAGTTACCCAGCACAGTCAAAGTGTTACACTATGAGCGCCCGATTATTAGAAGATTCTGGTTAACATGGTGTTTTCTCATCTTCAGCTTTGTTATCTTGGGCTTACAAGCGATGATAGTAACGAAGGATTATATATTCAGAAACTATCCACAAACAAATCTAAACGTGTGTAAATGATGAACTTACCCGCTGAGATCAGTGAGGCCCTGCTTCCTATATAACTGCATTCTGGTTCAACTCCACGCCGTAACTCCCAACTACAAAGACCCCACAATCTGTGCGAGTATCGGAACCTCTTCAGTCAATATCAACATTAATATCTCTATCAAACCTTTCTGCATGATCTCCCCGAGCACATCATTGCGGGCTTTCCATTTCCGAGTCAGTTGTTCCATTCGCTTGCAACTCAAGCAGGTCCAGCTTCTTGAGGTAAGATGCCAACAACTGTCCATGAATAGGGTCTTCAATCTGAACACACACCTTCATACCATTGTTCAAGGAAAGTTCCATATCCGGCACTTCAATCCATTGCACAGGAGGAAGTGAGACTCTATCAAACAAACCTCTCGCCATAGAGAAAATTACCTGCACCCACCTTATCTCATGGTGTATAATGACACGCACGGCGATATCATACCTTGTGTTTGGCAGAATAGGCTCGACAGAGCGGATGGTGTAGATCCCTCCTGCGCTCCAAGGACGATGCTCAATGAGATGGGTGTTGGGGGGGATCTCAATGGGTTTGAGAAAGCGAGAGAGGGCGCCGGTGATGAAACGGCATACTTCATCCTTTTTCGTGAGAATGGTGATGCCATCTGGTTTTCTCATCTCAGTAAGAGGGGCCTTGTTCTTAGGTCGTTCATATTGATCCCTGAAACGGACCTGTTTGCGTGTCCTAATTGGAGCCATACTGAGGATTGGTGTCGTATGTGCTAGTTTTCTCGTGTTGTCTTCAGTTTGGCCGCGGTAGAGCAACTCTCAATGCCACACAATTGCTGTACGGAGAGTAGTTGAGGAGGAGGGTCTAGACTTTTTGTACATCTTCATTCTTATTTGTTCATAAGTTGGGTCTTTGTTTCAAATGACAATAATCACGTTCGCAGCTCAGTACATACATGATCCTAGTACTAGGTATGAACAAAGACTATCCCAACAAGACCGACTTTGGTTGCGCAACCATCTAAATGCCTGACGCTAAGCCGCACAGTCTTATGGTTATCATTTCTGTAAGAAAGAGACATAATTTAATGATATCTGTTCAGACATTGTTTCAGACTCAAGCAAGCATTGAGGATTGCCTGTGTTGAACATTCATTCTGGGCACCCAAGTGCTCACTCAAGCCTCAATCAACTCGTTTAGAGTGTCGTATCTGGAATTAGTGAGGCTTGCTACTGAACCGTTGCTGAACGCCTCTAAGATAGAAAATTCAACAGGCAACATGTAGAAAGTATCAGATTTGAAATTGAATAGTGCAATGGTGATTACTCTTTACAGATTCATTGACATTCACAAAGTTTCATTTTATTTTCCTTTCGCGTGTTGTGAGCAACGTCAACAGTCGAGAACGCTCTAGGTTAGTAGATTGACCCTGCCCTGGCATTGACTGACGACGTCCTATCGCTCAACACAATATTGGCCTAAAATTCCGCTGATACGAAATGCTGCAGCTATTTCCTCGGAGTTTGTGTTGTAGCTCCGTGAGAGGTGCTTCCTTCACGTCTTTGAGACGACGATGCTACCAATTCCGCGGTCTTGGCCGAAGAGCAAAATCCACGCAGCCTGCAGAGTCACCAACCTGTTGACTCTACAGAAATGTCCAATACATCGACAGATACTGCCCTGGGGGTTATCATCCCATCGAGGTCAATGAAAAACTAAACCAGCGATACCACATAGTTGATAAGCTGGGCCAGGGTCGTTCTTCGACTATTTAACTTGCCTGGATCGGAGCTCGATCATCTCTCCATCCAACAGGTGTGTGAGAAATACTATAAACCAGACCCCTGCCCAGTGACTAGGACTGATGGTCAGCCGCTCACCTCACCGTCAGTGCCAAAGAATGTCTATACGCCAAACTGGCTCGGTAAACCCAGCGACGAGGTTCTGTTGCCTGAAGCCAAGCTGTGGCTCGCCGATTTCGGAACAGCCTTCAATCCTTCACAGGAGACGAGACTGTTGTCTTACACGCACTTACAGAATCGACCACCAGAAGCAGTGTTTGATTCCACGAAACCTCTGACATTCTCCTCTGATATCTGGAGCCTGGGACTCATGGTCTGGGAGGGCATGGGTTCCGGGCCATCTATGAGCGGCTTTCTCTTCGGTGAAAACGAGGTGATTGCTGACCAGGTCGACGCGCTCGGTCCCTTGCCCCACGAGTGGTGGGAGAAATGGGAGACCAGAACAAACGTATCTACTGAGGGCGGACAGCCAAAGGGGGGAAGGAAGGTGTGGCCGCTTCAGAAGCGATTTGATCTGATTCTACAGAGAGGGAAGAAGACGGCAAAGTTGGATGATGAGGAGAGCTGTGCCTTTTTAGATATGATCAAAGGGATGCTACGCTTCAGACCAGAAGAGTGTATGACAGCTGATCAGGTTCTGCGATCGGAGTGGATGAGTAAGTGGGCTCTACCTCTTGCAGAGAAAGCTTGGGAGCGTAAACTCTTGAACTAAAAGGGATATGGCAAAAGAAACTCATTATTCGATACTGGATTTGACAGTTCCGATGCTGGTTGAGCTTTCGCTATCAGTGATACATATATAGACCGAGGCACGTATGATTTGGACACCGTTGTTAGAAATCAAGAAAGTGCAATCAGATCAAATCGGAACGTTAATATTCAGTATCTAGCACGTTTCTCTTGCCAGATACCTCTCCGAGACAAGTAAAAGGTCAAGTGGAAGTTCTTCCTACGTCCTCTCCGAGCCTGATCGACAGGCCGGCAAGTCAGTGTTTGACTTTTTTCAGCTTCAGCATCGCCGTTTCGAATATAAAATGGCCAATGCGCATTCTGAATGCTTAACTCATTGAGAAAGTTAATAATATGGGATTTTCGTGCTCAAGTGGCTTCCCATGGTGAAACTGGCCCCAGCCAATTCCCATAACAGTTACCGGTTGTCACATGGAAGCCTCTGTTTGCTTTTGTAAAGCTTTTGCTTTCACTCTCGACAGGTTTTGGTCACTTTACTTATTACAATAGTCTACTGACTTAGCGATATGCGGATTCAGTCGGAACCTCCCAGTTCGCGGTAAAACTTTCGGCCTGTGATTGCTTAACCCCATTGTTGACCGGAAGAACGACCAGGTTGAATGAACCCGGTAAGAATTCCACCACTCAGCTCGGAAGAAACGCAGAGAAATGGAAACTTCCAAACTTCACAGCCACCTCCTAGCTCCCCGAAGTGGTAACGGAATCGGCCAAGTTCAGGTTTGCACAACCCGATGCAGCATCAGTCCGATCCCCAAATGGATGGAACTCGGAAGATAAATGCAGGTACGCTCGCAAGCCTGAGCCTTTGTTGGGTCTTGTGAACTCGATCAGGGTTGGTGGAGGTGAATTGTCACAGAAACCTTTGGTTCCCCTGAGAGGTTGTAAAGCTACCGCCATACCCATGCAAGTGCTTGCAAGGAAACTGACAAGTGAACCAACTGAAATGCAACAGAAAGCACACAACCAGCTAGGCAGTACTCTGCTCGTTACTAATGTGATGGTCTTTTTCTCTTGGCTGGACCGAGCTGCTGTAAGGCGAGTCAGCTCTGATTCGTGTAAGCTGTAGACAGTCCTTGAAACGCCCGGAGGTCAAAGAATAACGCTTGGATATGACGATCAGTGGAGTCATTTGGCACAAGCTGATCGACGTGAACAATAAATCCACGGTCTAATCGATCGAAAATGAGGTGACTGACGATCAGCATGTTGCAGCAGAACTAGCCTGAGCACAATTTTATCTCATTTACTACGGGAGACAATAGAAACACATTATCGTAAAAACGTACGACCAGTCTGGTCACTGGGTGTCTCGATCAAGACTCGCTCTCAAGGTCGTTTCTGGTTATTGGTGACAATTAATTGACGTTACTAAAGAAGCAAAGAACCATGTCACCTCAACGTTCAAAAGCAAAATACAACTACCGTTTGTGTAGTGCCTGGCAGATCGCAAGTTTCATCCAAAGCCACCACGGCCGTAACTCGAAACACGGAACGACGAGAAGAGAAAACGCTAAGTCGAACCTGGCAGGCCACTCGAACTAGTCTCGGCCGGGATCTCCACTGTCCGGCCCAAGAACACGCGTTGTAACGCTGTATCGTTCTGTCTTCAGGGGTCTTCAGGATATCGTTACACTCGATGATGGCTCGACCTTGTTCCGCGAGCCTGGGCTTTAGGCGACTGAACGTGGCATCCAGAAGAAGCTAGACAGGCTATCAACAATATGACAACCCCGGGATGAAAACGAAACGACAACGGCGATGATACATCGTCAAGATTACCGACATAGCCTTCTCGATTTTGCCAGGAGTACCAGCACAGCGACTCCGTAAAGATATTGAGCTGGTTATTGGCTTGAACCATTTTTTGGAATACCGTATTTCGCCTTTGTGAGCATGGGACGTTGTTTCTTTTTTGCAGAAATACCACCATGGAGAAACATTTAAGCTAAAGGATAGGCATTGGACAGGGCCCCATCAGTGTCGATTGATAATGCACGGAGGCTAAGGTTGATGGACGCCAACGATCCATGACGTGAGCAAGCCACCGGGAGCTTTCATCAATAGTTCCGTTGATCTCACGTGCGTGGAAGTCGGTGGAGTGTACGGTCGAAATCCTGTAAGCAATTGCTGCTAGTCATTTGAAAAATTCAGTATTGGCAAGTGATTGCTCACAAGCCATGACAGGTTCGCAATTTCGACGACATAGGAAATCATCAGCCTGTGTGGTCCGGAGAGACCAAATTTGTCGTTATAGACTAAGGTTGGCTGCAGACTGGGTATTCAGGTGAAGGACAGGGCTACCATATGTTGCGACTGGCTGTTCAAGCTGTCCTTTTCGTCATTCTATCTTTTGAATGAAACAATCCGTGCACTTCCCGTCCTGGTGTTAGCCAAGTAAGCATAGTTTCAAGGTTGGTAACTCAAACTTTGAGATAGTAAGAGCAAACAGTAATTGCTGTCGTTAGAGCTCTGTCTGGGACAGAGTATTGCAACGGAACTGGTATAGGATTCAGTTGGTTGCCGAAGGCATCCCGATGAAACCTCGACATTACAAATTATTCCAAAATGAATCGCATCGTGTCTGGATGTTGTTTGGCTTCGACTTCAGTTGCAGGCGAATATTTTCCTATATCGCCAAAGCCTACCCAGGACTTCATGATTGCCAAAACAAACAAGCATTTGCCGATCGTTCCGGACTTGGGAAACACCGGACGGGTAGGCTCGCGATATTCTGACCCGAGAGTCCTTGTTAGTCGCTCTTCCCTTGCGACCTCTCTTTTGGGATGCTCTCAAGGTCCAGAATAGGATCTGCTAAAGTTGTGAAGATAAAATCTTCGAAGGGTGATAGGGCTGGAAGGCATCGGCGTCTCAGATTCGTAGCTCAGTAATTGATGATTGGCTGCCCTGATGTTGAAACAGACTAGGGCGGCCTGTTCCTGAGACTCCTTGGCGTCAAACACAAGCGCCCAGGGTCTGTCTCGCCATGCTAGTGGACGGGTGGTGGCGCTCGGTGCTAAAAATGAACACCAGTACTAAAGATAGAGATGGAAGCTGGGTAGCCACGAGACCATTTGGCGTAGGTAATTCTGGCCATCTTTGGCATGATGAAAGTAATCGCCGAGAGCCAATGCTGTCTATGACACATTTCCTTACCCTATTGTGATTCTTATACATAGATTTTGAGTGGTACGCAAGCGCCATGTTTCGTAGTACATCAACAAGTACCCAGTAAACACAGTACCCGGAAGACTTGGGGATAAGGTAGTCTAGTCTCAAGGAAGACCAGTGATCCGAACAGAACAGTATAGGCGGCGAATTGGAACTTCCGTCCTGTTTAGAGCTATCACAGCAAATGAGGCCCAGAGACGATGTACAAGCAAGGCGACTGAATCAATCAGTCAGGCCATCAGTCACGCCAAGCCTGCGTTTGGCCGTGTTAGCCAGATCCATGATCACTTATTCCACGAACCTTGTCCGTTATAAATGGCCTGCTTCCGTGATTCGCATCCCCGTCAAGTCCGGTGGAAACGGTGGATATGTGGACTGGCTCTACAATATCTCCGTTCTCCTATCAATCGGCGAGATGCTGCAAAAGGGGAAATAGACCAAGTCCCTTGGTGTTGTAATCTCTTTTGACGTAGCAACCCGCGTTTGGACCATATTGACATGCTCAAGGTGTAACGTTTACTCAACCGTGGTTTCTTCGGAGGCCTGCTGTAGATCACGGAGAGGAACAAGTGCGAGGGTTAATCACATGGCGATGTTATTTTTAGGGTCAGTCAAGAAACATTCTCCATTCTTGATAATGGAATCGTGATAATTTCCAGCATCCATTCACTGTCAAGAAGTGTTCCATCTAGATCAGAGAACGAGCAAGTGAGTGACCTGCACAACGTTAAGGTGTTTTCCCGGTAGCGAGTCGGTAACGGTCTGACTGCAAGCGACGATGCCTTGGCACCTTCTGTCACGGCCGACCGTCAGTGGCTTGCGGTGGCGGTCTGGGGAAACAGCGCCGGACCACGATGCTCCCCTTAAGGGAGGAATCCGAACAAGAACAAAAGCAAGTGCCTTGATCCAGCACCTTTAGTGGCTCGCCCAAAAATGCCCAAACGACCAATGGGCAACCACTAGGGCACCAAGCAAGCGCTGCTGCGCGATTGGCGGATATGGTGCCTGTACCTGCAGAAGCCTGTGCGGGACGTTAACGGGTCCGGGCCATCGATGCCCCTGATTCTTAACATGTTCTAATATGGTGGCGCAGCGTTTCATTCATCAGTTGCACTTGCCCATTCGTAGAGATGGATGATACCCAAGAAAAGGATGGTAGACGCGGAAGGAGCAATTTGTCCTGGGGAAAAGGAAAGAAACATCTCAAGAAGGAAAAGAGAACGAACCCCTTTTGGCGTCGTAAATTATGACAGATGTTATGCGTCGATGATACTGCGCTTTCAGTAGGGGATACCAATGAATGTAACCTGAGTCCGCATCCACCACCTGAATTGTCTCTGCTCCTCATTGTCTTAGTTAACCGCTATCTCAGCGTCCAAGTGCAAGCCTCACAGCGGGGTGTGGATTTTCCCGCTGTCGATGCCCCGCAAAGTGCTCTAAACGCCCACCTCGGTAACTGGCTAGAAGCTCTGTTTCGCTTTTGGCCTACTGAGAGGCGCTCTGCTAGTGGTCATCAACACATGCAGTAGCGCCTCGGAGCTTTAATCAGAATATGCATAACCGCCTTTCGATTCGTATTGGTTCACATTGCACTGTTTTCTCATGGCAAGCGCCTGAAGATCGGGACATGCACTGCGGCCTCTTGAAGCGCAGCCCAGCAGCGGGAGATGGACCAGCTGAAGTAAGCCCTGTCAAGCATAAACAAAAAGTTATGTTAACCTTTCTAAGAATACCACTTCGGCAAGGCAGGTAAAGACAAGGTTGCATGGCCAGGCACAGGCATCACATTGGCTACCGTTGGGCATTGCGCTTCGCATGGTGCGAGCTCGGTCGCTCATCAGTCCATCCACACAGCCAAGACCTGAGAGAGATACACACCCTGGAGAATGCTGCCACAGATCATTGGGCTTGCACCGAGCCCCTGCTGAAGACCCCTGTCAATGGAGAAACTTCTGACGACATGGGTCCCTGTCACGGATACTCATCCTTGTCATTGTCCCTGAGCCGCCCTGGACCACCGAACCGTTGTGTCAAACCTCACCGGACGGACCTGAATTCTTGGAAAGACCTTTTCGAACCTCCAGCCGACGGTCGATGCTCAACCTGACTTGAACGAGTATCAGGGGTTCCCATCGCCGGTGGTATCTCCACCAAGCATGGGCCATAGAGGGGACAATCCATGTTTGGTACCAGATGCCGGGCTGGCCGCTCTTTGCCTCCACGGGCCAGCACTCTCCAGCTCTTTTGATAGACACAGAGACTCGTGGGTATATAGATGCTTCTCATTCCCACCTCTTTCGACTTTTTCTTTTGGATTATCACTCACCTTTTTCTTTTCCTCTTTTCTTTACATCAAAGTTCTCTCTTTTTTGTTCTGGTGTCAAAGTCATTCGTTTCCTTTGACTCCATTTCTTAATATTCTGTTCTGCATATAACACACTCGCTACACATACAACTAGTTATTACCACTCCCCCGACAAATCTTTTACCATGAAGGCCAACTTTGCCCTTCTGGCTCTCACTGCCAGCCTTGGCGAGGTCTCCGCTCACTGGGGTAACTGGAAGGATGCTCCCAAGTACACTCCTCCCCGTGCCATTGACAACAAGTGTCAGGAGAACCAAAAGAAAGGCTGGTACTGGGATGACCTCCAGGTCGGTCAGTTCGAGAAGTACAACGATTTTGATTTCAAGGGCTGGACCTGTGGAACCGATAAGTCGAAGCGCGATCTCACTGGCCGACACTTTGGCAAGTCTATCTCTGCCGAGTGTGGCCCTGCCAAGGAGGCGGCTCCCTCTTTCGGCTGCGGTGCTGGCAGCAAGGAGAAGTCTTTCTCTCTGAAGAAGTTCCACGTCCGACCCGAGTTTGACTGCCGTCTCGAGTTCCACTATGACATGCCTGACGGCTCTACTTGCAAGCACCAGGCCGACTGCTCCAAGGACGGTACCGATGTTTACAACAGCCAGTGTGGTGGTGCCAAGAACGTTCGCTTCGTCTACCCCAAGCAGCCCAACAAGCCCAAGGACAAGTGCCGCATTGAGGTTCCCCAGATCGACTTCGACTGTGACAAGCCTCAGCCTCCCACTCCTCCTTATGGTGGCAACACCGAGACCGTCCCCTCCGGCGAGAACACCAAGACTATCCCCTACGGTGACAACACCAAGACCGTCCCTGCTGGTGAGGAGACCACTACTGCTCCTGCCGGTGGTAACACCGAGACTGTCCCCTACGGCGAGAACACTGAGACTGTTCCCGCTGGTGAGCAGACCACTTCTGGTTCTTCTCCCGCTGAGACCACCTCCGCTCCTGTAGGCGAGAACACCGAGACCGTTCCTTCTGGTGAGAACACTGAGACCGTCCCCGCCGGTGAGCAGACCACTTCTGGTTCTTCTCCTGCTGAGACTACCTCCGCTCCCGTTGGTGAGAACACTGAGACTGTCCCTTACGGCGAGAACACCAAGACCTTCCCTGCCGGCGAGGAGACCAAGACTGTTCCTGCTGGTGAGCAGACCACCTCCGGCTCATCTGGTTCCGAGACTACCTCTGCTCCTTCTGGCGACAACACCGAGACTGTCCCTGCTGGTGAG